CTTTGTCACTTTGAAAATAGGTACGCTTCCACACTATATCACCCTCCTCAAATTCTGCCTCTTTCCGACGAAGATCGTATCGTTGTGAGTTCTTTTTGTGAGCCCTCCATAGTGAGATTTGAACTTTATCAAAAAACTTCCGAAGATATCCCAAATTTTCAGCATATATCTCGCGAGGTAGGAATACTATTTCGTTTGGAACATCATTATCGATGTAATGTGATCCACATGTCACTAATTCTCTTCCATGAACCAAAAATGAAGGTGTATAACCAGTGCTCTCATTAATAGAGTTATTTATAGCAAACTGAATTTTAGAAAGGTTAACATCCCAAGAACGGTGGTCATCATTTACAAATGTCGACACTGCAGTCATTATTGTTTTATTATATCTTTCTACAGTATTTACTTGTGGGGTATACTTCGGGGTAAAATGAATATTAGGTATCTTATATTCCTTGAAGAGATCGTCAAGTTTATGACTTGTGAATTGGACACCGTTGTCCAATATAATGGTTTGTGGAATGCCATGTACGAGAAAAACATGATTTTCAAGGTGAAGTTTGACCAATTCAGCAGTAGCTCTCCGAAGTGGAAACATCAAACAATATTTTGAAAAGCAGCACGTCACAACAAACAGATAACAGTGTTGTTTTCTAGAAGGTGGCAAAGGCCCGACTAAGTCGATCGATATTGTCTGGAAGGGTCGGTAACATTCCTTGGGTCTACCCATTGTACCTAACGTGCCCTGAGTAGATATCTTATAAGCTTGGCATGTCTCACAGCCAGCCACAAAGTTCACCACGTCTGAATGCATATTAGGCCAAAAGTAATTTAAGCTCACTCTTTTGAAAGTTTTAAAAATTCCAAAGTGACCAGACGTGGGATTATCGTGATTAGCTCTAAGAACAACTTTCCGATTTTCTTTTGGAATCACTTCCTTCCAGTGAAACTCGGTAGTAAGAAAATTTTTATTTCTCATGTACCTGTAAAGCTTACCATTTTCTATACGATAGTTAGGACAACTAGAAGAGGATTCCTTGCAACTATTGTATATATTTAAATACCACGAATCACTAGTAGTAGGCTCAGCCGAAATCAATGAGAGTGGCAACGATCGAGATAAAGAATCAGGTATAACATTATCCTTGCCACGACGGTGCCTTACAACGAAATCAAAAGTTGAAAGCCGGATTCCCCATCTGGCCAGGCGTCCTGTTGGATTCGATATAGATAAAAACCATTTTATAGCAGAATGGTCGGTGAATACCGTGAAGGTTTTCCCATTTTCGAGGTAGCAACGCCAGTGTTCAAGTGCAATAAGAACTGCCAACGTTTCCCACTCAGTTACACTATAATTCTTTTCAGCATCCGTAAGGGACCTACTCATAAAGGCGATTGGATGCTCTGTACCGTTAATTGTTTGTGAGAGCATTGCACCTATACCAAAATTGCTGGCATCTGTATGCACCTCAAAAGGATGATCAAAGTTTGGACAAGCTAGAATTGGGGCCTTAACTAATAAAGACTTTAGTTCAAGAAAGGCCTGATCAGCTTCATCTGACCAATGAAATGGTGGCGACTTTTTTTTTGTAGACGTAAGCTTATTCAAGGGACCAGCTATCGTACTAAAATTTGGTATGAATCTCCTATACCACGAGGCTGTGCCTAGGAAGCGTTTTACTTCTTTCCTATTTGTAGGCGTGGGGTACTTTAGCATAGCCTCCACCTTTTCTGGATCTGTACGCAGCCCTTGTGCATCAACTATATACCCTAAGTACCGCAGTTGACTACGAAAGAAATGACATTTACTTAAATTTATAGTCAAATTTGCATCCTTCAATTTAACGAAAACCCGATTAAGGAGTGCTACATGTTCGTTAAATGTTTGACTAATAATGATGACGTCATCAACAAATACAAACACCTTCAGTTCAAATTCCGGTCCAAAGAGAGTATCTACAAGACGTTGTTGTGTTGCGGGTGCGTTAGTTAAGCCAAAGGCGGTGACTTTGAACTGAAAAGTGCCCCTACTGGGAACGTAAAATGCAGTCTTTTCTCGATCCTCCTCCCTAATAGGCACCTGCCAGAATGATTTAGATAAATCTAGACTGGATAAATACCTAGCGTCCTTAAGATTGTCTAGTATTTCAGAAACATATGGTAGGCAGTAAGCATCCTTTTTAGTTACTGAGTTCAGTTTCCTGCTATCCAAACAAAGTCGTGGTTTACCATCCTTCTTGCCTACAACTAAGACTGGTGAAAGCCATGGACTCTCAGACGGTTCTATAACATCGAGAGAAAGCATCTCATCAACCTGATCTACAATAAGTTTTTGTTTTTCTGGAGATAATCGGTAGTACCTTTGGCAAATCGGTTTGCTATCTCCAGTGTCTATAGTATGAGTAATCAAGTGAGTTCTTCCCAAACCCTTCTCTTCATAAGATATTTCCTTAAATTGTCTGATTACATCATCAGCTAACAACCGTTCGCCTTCACTTAAATTCTCATATGTATGCAAAAGTAGATCAGAACTTGTATCTATTTTTTGAATACACGGAGAACTATTATCAAGAAGTGCTATGTTATTAACGTGATTAGGGAATATTTTAAATATTTTCCAGAAATCTATACCCAGTAAAAGTTTTGAGTCAACTTCCGGAATAACATGAGCTTTAATAACACTTGTTTGTCCATTAAATAAAAGAGGAAGTAGCATATAACCATTAGATTTAAGCACCTGACCTCCTGCAGCATTAGCCGAAATATAATTATCGATGTGTAACTTGAAATCTCGTGAAAGTAAAAATTTATAAAAATCACTTCCAATAACACTTATAGCTGATCCCGAATCAAGTAAACCGTACATTTCAAAATTAGGGACACCTTCAATACAGACCTTCACGTAAGGCCGTGGATCATTACAAGGTTTACTATTAAGAATAGAGGCAGTCTTATAAGAAGAAAAAAAATTCCTTAAAAATTGCAACCAATCCTTCCAAACAAAATCATTAGTCGGATTTGCTGCCAAGCTGCAATTTTTAGTTATTCGTTTTTTTGAGCTAGGTTGAGCTAGGTGACACGTTCTTTTCTTATTAAGTGATAAAAATAAAAAAAAGAACGATATATAAGAAAGAATATTTATTTGCGATAAGTAAAATCGAGGTCAAGGTCCCTAGGGTCGTGGGTAGGTTTCTTAGAGGTCTGATGGTAGATCACTCGATAGAACTTCCCTGTACTCCTGTGAATTCTACGGTGCGCCGGGCTTCAATTTTTGGTTTCCATAAGGCACTTCTCCAATTCTCAAATATCAATTCCCAGTATAAGTAAAGTTGGCGTGATTTTCTTAATCCGTACGGAGTTCCTGAAGAAGTCACAATAATGCCACATTATTACCCGGAAAGAGAAGTCGGGTACTGCCACTAGCGTTGGTCGTTAAAATTAGCAATTAAATCGTAGAATCTAGCAAAGCTAGTTAGTACAGGAGTGAAGAGAGTATTCTTAATTAATCTGGGTCGAAGTGGCAGTTATAAATAAAAAAAGCAGTAACGGTTACATAAACTGATGGCATTTAAATGAAATAAAAAAAAGAACATGGAACGTAGGTAGCAATATAAAATATATATCAATAATGACTTTTATTATTGATTATGAAATATTACGGTGATTCTTGTTAAACTTAAGTAAATTAATTAAGCAAAAGCTGCATACTTAGAAATGTAAAATAAGTAACTACAATAATTCAAACGTTTCTACTCATTAAATAATTGGTTAAATGCACAACTTACCCAGTACGGGATTATATTTTTTCACTACACTTCTAAGTGTTTCTTATATTTACTTAAACTTTTTTTTTTTATATATTTATTTAAAATAAGAATCGTCAGTCGAAGACTTAGTAAAAATCGAACAGACTTTATATTTTGAAAAGCGTTACACAGCTGTTTTCAAACAAGATTCATTTGTAAGTGTGGCTCGCAACAGGCACGAGCGGCTGGCCGCCGCCGGCCGCCGCGCGGTCGACTTGTTATCGTTTTTTATGCTACCCGCGCCCGCGCCAACATCGCTGTATATATATATTACATCTGCGTGCGATCTGTTTGTTTGTAAATATTTAATTTGTATATAGTTAGGTTTTAAGTATTTTTTTTTTTAACGTATAATTATTTATTCTTTAGTAGTTATTAAGTTTTCATTAAAAATTAACATAGTTTTAAGATTATTATTTATTTTAATTTATTTGCAGTTTGTAAATAATGATAAACAATTCATAATTAATACGGAGACACGTAAACATTAATTTACTGTTTTATCATTAAATAGAACAACGTTACAATACATAAATTTCTTCTATACGTGTATATGCATAAATTTTGACGTTGTATAAATAATTATTTGCTGTTTATACATCTGGGAAATGGACCCATTTAATTGCAGACGTAAGAAAATAGAGGAGTCATATTCTGATACAATAAAAGCTACCATAGTTGTTTTAAACTTGCTACGTAATTTCAGGTTGTTAATTAATGCTTTGTTTGGGCGTCTTTAGCCATCTACGTTTAAGAGCGCCCAATAAACATTTCATAATAATCTACATTTTCAAGAAACAATCTTTAGTTATTGTGCCTTTCCGCGACACTGCTACTGATACGACACTGCGCGGTCTGCATTATAAACATATTCGGCATTAGCACCTTTTAAACTCCCATTTTGAGGGAAACAACTGTTTGAAGCATAAGTAATTGTAAATTACAAAAACATATTTTAAGACCTCAAATATCTTAGGTCTTAAAATATGTTCATATTTCCCCGATAGTAAACTTATAAATTAAATTGAAATAATTTATAAGTTTACTATCGGGGAAATATGAATATTACGAGCCTTAAAAAAAAACAATATAATACGCACAAAATAAAAAACAAGTTTAAGTCATGAAAAATAATATAATAAACAAACAAATTAAATCTAAGGATTATAAAAACAAGTTTAAGTCATGAATAATAATATAATAAACAAATAAATTAAATCTAAGGATTCCGAATCGGGTTTTGTGATTAGTTACTAAATCATAAAATTCTTGGTAGATTACCTAAGTTCCTTATAACAGCTTCATAAATATCAATGCCATGCAAAAATATTCCCAGATTTATATATTCGTTATCTTGGTGTAATTTTTGTGTGGTTCGGAATACGGGTACGAAGCCCAGCGCCGGAATTCCATAGTTTCTCACAAACAACATGTCTGATGTAGCCGGGCATATTATAGGTACCAATTTGACGCCTCTGCAAATAGATAGAGAAATTATATTTTATGAGTTAAATTGTTATCGTCGTCAGTCAGTCTAAGGTATTGGTTAGGTTGGGGTGCCAGTCGGACTACTTCCACGCGTTCCCGGACCGTTGCCCATCTATGCCCATCTCATATGCGCGATGGGAACGCCAACGGATTTTGTCGAGCTAATATATTATGGGCGTCCGGAGTAAAGTCCCTTCGGGGAATTCAAAACGGAATGGCTTTCAGTCGGGTCCTATGGGTCCTACGGGCCATGCGGCAGATCGAAGCCTTGGTGCATAGTACGTAATATGAGACAAGTAGCGTATGTCGGAATGAAGCTGGGGCCTGTTCGCCCTCGTAAAACTTCGTCCTTTCATAGAAAAGTACTTTGTTTATAAAAATATTAGCTAATGTTACTTACAATTCATTAATGGTATTTTTTAAAGTCACCCAATATGGATTATTATCGTCTACAGACGTGGCCGATGATTCCATCTCCTGTCTCAAAAACTCCAATTTTGTTCCTTCACCAGCATACTCCGCCCAGGAATTTACCTGAACATAAGCAGATTTTAGTAGAATTTTTAGTATTGTAAGTAACTATATGACTATATCTTTTTTAAATCTTAGACACCTTACTAATTGCAGTGCATATATATTATGTTTTATTAAACCACAGCTATTATAATGTTAATCAAACTAATCTGATATCTTATAAACGAAAATACTTTTGAATTTCATTAGATAGGCAGTATAAAATATTTATACGTACGTACAGCTACGATATTTCTGTAATTAATTCAGCCTCGAACTCGGTAGTCGAGCACAGCGCTGTTATTTTCTACATTACCTTATGAAGTAGATTTTATTTGATTGTATCTCTATGCCAGGAGTGTCACCTATTAGATTGGGAATGTATAGGCGGGCCAGGTTCAAAATAAAAAAATAAAAAAAAAACAGAAATAAATTAACACTCTCTGGCTCATCTAGACTCGCGCTAAAACTTCGTTCTTTCATAGAAAAGTATTTTGCTGCTCTTGAAATTATTTATAAATAAAGCGCACGCAACTTTAAATTTTCGTAGAGGCTTGAATTCAGTATTAAATTTAAAAAAAACAAGGTTTTTTCTTTGATTTATTGCGTTCACAGACCGTAACTTTCTCATGACTGCTTTATGACATTACCGCTATACACAACGACGTCGAGTTTAACGATGATTTAAACATAATGCGATTTACGAATTATTAATTAATAAAGTATGTACTGGAGTAGAGATCGAGGAATTTATGTTCCTTGATAAGGATAGGAAAAAGAAGTGTCGAGCGACAGCCAGCAAGATTATCAGATAAATTACGAGACTGTGTGGGAAAAACTGGCTGCACAAAGCCCAGAATAGAAAGAAATGACGTGTCAATGAAGAAGCCTATAATTATTGGTTTGTCTTTTATCTTTTTATATATAAACTGTAACTTATTCCCGTGCTCGTATTAATTTAGAAACATTATTTTATGATTTTTTTTATTTATTCGTTGCATTGCATACACGTGACTAACGGACAGTTGGACGTTTATGGTCCATTAAAGTTTAAAGACGCCTTTAAGCTATAATGAATGTCAAATTTGCATGGGTAATGTCGCTTTGAAATAAGGAAACTTTAATGGACGTTTGTGCTGGATGTTAGAAACTAGATAAATACACTAATTTCAGTTAAAAATATTCACATACACCTTGATAAGCATGGCAATATAGAAAGATGGAATGGAAGATATTTTGAAAATTAATTAATAAAAAAGGTAATAAAGTAACTCGAAGCTCACCATTGCCAGCATTTCTGTTGCATTTGCAGTTGTAGAAAGTCTCATATCCGCTATTAAACTATATGATGTTGGTATAACGTTTGAAGCAACTCCACCCTAAAAAAAGAATAAAACAAGCGAATACTTTTTTTATTGAAAATTATCACGACCGGTAAAATTTAATTTGGTACTTCAATACTACTTTTCATAGTCAGTTTTTAGAATATTTGTTCGTTTTTGTATTACACTGTCATTCAAAAATATGGACACAAATTCTGCCTACTCATTCAGCCGATTTTAACTGTGCTGTTGACAACGTGCCACTGCCAATTAGGAAGCCTAAGTATTCTTTTGTTAATAAGTACATGTTTCGAGTACTTAGTCGTACCTGCCTTTATTATTTTCTCAAAGGAGAAAACGGGTCAATCGATATTTTTAATCAGAATATTAGACCTTTTAAAATTGTTTATCCGTTTTATGAAACAGCAAAAGTTATGTTGTTTTTTTTTACCATTACCTTTTATTTGGTCTTTTGAATGCCAGTAATCTGAACTGTGTTTTAGTGCATCGGTAAGATATGTTTTTCAATTAATTAGTAAGTTAGTTAAAAAATCGGTCAAGAACTAGTGAGTTTTCACGTATCGAGTTATAAAAAAATAATAGGTTTTGCTATTAAATATAAAGAACAATTTTCTGTTTTCTTTTTTTATTTTGACGCTGTGTAGTATGAAGTTTTGGAGTTTTTGAGGTGACAGTTCGCCCGTTTTCTTTAATAACCGAGTAAGCAATCGAGGACCATTATTTGGTCTTACATCTTGTATTATCGCCATCTTTCATTCATTTCATTTTACATGTACAAATTAATTTATTAATTAATAAAAAAACATTAATAAAAGAAGAAGATAAAGAGTAAGCAGTCAGATCAAATGTTCACAATGGCATCATTATTCATGCCATTACTCTAGTTACATATTTTGACTATTATTTATTGACTAACATTAATAATATTGATGTTCAACGAAGTGTAAGGACCATAATTTGTTGGCTCTTCCGATGCCACAGCTTCTCTCAGAGATTTTCTGTAATTTAGCATTACATCTAACAGTCTTTGTAACTGAAAAAGAAAAATTACCATGTAAAACAAAAACTTTGGACACCTTTACTAAAAAATCAATTTGTAAAACAAATGACACGTTACCATCGTAATGGACGAAACTACAGTTTTGGTTACGTTCACTACACACTATGATGGTTACACGTTTTTGATTCTAAGTAAGTTCACACATTAAGCGAATTATAATTAAGCCCAAAAAAATATCCTAAAAGATAAATGGCAATATAAATTGTATGTCAAAAACAATTGTGACAGAGTATTATTATGCCAAAACGGTAAGTCAAAGTATATTAGGAAAATTACATTAAAAATTATGTAAAAACATTATCCCTGCAGAGGGAAAACCTTCCTCAATCTTCATTTTACTCAATACCTACCTTTTCAACAGCTACATCTCCTGGCATCAGAAATCCGTGACCACCAGTTCCCATGACAGTGAAATTCATTGCTGAAAAGAAATATAAAAAAATAAGGAAGCAATAAAATTTATTAACATGATAATGACGTTTGTACGACCTATTAACATTATAAAACTTAAAATTTTATTTCTTTATGTACTTTATGATTAGTTTTTATGATTTAAATTATGACACTTCTGTAGATAAAATAAATGAGATAATAAAAATTTCTACGAAACCTATATTACGTAGGTAATAATCAGGGTAATAATGAGTATAATATAAATTTCTACTTAACATGAATTTTTATATTTTAAATTTGAAACAAAACTTTTAAGTACTCCAACAAGTACGGATGAGGAATTTCAAACTTTGCCATAAAAAGATTTCTACGAACTGCAAGTAAAGCTGGTAAATCGTCCATTATAAAAATTTAATTTTTTTAGGGTCTTGAAATAGTTTTATAGAGATACTACCTACTAGTAGTTTCTGTAGATTTTTCTCAATATAATTACTTACTGTGCCATAACTACAATTTTAGTATGGGCGTATTAAGTATTAAGTTATACTTGATATTTAAGTTCAATTGTTCATAAGTTTACTCTTGCGAATTGCAAGAAAGACATGTGGCATATATATCTTGCTTCACATAGCTCAATGATAAGCATTCAAGAATAATTTTATAAAATGCTATCATGGACTAATAACAATTATTGAGTGTATGGTACAGAAAACAGCACGTCAAAAAACTACGTAGTATAGCGGATGGTACGCTATTCCGGCAAAAATATTTCGCATTACGTCAATTGATATTAATCTACTGCATTACGTCTTGGGGTGGCGACATTATTACTAACAGTTGCGAGAGCCCAACTGGAGGTTCTAAAAGATTCTTCTGTGCGTTCTTTTATATCCCATTGAGGAACTCTACAGATCATGTAAGACAATTATTTATCATGAGCACAGTCCTTAAACAACACACCATACTGCCATTCTGCATTGACTCTACTAAAAAAGACGAAAGGGTTTGTCCTCTTAATACACAATCTAAACATGCTTCTTTCTCCAGTTTTTTGTTATTCTCGGTTTCAGTTTCGCATTGAGTCTATTCTATTACAATAGACTCAATGCGAAACTAAACATCTGCTATTTGTATTTTCGAAATTGTAAGAACACTCATTGAAGCTCTCCAAAATATGACATATGATGATACCGAAAAACTATTACATGTTATAAAATAAAATAGGTGATCTCTTTTATACGCTAAATTTATATAATACGTAGGTCATCATTTATTTTCTATCAGTTATTTATATTGTACTTAATAAGATCCTTTTGCATAGTGATAATTTTAACTACAGTTTATGTTATAAGTCTTTGGTTTTGCCTCACAAACAGATTATGCTAGTTCAGGTATGTGATGTTATTATTCGCTTTTAGTATTTATAGCTCGTAATAGTATGAATATAGGCTAAGAAGATAAATTTATTATGATTATTATAGTTTCTCCTGTAGTATGTGAATATTAAGAATCAAGTTATAAACGTGATTTGGATGGAATGCACTAATATACAAATAATACACGTTCGATGAATGTGCTTCCTTAGCAGTTACATATAACGTACCCTAATATCCCCCTCTTAGATTTAAGGAGTATATAAGACGAATATTGTTTAGTTAAATAGAGATCTACAACCTGAAACATAGTATCATTTCTTCCGACTACGCTGACGCTATTTCACTCCACTTTATTTTAAAACTAAATGCTTTTTTTTAAATATCTACAGATATTTGATATATTGCAGCTGTGTATACTATATAGTAACATCGACAACAGAAATTAATTGCGGTGTATACAAATGTAAATGTCATGCAAATAAACCACACCTACAACAATAATTCTCTGAACGCTGACATATCAATGACATGCTTCCACTTGGAAATATCCATTGCTATGCAGACGATAGCATAGTGCATGTGGGATATCACGGGGCTCCTACGGTCGGACGGGCGGAAATCCTGGAGAAAAGGGAGAATCTTGTCATTGAGCTCAATCACGATCTGGATCTCATATCGAAATGGGGTGCTGAAAATCTGGTTGAGTTCAATGCCAAGAAAACTCAGGTTTGCGTATTTACCGCCAAAACCCCTCCATTCCCTTCCCTTCCCTCTCTTCAGGGCACAACCTTGCCTCTACAGAGCAGCATCAACATGCTCGGGATGGAAGTGCGCTGTGATCTGAATCCCAAAAACCACATCGAGTCTGTTATTAAAACAGCATCACGTAAACTCGGTGTCCTGAACAAGGTGCGGCATTTTTTCACGCCCGAACAACTGTGCCTGCTATACAAAACGCAGGTTCGGTCATACGTGGAGTATTGCTCGCACCTTTGGGATGGCTCCGCTAGGTACTTACTCGATGCTTTGGATAGATTGCAGCGCCGCGCAGTACGCATTATTGGCAACAACCGAAGACATCCCGGACGTCAGTCTATACGAGATTAGTGTGGCTCTCAAACAGCTCAAGAACAACAAGGCGCCGGGGTATGATGGAATCACAGCGGAACTTCTGAAAGCGGGTGGACTACCAGTCCGGAAAGCGCTTCAGAAGCTATTTAATTCCGCCATACTCGAGGGCAAGACGCCAGAAGCATGGCACAGGGGCGTGGTGGTGCTTTTCTTCAAAAAGGGCGACAGGGCCCAATTGAGGAATTACAGACCCATCACGCTTCTGAGTCATGTGTACAAGCTGTTTTCGAGAGTCATCACGAATCGTCTCGCACGTAGATTTGACGACTTCCAGCCTCCTGAACAAGCCGGTTTCCGAAAAGGTTACAGTACCATAGACCACATTCATACGCTGCGACAGGTTATACAGAAGACCGAAGAGTATAATCTGCCACTATGCTTGGCGTTTGTGGACTATGAGAAAGCCTTCGACTCCGTCGAGACCTGGGCCGTGCTTAGGTCACTCCAGAGGTGCCAAATAGACTATCGATACATCCAAGTGCTGCAGTCACTGTACGAAAATGCCACCATGTCAGTTCGGCTCCAGGACCAAAACTCGAAAGCAATACGACTTCAGCGTGGAGTGAGACAGGGCGACGTTATATCGCCGAAACTGTTCACTGCCGCACTGGAGGACGTGTTTAAGCTTTTGGACTGGAGAGGACTTGGCATCAATATAAACGGCGAGTACATGACGCACCTTCGTTTCGCTGATGATATCGTAGTCATGGCTGAGACCATGGAAGATCTAGGCACAATGCTCGAAGACCTCTGTAGAGTTTCCCAGCAAGTGGGTCTTAAAATGAACATGGAGAAGACAAAAATAATGTCAAACTCCCATGTCGTACCCACTCCAGTGAATGTTGGAGGCTCTACACTGGAAGCTGTCGACGAGTACCTTTACCTGGGACAAATAGTCCGATTAGGTAAGTCCAACTTCCAGAGAGAGGTAAGTCGACGGATCCAACTCGGCTGGGCAGCGTTCGGGAAGCTACGCAGTGTATTCTCGGAACATCTACCGCAGTGTCTCAAGACAAAAGTCTTTAATTCGTGCGTGTTGCCAGTGATGACTTACGGTGCTGAGACGTGGCCGCTTACGATGGGCCTCATAAGGAAGCTCAAGGTCGCTCAGAGGGCAATGGAAAGGGCTATGCTCGGGGTTTCTTTGCGAGATCGAATTAGAAATGATGAGATCCGCAGAAGAACTAAAGTCACCGACATAGCCCACAGAATTGCAAACCTCAAGTGGCAGTGGGCAGGGCACATCGCTCGCAGGACTGACGGCCGTTGGGGCGGTAAGGTCCTGGAGTGGCGACCGCGTACCGGGAGACGCAGTGTTGGCAGGCCCCCCACAAGGTGGACCGACGATCTGGTGAAGGTCGCGGGAAGCCGCTGGATGCGGGAAGCGCAGGACCGATCGTTTTGGAGATCTTTGGGGGAGGCCTATGCCCAGCAGTGGGCGTCTCTCGGCTGAAATGATGATGATGATGATGATGAAGCGGGGCGTGAAGAAGCACCTTGCAGGTCGGCAAAGTGAGGTTGGCTAGTGCAGTACCTACGTACTGTTTTCACTAGCTGTCCTCGCGTTTGGACTACGCCTCCGCTTACCATCAGGTGGAGCGCAGACATTTGCCCTCCATTTTATAAAAAAAAAAAATCGCCTTTTCCAAGATATATTGAAGCTATCTATCTACATGTTACTTGAAAATGTTTTAAATGTCTTGATGAATTGTATATTTCTAGTCTGTTTTTGTTTTATATATTTACTAGAATTCAGCGTGATTGCCTGTGTTTAGTGAACTTTGGTTGTTGCTCAACATCATCACACATAGTATACTTAAATATGTAAATGATAGTACCATATCTCAAGTGTAGAAACCCTCTGTGCTTGTCCAAAACTTGATAAAATATTTTAGCGTTGTTATAGATAAAATTTTAAATTTAATCTAGCATATAAATAAAATTGTAGCTAAGGCTCGAAAACTTATCTGCGTCTTTAGAATCCTGAGACATATTGTAAACAATGACGTGATCAAATCTATTTACTATGCAATATGCCAGAATATTTTTGAATACTGCATCATCGTTTGGCGGTGCGCCTGTAAAACTGACCATATGAAACCTGAAGTTGTTCGGCGTACAATCCTGAAAGTAGCTATATTTAAACCATCCTTTTTTTTACAACTAATGAACTTTTCGGGATATGTTAATTGTTGACAATACGCCAGTTGTTTATTTGTTATGTCATATCAAAATAGCATTAGTCTCAACTTATGATAGCACATTATTAACCTATTTGCAGTCGTTAATAGCCTCCAATGCGCATTGGGCCAGCGTGCAGGGTACTTGCCCATCCTCTTTAACCATCTATAAGGAAGGCCTGAGCCCCTGCAGTGGGAACGTAAAAGGGCTGATGATGATGATGATGATGATAATAATGTTGATGATGATGTAGCCAAATACGCTATCTGCGACTTACTATAATTAACTTACTTAAGTATACTATTTCTGAAGATGTTGATCAACAACCAAATTTCACTAAGCACAGGCAATCAAACCGAAGACCAGTAAAGATATATAGTATAAAACAATTATATAAAACAATTATTATAAAACAATTAAATTAGAAAAAAAGAAACGTAATTAAAACACCATACACCATGCTCTCCTGTCATGATATGTCGCGTACAACTCATCATTTGTGCTTGGTAAACCTTCATCCAATGCAAAGCCAACGTTAAGTTCTCTAAATTTGTCCATCTTAATGAAAGTCCTCATTCCTTGAAACCCACCAGTTTCTTCATCTACAAAAAAGAGTTAAAGGTTCCATCAAATAAAATTCAAATTAGAAAAATATAAAGACACATGTAAAGAGGTCGGCAAAGCTGTGGTCAACAAAAATATTGAATAGTGAGTTTCTTACATTCAACCATTCTTTCACACATTTAAAAAGCCATCCTGAACTGATGCTAGGAAAACAAAGGCTAATATTTAAAAAAAATTATTAATAAATTGCTGAAAATTGGCTTAAAACACTTAGTCAAAAAAAAACTTTTACAAAATATCGAAAACTCTGAAAAAAATTCAGATTTTATCTTATCATGACCTTTCGACAATAACCATAAAGATATACATAATACTGTTGTATAAATATGGAGATAAATCTATTTTCTGTTTCTATGTCTGTTATGTCGGCCATGTGCATTTCAGTTCAATGGACGATTAAGGGACATTGTTATTATAACAATGTAATTTATTCTCATAACACAAAATCATTTACTTGAGATTATAATGACATTGTTCTGTTAGAAAACATTTTCATTCATTTTTTTCATTGTTTTTAAGGTTCCATAGTAAATAGGGAACACTTATAGTTTCGCCATATCTGTCTGTCCGTCCACAGCTTAGTTCAAAACTATTAGTACTAGAAAGTTGTAATCTGGCATGAATATACACGTTAATTAAGTCAACAGAGTGGTAAACTAAATTTAAAGTGGGGATAATTTATTTTTCGTGATCCTCAGTGTGGGGCAACGTAAGATAGACATTTCAAAAACATTGAGGGCTTGAAACGGCCATTTGTGACTTATTAGTCAAGTGTCCCTCCCTTCTTTCAACTTTCCGCTCGTTGGTAAAAACTCATATGTTACGGTAGCAGTAATATAACGAAGTTAAAAAGAAAATTATAACACTTAAGTTGGCTTTACAAGTTCCCGAGTAATAGTCGATCAATTGTATTTAAAGTATTTCGTGCGAAAGTCTGACTCGCACTCGACCGATTTTTTTAAACTTTGTACTCAATTTCAAAATAAACTTAAATTTCAGCGGTTTGAGTTTAAAATAAATAAGATTTGTATCAAATTAAATTTTTATTATGCTAAACATTAGCGACCTTTAAAAATCTACCTTAGCCATTTTTTAATGATAAAACCAAGCCAGTTAAGAAGCAAAATTATAAAGAAAACTATCTGTTTCGGACAACTATAAGTTTTAACCAACTTCAAAAAGGAGATTCTCAATATAGATGTTTTTTTTTTTCTAGCCATAAACTCTTGATTCTGTATTACAAGTTTATCTCACACGCTAAATATACGCTGTAACTGTGTTATATATATTTCACTTTTTTTTCAGATATTTTATATTGCAAAATTACGTAGGCGGGATGATAAATAGCTAGCCCAACCCATATTTTGTATAATAACGATATAAAATCTCCTTAGTATTTTACTCATTGGTTCATTAGCTGCCAGTATTCCAAATTTCAAATCAAACGTATGGATTTTTTTTTATATTCACATTTGAAAAAGCGTTCTTTTGTTTTTTCTGCAAAATGGATAAAATTGAGCTACGAGCTGTGATAAAGTTTTTGCATTTAAAAGGATTAAAAGGTGGAGAGCTTTTTCGGAGATGAAGGATGTTTTGAGAGAAAATGCTCCTTCATATGCGACCATAAAAAATTGGGTGGCTGAATTTAAACGTGGCCGTACCAGCACCCAAGAGGAACATCGTCCAGGACGCCCAAGAAGTGCCACTACTCCAGAAATTGTGATCAAAATTCATGATGCAGTTTTAGCTGACCGAAGATTGAAACTTTCCGAGATAGCTGATACTGTAGGCATCTCTAAAGAACGGGCGCATTACATTTTGACTCAAGAATTATGTATGAAAAAATTATCCGCGATTGTTTACAGTTGACCAAAAACGCGTTCGTATACAAATTTCATAAGAATGTTTGGACCGCTTTCAGAGCAATACAACTGATTTTCTGCGACGGTTTGTTACTACAGACGAGACTTGGGTTCATCACTATATACCTGAATCAAAAATTCAGTCTAAACAATGGACGGTAAAAGGATCCCCGGCTCCAAAAAAGCAAAAGCCGTGAAATAAGCAGGGAAAGTCATGGCGTCAGTATTTTGGGATTCGAAGGGTATATTGATGATTGATTACCTTCCAAAAGGTCAAAACATAAATGGCGAATATAATGCTGATCTACTGGATAAATTACAAGTGTGTATTCGTTAAAAAATACCCGACCTGGCTAAAAAAAATATCTTTCGCGAGTTCACACGTGCATCACTGCGATGGCGAAATTCAAAGAATTATATTAAGACACCCAGCTTATGTTCCTGATCTGACACCATCTGACTTTCATCTATTCCCTAAGCTCAAAAATTTTTTAGGTGAACAAAGATTTGAAAATAATACCGAGGTGATGTCTGCCGTGGACAGTTATTTTGAAGGGCTTGAAGAAAACCACTTCAGGGATGGCATCAAGGCTTTAGAGCATAGATGGATGAAGTGCATAGCGCTTCAAGGAGCCTATGTCGAAAAATAAATATACTTTTAACACACTAATACAAGTTTTTCTATGCTAGGCTAGCTATTTATCATCCCGCCCTCGTACTAAACTGTAAAAACGGTATTGGTTTTGTTTGTTCTTATCCCAAAAAATAACCATATTTATCGGATCAGTTCTATGTATCTAATTAATTCATAATTTTGTTAAATTATGTATATTCAAATAATAAATTTAAAGTGCATAATTTAATTTAAGTTAAATTATATTCAATTAATAAAATATAGTAATAATTAATAACATAAATACTAACCAGGCATGAACGTTATATGTATTGTGCGGTTCAATGCAGCATTTTGTTTCTTTAACCTCCGGATGGCTTCGATGTATAGGATACCCACGTCTTTGGTGTCCTGCGCACCGCGTGCATATACATTGCAATTTTCATCGACGTGCGCTGCAAATGGCGGGTACTTCCAGCGAGCCTTTAAGAATTTATGATGTAAATCGATTTGCTCTTGCAAAAGGTTAAGCAGCTTTTTCAATATTACACTTATAGTTTATTTACTATTCAAAGACGTTGCCAGTATTGAGCAGCTTCTTCAATATTAAACGTATAGTTTATTTACTGTTCAAAGACGTTGCCAGTGTTAAGTCTCCCCAAGATCGCCGGCACGATTGACGAGAGAAACCCAATGGTGAAAATAAGTACAAACTTTTTTTTATATAATTTTTGCCTTTAACATTACATTGAGTTGAAAAAATCTCGCTCCTCACCCCCGAGAGTTTAAAAGTTAACAAGACCTCAACTCTACATCTACAATCACTATTTCATATGATCTCAAGGCCATACAGATCTTATTAATTTAATGAATTTTCCGCGCATTTCTTTTATAACTAAACAACGTTGTTCAATTAAAGAGTTTAATTTTCCGAAATATTTATTATATTATATAAATATTTCAACATTCCGAAACTGACGCAGAGGTAGTACCTACCCATCAGACACATATGAAACATTTCTAATCGTATTAATCAATAGCCAAATAGGTATTAAGGAACGTAGGTAGATATATTAATAATCGAGCATGAGCGTCCCGGTGACCAGGTCTACAGGTTCCCAACATCATCCCTCAGATGACGATACACCGTAGTTTTAGTGGGTAGGCCTCCCTAAACAGATTGAATCGGTCCTCAGATAGTCCATACTCCTCTTTCGCTTGCCAGGCGACAGGGTCACTACACTGCTTTATGTGAATAGGCATGACGACTGAGTAAAAAAAAAAGAAATTCTATTTAGTCCATCAGTGAAATAATAGAACAATATTTAAAAAAAATTGCTTCAGTTTAGCAAGAAGTGGTTTAAATAATAGGCATTAAATTTGAGGAGTGGGGGCTCGCTAGAACTGTTTAGAAAATGTACAAAGGTGTGACGTCATGTAATATTTCTACTCAATGCATCGACGTAATTTATTGATTACACAAAACATATTAAAAATACGTGTCTATTATTATTTATTAAGCTAAACAGACAGATATACAAAAATAATACATCATCCTTATTATTGCATTTCGCGGATTATTAAAAATGAAACACTTATAATGATGTTCCTATTTTCTTACTCACCTCGTCAGCTTCCACGACGTCCATATGTGAGTTAAGCATGATGCTGGGCAATGAGGGGTCGACTCCCGGCCAAGTTAATACGCATATGGGAATCCCAGCTGGTGTATACACAGCGAAATCTAACCCGATTTCTGAAGATAACGATCGCAAGAAATCCACAGCTTTGTCTAAGAAAAAAAAATTGGAAACTTGTTAATCAACATCGACATTGAGTTATTGATATTGAGTTATTATTCGTTCAAAGTGTATGTATGGTTTAAACCGGTGGTTCTTAACCGGCGGTCCGTGGAAGTATTCTGTGGAGTGATAAAGCACGGGGCGATTCATGACCAGATACAATAGTTCCCTAAGACTGAAAAGCTAAGGTTTAGAATTTCCGATATCTGACAAATCGTTTTATAATAAATAAAAAAAAACTTAACAGAATTAAATACTTAATACGACAGAGTACGATCTCAGGAAGATGAATCGTTCCTTGATTTGTTTAACGAAAGATTCCCTTAATTCGTCCCGTGCGCGCCTAATATTAACAAGCAGTGGGAGAAGCAGGAACTACGCAAGAGTGATTATTTATTTGAAGGTAAATTTAAATTTACAATATACACCTACTTATTTGGAATCGACATTTTTTGCTGATTCTAAAAACATATGTATATTTCACGTAAAATTGTATTTAAACATCGTTGATTTATAATTGGTCGAGAATTCGAGACCAACCTACCCAGATACAATGATTATAAACTACAGTAAGTTTAGTTTCGATTAGATTATAGTGATTATAGTTATTTATTTTTAATTTAAGGTACATACAATATAACCTGATATAGCGTAAAAATAACGCCCGAAATCCCGGATCAATATACCTTTTAATTGTCGATATTAAACACAATAAAAAAGAGTTTGTTTAAAACTTATTATGCGAAAACGGCCAACGAGCAAAATCGATAAGTATCGGATAAAACTACGCAATAAAATTTATGTATTTGCATATAAATGACAATACTTTACATAGGTAGGATGTTACAGTCACATTTTATCAAGCAAATAAAGACAAATTAGTTCCGTGGCCTATTAAAAATTTTATCACATCTTTTTCTATCTATCTGTTGCTATTTGTAAAGAAATGGCGTCACGCATTGTATCCGTTCATTATCACATAATTGGAATTATGCGTGACTTAAATGTGTTTAATTTATTTAAAAAATATATATTGGGTTTTTAATGTTTCGACTTATGGAAATTACGTAGTACTTCGTGTGGGTAACACGTGTAATTATGTCACCTAATGAAAATAAGGATGACAACTGGGTAAAAGATATATATTTATTTAACCCGCCAGTCAGATAATTTAAAAATATTAGATACATATTTTTTTACTTCAATTAAAGTTAAGGAGTGAGGGCTACGTCACAGTTTTGTAGAAAATGCACAAAAGTGTGACGTCATGTGACAATTTAATGGATACGAAAATAATAAAAAACAATACCTGCTTAATATACAACAATCTACCTGACGGCCAAACAAACGAAAATCAGTTGTCATTCCTATTACATAAGTTTCGTCATCATCATCATCATCAGCCCTATTACGTCCCCACCGCAGGGGCTCAGGCCTTCCTTATGGATGGTTAATAATAATAATAAACACAAATAAATAAATTTAATAGACTGCAAATACAGCCGGGACCAACGGCTTAACGTGCCTTCCGAAGCACGGAGTAGCACGACATAATAATTTTTTGGTCACCCATCCCGTGACCGAGCCTTGCGAAAGTTGCTTAACGACAACAATCGCGGGCCGCGGCGTTTGTCCACTACGCCACCGAGCCACTCACGGTACTTATAAGTTTTGAATTTTAATATAATCATTTGAATACAACATTCCCATTTCTACCTCGAGTGTAAGTAGGGTGGCGTGTATGCTAGTCACTGGTAGCCTCTACCTATAGGTACTTACATAAATTTTCACTGCGACTCGTGTCGATTTCAAGATATTTCCGGAAATTCATAACAGCAGGGTCTTGTAGAGGGCATATCGTCGTATTATTTTCTGGTTGCGCCCTTAAATAATACACATTGGCTATTATGAGCAACGTGTGAATGATTATCATTTTATTTTCGCCGAAATCTGAAACATTTAAGGAAATACTGCATTACATAGGTTATTTTGTATAATCTTCCTTAAAAATGAGATACTCAAGTAATATTACAAGATACCTAAATAGGTAACATTATCACTAGCCTATTTAGTCCGCACTACTAGATCACCGGCCTTTCCTATTGATGGAACCAAATAGGAAGAATGGGCGTTTACCCACCATGCTGGCCCAGTGCGGATTAGTAGGTGTTAACTACTGCAGATTCTGCCGGGACCAATGGCTTAACGTGTCTTCCTAAGCACAGAGGGGCTTGAGATAATAATTTTTGGTCACCCATCCTATGACCGGCCGTTGCGAAAGTTTCTTAACAACATTATCGCAGACCGAATATGCTAACCAGTACGCCATCGAGCTCCCCCTCACTTAACTGGGTATACCTTTTTAGGGTCTGTCTGTCACCAGGTTGTACTTCATGAACCGTGAAAGTTAAATAGTTGAAATTATCACAGATCATGTATCTCCGTGGCTGTTTCAAGAACAAATACTAAAAACCAGAAAATAATAAATATTTATGGGGGCTTCCACACAGCAAACGTGTTTTTTGTGCTTGTTTCCGGTATATAACCTTACGTGCGCGAGTTTGACTCGCAATTGGTCAGTTTTTTTTTAAACGCGAGAAAAATGACCTTATACGTCAAATGAGGCCGACAATAATGGAAAACAGCAAATACAATAAGAAAAGGTGTGGTAGTTCTATGATGCTACCACACCTTTTATTAGTGTTGTCATTCTATAGTAGGGTTGCCAACCTTACCATAATATATAGTATTGCACTTTAATTCAGGTCCGTCTACTATACACTGTATTTCGAATACCAAATTTAAACAAATAAATACTTCTTTTTAAAATATATGAACGCGAATAATGCGACTTACCCGAATTCATTTGTAACATTAAAATTTATTTTAAATCAAAAAATTGAGTAGGTGACAACATATACTTTCTAATAACAATATAAATTAAGTGTTTCCAAATCTAAAAAGAATATTTTGAGTTTTCAGGCCCTTTAATGCGTCAGTGTTTATTACTCAAAATGACTGATCGGCCTTGGATTAAATGACATGGCCGGCATTTGTATAAAACTTTGTTAAAAAAAAGATTCATGTACATTGATATACTGTGGATTATACTCAATTTGTTAAATATGTCTTTGCAATATCACAAATTGTATATCTGAAAAGAAGCGAGAGGCACCATAACAATGTTACAAAAATTAATACTATAACATTTCTAAATATTCTGTAAATATTTCAAAAGCAATTGCCTTATTGCGATAATCATAAAATCACTTAATTTTTAATTGACCATGTCAATACGATTCAGATAGCTTTATTTTTCTATTAAATTTAAAGTTCATTACCAAATAGTAATTATGTATCTAGACTCAAATTAATTGTGACTTTCGCGATCGTAATGCCAGCACCTAAAATATGTAAATACCTCTATGATATACCTCGATAAAATAAACGTACTATTTTTTATGGCATATTTTGTGCATGTTCTAGAGAATTATGATCAGCACCTTATATTTTAATTTATTATAAATATATTTTTTACAAATTGATAATTATTGTAAGTTTTAATTGATTCCTTGGGCAGGATCCAGTCATGTCATTTGAGGAAGATATAGGGAGAAACTCTTCCGTAAATATGCAGAAGAAAGACTGGTACCATATTTTTCGAGTGTACTTACTATACTTTTTGTAAGTTAAGTTTAAAATACTTTATTTTGTTGTAAAAACCCTATTCTATAGTGATAATAACAACTTTTTGTAAGTTATGTTTAAAATACTTTATTTTGCTGAAAAACCCCTATTCTATAGTGATAATAACAAGTGTAAATTAAATTGTATAAAACTGGTTCAGGAAAACAAGTTACTAAAACACTATGATAGTCCTCACTTAATTAAATCTATGGGGCCGTACATTAATCACGTGATGTTTTTTCTACATTTTTAACCCCCTCTGCCCCTTATTGATACATGGTGAGGTTTAAGACTACGCCTCCCCCCTTCAACCAAATCACGTGAATTTGTAGTACCTACAAAAATCTTAACTTTAGACGTCGCTTTTCGATTTAGTAATCGCGCGTTTGAGGAAATAATAAATACACGTGACATATCCCATCCCTCGTGTGATATTTCGTGATTTTTTACGAACGTCCTCCGCCTCTTTGGAGCATCACTCGATTAATGGACGGCCCCTTATATAAAGTAGCAATGAGAAAAAATCCGAGACATCTTCATGTATATCTTCACCTTACAGTACTTAACCCACACAAAGAAAAAATACTTCGAACACAAATATTTATGATGATCCTCCAAAATTGCAATCGTTAATCACCGAGTTACAAGACAAACTTATATACGCACAAAAGGAAATCAAAAGGCTCACGAATCAAATAAATTTATTGGAAATTAAACTGCATAAAAAGATTTATTACATCGAGAACTCCGCACTGATACAGGTTTGCAGTACGTCCACAACAATACCGATACGAGATACGATGAAAACATACAAAAATAGGATATTCATATACGGGCAACAACAATGTGTTGAACTATCATCAGCCCGCAGTCGCTCGAGAGAATATTACAATGTATATAATCACATTTCAAACAAAGCCTTATGCCCCAACAGATATTAGTATTATTGCAACGGAAGCAGAAACAGAACCAGAAATTGAAATAAAATTTAAGCAGTATCGAATGCGGAAACGGAAGTGTAAATACTATGAAAAAATGTTTATGAATTTATTATATTTTATGTAATATTCTTTATGAAATGATATGACAAAATTATATATAATAAGTATTATTTTTTTACTAAAAAATAATTAAACACGAAGGGACAACTCGAAACAAATATCGCGTGCGCCTTATACATTTTTGCCTTCCCTTTAAATTTTCGTTATTAAAGTTGCGAAACCAAAACCAGAAACGGATGTCAGAAAACATGCGGAAGTTCTGCAGTTACGGAACCACAAGTAGATGCATCACTAGTGAAAACGACTAAGATATTAAAATAATGATTGACCAATCACGTAAACTTTTGAAAAATAACGATATAACGTGATATTCTATTAAATTTATATAAGAACATGCATTTATATGGATGACTTAAACTACATGATACAAATACTCAAGGCACTCGGTGTTCGCCCATCATCGAAGTATATCACTGCATAGTATAAAATAGCTTTCTCTGACCCTATATCCCTATACTACGCAACGGATTTTGATGCGTTTTTTTTATATATAGGGTGATTCGAAAGGAAGGTGTTTATGTATAATACAAGTATAATTAGTAATACGGAAGCTAGTATAATATATATGATATCATCAAAGAAACTAAAAGATGTCTTATTTACGTTTCCTATAATTTTTGTAAACAATTAATATTTGTAAGTATATAATTGAAAATATAGATTTTTTTGAACAAAACCATGTTAAAAACTTTAGCATTCTATGAAGTTAGTAATGAATAGGTACTGACAAATCTTAAAAGAGTTTCTCACTTAATATTCATGAAAATTTTATTGAAGTTAGAAAATTTTTGCGCCCAAATTCAATTGTGAGTTGATCTGCGGTGTTCCTTCAAACAACGTCACTGTATCAATAATATTAGTGTTAATGACACTGATAATATTAAATCACATATTTACCAATCAATTTCTACTACAAAAAATATAGATAGGTACTTATATTAAATTGAATTGATTCTAGAGGAAATTCATGTTTTCTCATTTATTTGCAGAAACGTGCAAGAAGTTTAATGCACCAAGGCGGAAATGAAGACACTTATTGCTATCTTATCTTTTTTTAGGTGTGATAATCTCGATAAAAGATTATTTATCTCATAAGTGTTTACAAGTGTGAATATTTACTCCGATTTTGATTATTTGATTTAAATGTTTAAATACATCAAAACCTAGATATTTAACAATGTTCTTTGCCTCGCCCGCGTGATCGAGATTCCACTATCACATAATATAATTTTCCACTTTTTAAGATATATAGATCGAACTCGATCAGATTAGATTCGAAATCTTAGTTACAAAACCGATAAAGTTAATTTAAAATCCACATTTGTTTTTCACAACAGGAACTCATTATTATTATAGGTTAGGTTAGGTTAGAACCGTGACTAAACCAAAAAGCGAGCCTAGCGAGGGTAACGAGCATGCAGTGACAGCGGCCGGCGAGCGCCATTTTTAAGCTAATTTCTATTGTTCCTTGGGAGGAAGAGAATTAAATCCAGAAAACTATTTGGGCATTAATATGTAAATTAATTTTTATACTAAATGTTATTATATAATGTGGATTTAGATTAAATGAATGTTAGATGATTAAAAAATTATACCACATAAGTTTTATGTATAATAATGTGGATATTAAAGAAAATTTTATTGAATGAAGGGTATTTCTTTCAAAATTATGTTTAATTTTTTTTCCGTTTATCATATAAAATAATCGATATATTAAACAAAATTATGTTATTCGAATGTATAGGGTGTGCATTTTATATATTTTGTTATTATTACCATATATATTACACCCATATATTACGTTAATCGGAAATTTTCAAATCGTTCTTATAATTTTGTTAAAATCATAGCCATAAAGATTATCTGTACAACAAAGGTAGTGTCAGGTAATCGAAAAATGCGTTACTTTATAGTTGTATTAGCATTTCAAAGATATAGATGCAATTCCGTTTTCGGAAAAATAGAATAATATTTGCTTGATGAGCTTACATAATTTGAACATGGCGGGAATGTTGAGTCCCTGTATTTTATTTTGATGGTCCGACACTGAATCGTGACTCGACAAATGGGAAACACTGGAATAGGTCTTTAGGTGTCGTGATAATTCGAACGAGTAGTAGATATGAAGAAGGAATGGATATAAGCACAGGGGGCCAATTCTACTAAATAAATTTTGTTTAAATCGAATCGAAAACGGATCGAAACCGAACTAAACTACAGTTTTTAATGGTTTTCCTTTTCAACAAAGTGACATACGATACAATTCCAGTTCTATTTTAGCTGGAATTGTATCGTATGTCACTTAGCAGAATAGAAAAGCCATTAAAAACTGTAGTTTTGTTCGGTTTCGATCCGTTTTCGATTCGATTTAAACAAAATTTATTTAGTAGAATTGGCCCCCAGTACCTATTCAGTAGCGCTACAAATGCAACAGTAACGTTCTGCCAATGGGGAAACAAGGCTTAAGAGGATTAGAAGGCTAACTAATCAGTTAAAATATATTACCTACCTTGTTACCAACTAGTAGAACGAACGCTAAACACCGACACACGTAAAGCCCACTCCAAGACTAGCGATAGAGTAAGTATTGGGTGAACATCGTAAAATATTAAAACCAAACACATACCTACCTAACTAGCAGATGTAGTTATCATTCATTCATCTTCAAATACTTAAACTTACTCAATATAAGTATATCTTATTCAATCAAAGCCATACAACTATGAGTTGTTGTATTATAGTCTATTTTTATTATTTACGTATTAAACAATTTAGTTTAATGAATTATATTAAATTTACCTAAACAATTATATAATAAAAAAAGCCGAATTTAGGAAACGGTACATACTGTAAAACCGGAAAAAAGGTTATAATTCGCTCTTCTAAATCGGTTCCTGCAACTTGACACGGAGTGTTTTAATTCAATCATTCATCCCGTTCAATAAGCAGTTTGTTTTCGGCATCTAACATTTTTTTATCAGATTTCATGAAGTTTCAAAAATTACGTCGTATTTCTGATATCGAAGTCGAAAAATCATGAGACATGATTATTATGGCAGGATATTTTTAAATATTCTTACGCTGAGGACAATGCTATTTATAATCTATAAAATTCAATAAAGTTTATTGATTATCCAAACACATACGAAAAGAGAAAGCTTATTACAGTCTATCCGAATATACCTATAACAGATAAGAATGCTAGGAATTAGGATGGTCCAGCAAATGGATAGGTGATTTCTTCTGAACACATTATATCATAAACACAAAAATTATCTTGTTGCCATTATTATTAAATTATTATGTTATCATTATAAGACCATAGTACTTTTTTCTCATGGCTTTTGTGAATGTCGTTACTCCTATTAGAGCTAAATTGGCACTTTCAGCCTACTCTCCTCTACAAAGGGTACATAACGTGGTGTGTTGAAGTATGTAGACGCCGACCATATATTAACAAGAGTTTCAAAATAGTTTTAAAAAATCTTAATAGAAAAAAAAACAATGTTCTCCTGTGTCAGTGTCATGGGCAGTCAGTGATGTATAATTTTGTAATTCAACATCTTAGACTATCTCAATTTTCTTCTTCCTTATATGTATCATCTTTCACACAGGATATCCATATTTTCCCCGGTTTCCTCTCTTTACAATTCTGTTCATAATCTCATAGCCCTTTTTAACTAACTTCAAAAATAAGGAAATTCACAATTCGTTTAGTCCGCCTCCTTCGGCTTTGATACATACATAATCACCGTTACACACAGACAAACTGAATAGGTAATTAATAAAACTTACCTTCTCCTTTTGACAAACGTTTGCTTCAATACTGCACTACAACTATGATTAGCGTTGCATCGATCCGTGCCCGTCAGTGAACGATGAAAGAGAATTCACTGAGATATATCCATTTAACGAGTCTTCGTAAAATCTATTCTCGGCCAGAACGCAAAGTAGCGCATGAATGACATGACATTTGAGTTAAGTATTGCATGTTTCATAATTCATAGTATGTTACCGAATAAACTTGTAGAGTTGAGTACTTAGATGATATTTTACTTTCTCTATTTAGTATTGGTATCTTTGTTTTGGCACAAGCATGCGGTCAATCAGAGATGCTTGGATGGGAGTTCACAATTTTATAATATATTTGCTTTATTTTAGATACCAGGATTATCATCAGCTTAGTAATGCCCACAATGCTTGGGCACTGGTCTTCCCTATGGATAGAATCGAATAGGGAGAATAGGATATGGGTATTAACGACTGCAATGCAGCAGCGACCCACGACTTAACCTAAATTTCTAAGCACGGTAAAGCTTGAGGAATTTTTGGTCACCCATCCAATGATCGGCCATCGCAAAAATTGCTTCCGCATCGAAGAACAACCGTAACCACTGAGTCATTGGTGGTCTAATCTATTGACAGTTGTGTTCAACACCCAGTACCGTTGACAAATAAACACGGGGTAGCGAGTACGCGTATTGAGTTGGGTTGTGTTGTGACCGCACACTATTATTGTTATTTTCTTTCCGATTGTTTTTGTCAAGTTTTGTTGTTACTTTTTACGATTGGCTACTAAAGCAATGGTTTTTATAATTTCCACAATAAAAATAAATAAAAATAAAAAAGTAAAAAAGCCTTTTATTTCTTGCCTAAAAAATTACAAAAAAAAATTGGTTTACAATAAAAAAAATAACAAAATAAACATTGAAAAACAGTGTGCATGCAATTATTAATGAGGAGCTTTATTCTTTTAGGTGCTTTTATATTTATGGGTGCAAGAAATAAGCACAATAAGCAAACCTAATCTTATTAAGAAAATAACGATATCTAATACCATCAGTACTTTTGGAAATGTTACTCGTATTAAAATCGTCCTATGATTTTTGTCTTTAGGTAAAGAATTTTCTTTTTATGTATTAGCAAACCCAGCGAATTGTTTTCCGCCTAACAGTCAACGAGTGTGAAGATTTCATCATCGGCCCTTTTACGTCCCCACTGCAGGGGCTCAGGCCTTCCTTATGGATGGTTAAGGAGGATGGGCCATGAACCTCCACGCTGGCCCAATGCGGATTGGAGGGTATTAACGACTACAAATGCATCCGGGACCAACGGCTTAACGTGCCTTCCGAAGCACGGAGTAGCTCGAGATAATAATTTTTTGGTCACCCATCCCGTGACCGACCCTTGCGAAAGTTGCTTAACGTCAACGGTCGCGGGCCGCGACGCTTATCTACTGTGCCACGGAGCTACGGAAGAGGAGCGGAGTGAAGATTTAGGATTTTAAAATTACATATTATTATATGCCTATTTAATGGATAATTAATTAATATTTAAATAATAAGCTTTCCGCCAGCGGCTTAGCCCTCGTGGTCCCGTATAATAGATTATAAGCCTTCCTCGGTATTCACTATCTGTTGTTGAAAACCACAAGAAATCGTTGTGTGTACGTAGCTTAAGATTTCGGAGCAAACAGCGGCAAACAACTTTGTTTTAAACTATGTACTCGTATGTTGTATTAGCAATTTGCTGCGGATATGTATTTGACTTTTTTGTTTTATGAAAAATCCTTATTTAATCAAATTAAAAAAAAGCGAACTAAAAGTTTAAAAGCTATTAGATTTAAAGCAAACGTCCCCGAGACTGCAATGAGAATTGTACTTATCTATTATGTAAACATTACGGGAATATACTCATTAATGCCTTAAATTCGATATTCATAGCGTTAAATAATGTCATTGATGGCATAGGTTTCTAAGAACAGATCTTCATATCTAGTTTCTGACTTCCCAATACTAACCGTTGTAAATGTTAGACACTGCCGGCTTTTGAGAAACAAAATTCGTGATATTCAGACGGTCATCAGAAGTAATCGTACTTCAGTCCATTGTACGTCAAAGGAGAAATAAAATCTTTATTTTTAATTAACAAAAAAAGTATTAAAAAAAACGAAAGCACCTCTACTAGATGGCGACGCTAGCAAAAGTTGATTTTTGCAGAAAACGAATGGACTAAATATAGTCATCTCCGATCCTTTTAACTAACATATTAAAAAACTGAAATTTGAAAAGTTCGAATCTTAGATATCAATACAAATACGAAAAAGTACAAATAGAATATGAGTTATTTATTGAGTTTTGAAAACTAATTTACTTTTAAACATGAAAAAAAACCGGAAGGATTGTCATGGATAAATCAAGAACGTACCGTAGCCACATCTAGTTTGATTTCGGGAACTAATGTTTTTTTTTAAATACTTCCTCATTACGGAAGATGCGTTACGCCGTCCTGTCGCCTTACATAACGACAGGGGCACAGCAGGGGTCACGGCAGACGCGAAATCATGGGTACCTAAAGCACGAATGGAACGATTGTCGAGTGTTATTAAAACTCGAGATAAAATTCAGAAGAAAACGGCACTATCCCGGAATATTCTGGACGGGTGGCAACCCTTCTGTATATGTATATTCTAAAAGCGAGTAGGATTTTAACATTCTCCTTTAACAGCCTGGCGTATTGTTGACTGTATACTTCAAACGTCTGGATTTGTCCAAGACCTTTATTTCTCAAATTGATTGCATGTCTTACACCCAGTTGCACAAACGTCCATTAGGGTTTAATGGCGAGTTTAAGATCTAATTAATGCTCTCAATTTTTAAATTTGTTTCGGTAACGTCGCTTTAGATTAATTAAAGTTTTAATTGACGTTTGAGCAACTAGGTGTAAGTAAATCTGTTAACAGTTAAGCGCAATCTGATGCTATTTTTTTTAATGAAACAAAACATGTAATATACTACAGTTATGTATTAACTTTAACAATTATAATAGTTAATTAATCTTCCTTCATGAAATCGTCAGATTTGTCGCCAATGTCATCTGGAAACTCCTCGAACGACATGAAATCATCATGTTCCGTAATCTTGCTTTCATCTTTCTCTTTATTATACCCTTGTACATCATCTAAAGCAGAGTATACGCATTTCTTTTCAATTTTCCCAAGGATTTTCTTATCGTGAAACGAGTGGTTGTGAAGATTAGCCCTGCAAAAAAAAACATAAATGAAAATCATTTATTCAGTGTAGGCTGTTACAAAGCAGTTGTGAAAGTCGATACTCTATGCCATTGGTTCGTTGGACTATGGCGGGGGACCTTGTACCGAGAAGTTCCGGCAAGAAACCCTGCAAAGGTTGCTTTTTGTAGCCTAATTTAATTCATACAGAGTCGTCAAGATTGACAAATGACTTCATTCAAAAATTTAGTCATTTTCCGTCACTATATTAGAAAATATAAAAAGTATATATATAAGATTGCGTTTATATTGAAGTGTATTTAAAAAAGCGATTTTTGGATAGTCAGGTTATCCGATATTATTGATTTCTCCATTTATTTCTAAACACTATTGAGTAAAATTTTTTTTTTTATATTGTAAACTCAGAAATATAAAAACTTAATTTTTTAAATCGAGTCGGCTAGGAAGCGATCCAATGAACTCAAATATGACATCTTAAAACCGGCGTACGAATCACTACAGCAGAAGTAATTCATTCGAGAGTCAACATACATTAAGGTATTCATACTGCTCAGCAAGCTAATTGTATTTTTGCATTGTGGTTAATTTTCACATACCCGTGACCAGCCCTGCGATTCTGAAAAAATTATAACCCGAATTCAAATTCACTTAGGTCCCATTTCATTTCAAAAAGCGGCATCCGCTCAACCTTGAATCGCTAATAAGGTTTCGTGACATAAGTAAAAGTTGTTTCGAAATGGCATATAATAGAGGGTATGTTCCGATATACACAGCGAGCACTGCGCAGTGGTCTTACTGCTGAAAAATCCGTTCCGTTATGGACTGCCAGTATACTGCTACAGTACCCTAGGGAAATTTATGACGTCATAAATTGCCGCCATATTTGTACTGTGAGCACTGGAGATTTCGAGGTAAGGTGCTCGCAGTGCTTTTGATCACGTGATCAGTCGAAACAGAATCAGAAAATGATAAGTTTCTAAATAAACAAAAAAAAATACTTACGTTTATTTATAAGATGGATTTAATTGATAAATATTATTTTTTATACAATTTTCCAATTTTCTTTTGAAAAGAGGGAATATTTATATTTATATCCACCTTGCATTAACAAATTTGAAAATGGCGCCAAAAATAGGATTGGTGACTTTTTAAAACGGAACGCAGTCCAGTATAACAGTATACTGTTATACTGGACTGCGTCCAGTATAACAGTATACTGTTATACTGGACTGCGTTCCGTTTTAAAAAGTCACCAGTATAACTAGCTATAAAGGAACCAGTATACTAAATTGACGTCATACTGTTCAGTGGTCGCAGTGTATATCGGAACATACCCAGAATATTTGTGACACATATATTCGATCAATTATGTTTTTTATTTTTATGCAAACAATGGCATCAATAGAATTTCTACACTCAATGATGTGAATTCGAACAAAATCGGGTCTGGATTTTCACAGAATCGCAGGACAGAACATATTCGAAATTTGAATTCATGCAGAACTTTGAAAAATTTAAACCTGTTTAAAACGACGTTGCCCCGGGTGACGACGAAAGCTTTGCACTTGTGATTTCTATAGTCAACACACCGCCAACGACGTACGCCATTCCGATGGGTGATCGAGTGCATGTTATATATGTATCTATTCAAAATTATCTGAAGTGACCCACGTATAGAAACCGTGAACTGGAGGTTGGTAACGGCTGTGAAAACATAAAAAATGTGCCTATTAAACAATTACACAATATAAGGTTTAATATTATTAATAATAATAATAATTTATTATTTGCCAGGACTTCGTATGCAACACTGAATTTACGAAAAATACATCAGCTTTTTTTTCTTTTTTAAATTGCCCGGCCTTACAATTATTGGCCGAGCGTCCTACCTTCTCCCCGCTTTTTAGCAGGCCCATAATACTCTACTTTTTTCGTTCATACTAATACTCGCTTTTACCATCTTTCATTCCACATTCCTGATCTTTCTTGTCCTTCCTCATTCGTTCCTTCGGCTGCAAAACTTTGCAAAAGCTTTATTACGTTTACCGATGTCTACTGCCTTATGGAAGAGAATATTCTCTCAAATTAACTTAAATAAAACAAAAAAGAGGAATAGGTTTCTGAAGAAACATGTTAATTTTAGCAGAAAACATAAAGGAACGTGTAGACTGTCTCTTTTCACCAACCCAAGAAATTATTAAAAAAAATGTCCTTGAAATCAATAAAATGAAAAGTATGAAGCAAATGTTGATACATAAATGAATAATTGTAATGAATAAAGTAATATCCTTATATACTTAGTTTTTTTATTTATTCATGTACAGTTCAATGAAAAAAAAAGTATAAAACGAAATAATGGGAAACTATAATTATTTTCGTTAGATGATATTAACCAGACTACATTCACGGTTAAAATGACGTTAAAATGAATTTCATGAAATAGTTACCCTATAAACAGGGGCACTGTACCTACTCTAAGGACGCAATAATATGATTTACCATTTTTGAATTACCCTTCTCTAGTCGTTGTTGACGTTGACATTCAATCGCGCCAAAAAGCACGATGTTTAATGTGCTCGTATGGTTATTACATAATTTTACTATTTATTTTTGTTATTAAATTTAGTTTTTCCGCGTCGGGTATTTCTTTACAATTACATGACGATACAAAATATCATATAAAAATATTTTAAGAAAAATGTGCATATTCCCTATTCAATTATTGTGTATCATTCTTACGTTTAACTGTACTGTCTGCATCCTTTTGCTCAGAAAGTAAACGATCTTGTTGGTCACTGTCATTGTCATCATGATCAATACTGTCATCCATCTGTTCATCAAACTCGTGCGACTCAATTTTATTGACGTTAGATATAAAATTAGGTGGCTGTGCTTCTGATTTTTTGTTAGGTCTGTAAGGTATAAGGTCTGTTTAAAGAACACAAGCATTTGGTTTTAAACCTTAAAGTTAAGCCTTTAATATAGAGAGGAAACTTACGTTTGTTTCGGCTCTTGTTTAATGCAAATCTTTCTTGCTGCGCTTGGTAATTCAATCTGCAAAATGTGAATATGAATAACAATTAAATTTTACATTACATAACCAATTATTTATTATTTATTCATAAATTCTTTAATCAAATAAAAGCATCATCACAGATTAGTTAAATGGAAGTTCTCTTACGTTCCTTGTAACTCTATTATAATTTTTTACTAACATAAAAGAACTATTTCTGTGGTGAATGTCACTTAGACATCTAGGTAGTAATAATTTGGTTTTGGTTGATTGGTTGGATGCATAATAATAATAATAATATTCTTTATTGCACGCTAGATAAGACATAATACAGAGAAGATAGAAAAAAGAGAAAGATTACAAAGGGCAACCTTATTGCTAAGTAGCAATCTCTTCCAGGCAACCCGAGGCAAAGAAAAACATGAACTATATAATAAAAAGAGATACTTATTAAAACTGGTAGCTTTAACAAAACCTGTTGTTTTTTTGGGTTTGTGGCCTTCCCACAATGGTTTGGAACAGGGGCTAATTGCTTCATTTTAAAATCTATTGAAATTCCTTTCAATATTCTTGTTATAATTATGTCTATATAAAGTAAAATTTACATATATTGGTAAATATCTAAGTCACTTTGCAGTCGAGGTAATTAGCATTGCTTTTACTATAATCAATATACTGTGTTATCAGTTGGAATAATGAAACTAAAAAAACAAATAATGAACTAATAAAAGTCGCACCTGTGGTGTTTGCTGATTTACTGCTTGTGGTGGCCTTTTGATTCCACTTATGTGACAGAGTTTATCATCTTCGATTTGTGAAGGTTGTGCTGTTAATTTTACTATTTTGCTATCATTACCTGTCTGCAAATTTGAATAAAAACTTAAAACTGTTTTCTATATAATGCACACAAAAAATATCTGCAATGTGTGAATATACAATGAAAAAAACTCAAACACCATAGAAATTTTGATGAGCAGAAACACAACAGGACAATATAAAATTATATGAAAGCTTTTTGAAAATGATCCTAGTTTCAGTAGGTTACAATATACCAGAATCCTGGTATCTAATTATCAATCAGATAAAATATTAAAATAGAAGGCATGTTAAGCTTAATATCCTCCAATTCTCATTAGACCATGGCCTTAACCATCCACGAGGAAGGTCTGAGCCCCTTCAGTGCAGAAATAAAAGAGCTGATAATGAAAATATTAACCTCAAAATTCCATAATGAAACAACTTTTATATGGTTTCATCGCATTTGTATTTTTTTGTTATTGATATTTCGGACCCTTTATATGTTCTGTGTCAAATAAGTCTAAGTTGTTGATTGTCTTGTAATACCATGCCGAAAACATGCTGCAATACCGTTTGGTATGGACTGTTATTCTTTTTGTAATAGTTAATATACCTAAGAAAAAGCTATCTCTTTATTGTTTTTATTACAAGATTTCAGGAAACTCTCTTAAAGAAGAATGGCGAAATCAGACCCCATAATTTACAAAACCGTACATGGATGGCAATATCACAAATAAATAGTAAATGATTAATTATTAAATTTTATTTCTACAAAATGGTGAATTTTAATGTCGGGGAACCAAACCAAAAATATTAAATGCTGCTAATAATTATCAAGATAACAAAACGTCTGATGATAGTGCAAAAACAAAACGCGAAAATCGTCTTAAGAAACGTTCCGGTCTACGCAGAAGTACTTTAATAATAAAACTATATGTTGGAAGGTTTTCATGAATTTTGCGCCGGGCAATAAAAGGTTCATCTATTTTAATGGATATTATCGTTTCCTGTACATTGCAATTAATTCTATTGCCTTTAAAGTACCATTAATACGCTTAATAATCGAATATAAATTAAAAAACAATTGTATAAAATAGATTCCGTTCTCTTTAATTGAAAACCACACAATATGTCAAAGGGTTGTAGTTTATATGGTTTTTGAAAAATCGATCACATACATCAACGATTTCAGAAGCGGTTCTCAATTAATCGCGAGTTTTTGTTCAAACATGTTCTATAGAATATTATCTGTCATCATTTACTGCTAATAATAAGTGCGATATGTGATGTGATGATGCGTACCGACTGAGCGAATGAACGTCAAATATATATTCAATATAAAATCTTTATATAATATATTATATGAAATACGGTCTTTGAATACTTTCATAAATATTTATTTTATTTGTTCAAATTACGTATTGAATACTTGAGAAATAAAAAAATTGAAAGCTAAGATACCACAACCGATTTATGAAGATTATTGCCAGTTCTGCAGTTGATCCGATGAAAGGTTAACATATTGATTATTTTGTTCTAAATAATCGATTGGTTGATTTTATTTTGACATGCTTGATTTCATCAATGAATGTTCTATGATGATGGTGGTGGAATGATAGCAGATGATTGGTTTGGTTTGTTTGTTGTGTGTTCGTTTGTGGAGTTTGATATTTATGTTAATATTCAACTTGACAATTAAGCATGTTTCTTCAACTAACATTGATATTTGCATTACTTTTGGATTCCGAATGGCAATCAATTCGGTTATATCAATGACAGTTCAATGTGTACATTGCCCTTATTTGTCACTTTCAGTTGTAATGATTTAATTAAAGGCAAAGGGATCTACTCCACGCAGTCTAGTCATATGTTATAAATGTTTCTTCTAATATAAGTGTCTGGATCTTGTTAGATATGTAATTATTTTATTAAACGGAGTAACCTGGTTACTATTTTTATTTATTTTAACGTCCATTCAACGAAAAAGCAAAGATGCAATATATAACCCCACAAAGTATTTTATGCTATATCTTTTTAATCCCAACTTTTAAAGGAAAAAGACGATTAGGATTTTGTTAGTTTAGCTTATACCTTCAAGTACACGTTTATTTCATTCATGAACGGGACTTTCAAATTTCAGGTCCAAAGCTATATAGGAGTTTGCCATTGTTCTTTGGAACCAGTGATAGATTTGTGTTAGGTAGTTTAAGGTAAATAATATTCTACAAACATTGTACTATCAAACAACAAATTTAAAATAGAAGAGCCAGGACAATTCTGTTAATATCAAATATAATATTGTTACACAACACAAGTGATAATAAACTCACCAAGAAACTTCTATTAATATAAAAATGTTACTCACAAAATTTTCAAGTCCTTTGATATGTAGTGATTTAGCTGCTTCTGTAAAAGATGCCAGATTGTCAGCAGCTACAAGGACCTCACCAGTGTATATGTATTCCAATAAGGCTGACAAGGTTCTATGAGAAACATTCTGTAAAATAACCTTTTCTTTAAATGTATTTTATAATAAAAATTAGATAACAATAATAATAATAATAATAATAAAATACTTTATTGCACTCAATATGATACATAGTTTACAAAAAAAGCTACATAGTTAACACTACCACATACAACAAAGGTACCAAGCTGACCTGAGACATGAAAGAAAATATATTATCTCCTACTCATATGTAATAATATCACATCTGAAGGTCTGTTCTATTTCATTGGAAATGAAATATTGTTTATTTTAAAAATATGGCCAATATGACTGTGAAGAAATGCATTTTCAATAATTTATGTTATGAGGCAATGGCAATGGAATTGACATAGCCTCTGATATACAGAAATCTTCTTGACATAACATAATTTTACCAAAATTATAAGAATGATTAAAATTTTTGCAAATGTTCATTCGAGTGAAGAAAGAAGAAGAAATAAATGTTCGAGAGTGTCATGAGGTTATAAATTGACCCATCTGTGAATCAAATCCTGGAGCTCATACATTGAAACATCTTGAAATGGCATATCAACCACTGGTCATTCAGATTGAATTAGAACCAAAAAATTTTATTAGTAAGTAAATTTTTGCAAAATAAATTTAAGGTAGCTTTTTTATCATATTTATAATAAAAAAAATACACAAATATTAGTAACACAAATAAAAATTATTGAATGTTACAATATTAAAGCATTGCTCTTCAAACTAAGTTATTTTTACCTGCCAGCAGCATTTCATGTAAATGTTCTTGAACAAAGTTGATTACTACTCACATTTAGAAACAAAACTGGATGCTGACATGGTGCAGAAGAAATAAGGTCCTTAAGAAATGGGCTAGCCAAGGCAATCAAAACTTGATGAACTTTTACATAGTAGCCGTCAGCTGCAATGGTCATATCAACAAATTCGCCATTCTATAACAATATCAGACTTACTTTTCATTTTTCCTGTTGAGTTGTTATACTTTAATAACAACAATACATAAATTGTAAATAAAGTAAATATACCTGTTGCAAAGAACTGAAACCTTTACAAATGTTTGAATTGTAGGATTCCCACGTTATGGAGAATTGTGATTGTACCATGTTATCAATCTTTGGATTTGTTAAAATTTAAGCATATAATAAATCCACTACATACATTTATCCAGATAAAACAGTAAAGCAACAAAAATCGCCTAAATTTTATTTGTCAATTTTCATTTTTGACTTTGAAGTTTTTTGTTATAATATAATAACAATGGGATATTGTCTATACAGCTTAAAGACCATCCACACGGTAAGTTTTTACACCCCGACAGCCGAATGACCGTGAGGAGTGGACAGTATTTCAACAAACTCCTACATAACCTTCGACGCCCTTAATGATGATATTTAAAAAAAATAAAGAAACTACAAAATTTTATTGTCACTAGATGGCTGCACAAAATGTTGGATCTAAACGTCAATTCACGACGTTAAACCAAAGAGAATAGAATTGTCAGTGTTGCTATGGATCTGATAACTCGGATGAATATCAAGTTGAAATTTAATTAGTTCGAGATATGCTAACGCAACTCGATTAATTAAAAGTAATTTTTGAATTTTCTTTTGACGTGGATACGTCTATGTTTTCGTTCTACAGGGGGGTCATTCTGTGAGCAGGAGTATATGCACTAACGCCATCTATTGGCGTATAAGTGAACTATGCTTGCTCTGCAGGGGGAGGGGCATTTTGTCAGCAGGAGTATATGCACTAACGCCATCTGTTGGCGCTAGTGAATACTTTTTCATTCAACAAATGAACGTAATGAATATTTATTTATTTAGTGTTTAGTGTCTTCAATTTGTTTATTTATTTTTTTATCAATTACTCATATATCCATTCATACATAGACGTATCCACGCATAAAATATGGCTGTATCAATGATACAGCCATATTTTTTTTTATTTATATAGAGGAAAATGAAAACTAACACAATGGAAGTGAGCAGAGATGTATTTTTTAAATTTATGGAAATCAATTGATTTAATGCTTTGATTTTTTTATGGGATAGGGGGCAGACGAACAGACGGATCACCTGATGGTAAATGATTACCGTCGCCCATGGACACCTGCAACACCAGATAAAACTAAAAGTGGAATTAAGCTACGGTATACAATAATATTACCGCCAAATAGTTTTTATAAATAAAATACTTATGCCATAGTAGGTCTAGGAATTTTTCATTATATTTAACAAAAGTTCTGTAATCAATAACAACAAGGTAAGCTAGTTTTATTGTTATTAGTTGTTTGTTGAACTTACAACAACAAAAATACATGAAATCTCAATAATATTTTTATATTATATGTGGTGAATAAATGAATAGGAATTATTAATCAGCAATAAGTCATAAAAACAATAATTATAATAAAAAATTCGTTTATTATGTATATACTTAGCCGATATGTATCAAATATACTAGGTATTCATACAAAATAACATCTGACTAAATACTTTATTACTTCTGGCTAAAATGACGTTTGTGCAAAGTGTAACGTGCAAATAACTTGTGCTTTCGAAATTAAGACTTTAAAAAACTATGATCAGTTATTAAATCTTATATTCATAATTAAATCATCTTAATAAACAGCAATCAATAACATTCAGCGATCAACAAGAAACGTCTGTTCTAAACGAACTACAAGGTTATAACCAGTGGTCGGAATTAGGTAGAGTTATTCATGTACTTACACTATTTCATACAGCGAAAGAATAAAGTGGATATGCCTCAAATCCCGAGATTAATTTTAAAGAGCAGAAAAAATCCCGTGTTTTTTGAAATAAAAAGTTATTTACTTTTACACAATTTAAACTACTGCACGCACGACGTTGCCAAACTTACATCAATGAAATCGGATATCCAAAGTTGCAAAATACGAATACGCGCGATGTTGCCACATTTGTAGTTCGCACAACATAGCTTGTGAGAACAAAAGAATACAATAGCGCAAATGCGGAGCACTCCCCACTTAACGTAATGTACTAGATTGTGTCTCTTTCTACCGCATTCAAACTATCTATTAGCAATGAATGGGTTTACTCATTCACTCAGCTCATTCGCTTACCTCGGTTCGTCGAATGCGCTCACTTGTTTCCTATTGTGTTTTGTGTAGTCAATCCTGTTTGACCCTGGCTCGTTTACTGGATTCTGGACTCTACTTAATACGACTATTTCGGCATGCATTAACGGACTTTGATTTGGCCTTACTGTATTGGATAATTAGATATTTGAAATTGGTTATATACTTGGTAAGTTTCTTGTTCATATTTTTATTAAATTTCCTTTAAAATAGATTTTCTCTATGTAGAACGTTTTCTTGTATTGTTATCAAAATCGGTATTGTTTAACTTAAGATGTTCTTTGATACAATCACAATAAAGTAACAATGATTTCAAATGCTTAACATACGGGACTCGTTTTTTAATTGATTGACTATATGGTTAACGATTGGAGTTGGATTTTCTGGTAATCTTTTATTGATTTTCTTTTTAGCTTTAAACTTTAGTATAAAATAAAGTTCGCTTCCCGCCGTCTGTCTATCTGTATGAATTTATGCACGCTTAGATCTTTTAAACTTCGCAACTGTTTTGCCCTATCTCTCACATACTTACAAACACATTCATACGGTTTTCTAAAATTTATATATTTTTTGCTCCAGATTAAAAGTATTATCATGGCGCAGAGTTCAATCAAAGAAGCCACTGTCAACAAGTGGATCAAAGATAATCCGGAGCTATTTTACGACCATGCAAGTGGATTAATTTACTGCTCTAAATGCGAAGCACATTTGAATGCAACTCGTCAGAGTAACGTCCAAAGACATGTAGAAGGAGCAGTACATAAAGGCACGAAGAACTATTAATTAATTTTAGCATTTTGGCTGATTCGTTTAGTGATTGTCAATAAGAAATTATTAAAAAACCGTTAAAAAGATCACAATAGTAGTTTATTTTAATAATTTTTTTTACATCATATTAAAGACAAATAGTACTCTCCAGGAACCTCGGGAGTGTCGGTCGTTCTGTTCCACCGAGTATTTGGTCTAGTAGATTCGGAAAAAGAGTTTTTGTACAGAATTTTAATAAAGTCAATTTCATATTTGACGTAGATAAATCTGTTAATGTCATTTTTTTCATTTATTTAAAGCTACAAATAGTTATATACATAGCAAAATAATTATTGTAAATTGTTGAAGTTATAATAGACCTATAGTACCTATAAAATGTAACAATAATATAATATAAGCTCCTATGTTTGTCAAATTCAAACGTTACAAATTTGTTTCATAAATATGAGAGTACAACAACATTAGGAGGACATTACCATATATTCAAATATGCAATGTTAATACTTATGTGCTTAAGTTAACAATATTCGACAAAAAGAATAAACAAAGCAAAAAAATAAAAAAAGGAACATATTGTGTAAAATAACCCGGCAAGGCTATTTAATGCTTAACAACTTCTGATAAGTGATACTAATACCATTTACATACACACAAATATTTATGCATATGTAATAAGGGTTGTTTGATATAATTTTAAATTAATTACTAGTTAGTATTTCCGAAAGAATACATTTCTATTTCTGTAACGATATATGAAAGATGTCTATATGGGTGAAATCATGGTTGTAAGTATTAGTGGAACGGTATAGAAATGAGTTGCGCGTATAGTTTCTACGGTATCGCGGAGGAACAAAAAGTGGTTTCAAGCGTGAGGAGCACATTGGAAGTCGAACATGAGAAATAAAGGAAATGCTACTGAGTAATGAATGACGGAGAGTTAACAAGGTTATTTAGAATTTTATAGAGAAATATCATATCAAACTTTTTACGCCTGTTACGGAGAGAAGATGGGTATGTTTCGACTAAATTATTTTGGCGGTAATTTATGGATTTGAGGAACTTTTTCTGGACCTTCTCAATTCTGTTAATGTGAATTTCGTAACATGGATTCCATACAGGACTGCAAAAATCCAAAAAAGATCGAACAAATAAGAAGTACAAGATTTTTAACGTACTTGGTCTACTAAAGGGTTTGCTTATTCGCAATATAAAGCCAAGATTCCTGAATGCCGAAGCAACTACGTGATCAATATGGGGATTAAATGACAATGCAGAATCCATGATGATACCCAAATCCCTAGTTTTAGTCATTCTTTGCAGAACCTTACCGTTTATATTGTGTTAGACTACGATACTCTTTATCGATTGTATTAGTGGAAGCACTATCTGTCAGTGGGTTGTCACTGTCACCTTTGAAGTTGACATTAAAAATGAAGAGATTTTTTCGGGCGGGAATAGAATACAAATGTTGTTGTGAAAAGTTTATGTTAAAGAAAACAGTTTTATAAAATATATGATCATTCAGTCAAAGTTGTGTATTAATAATTGTAATCATATGATATTATATTTTTCTTACGTGTGTAAGATATTGTGGAACATTTATCTATATTGAGAAATAGTTGATTGGTAAAACAATAAGCGTTTAGGGAATTAAGGTCCTCCTGGAGTTTACGACAATCGGTGTGAGATTTTATCACTCGGTATAACTTTGTATCATCAGCATACAGAAGATATTGGCTATGTTTTAATGTATCACCCATATCATTTATGTATGCTAAACACAGCAACGGGCCAATATGGGAACCCTGGGGAACACCGGACGGAACTGGTAGTAATTGGGAAGTATAACCCTTCACAAAAACTGCCTGACTTCTGTTACTAATGTACGATTGGATCCATCTGAGAATGTTGCGTGTACACCGGCCCTCGCTAACTTCTCCATAAGCAAGCTATGATTTATTTTATCGAAAGCTTTAGAAAAGTCGGTGTACACAACATCCACTTGCAGATTGTTATGCATGGCTTGTGACAAAAAATCTGTGAAAGTCACCATATTTGTGTCAACGCTACGATGCTTTCGTAATAAGGTTTCGTAGAGAGTGTGACATTTGAGCTGTTACTATTTTTTCCAGAATCTTACCCAAGACACACAGCTTAGAAATAGGTCTGTAGTCTTCTATTAAGTCATTTTTATTGGTTTTAGGTATGGGTGTGACAATGGACTTTTTCCATATGATAGGAAATGTCCCAGTCTGAATCGATATGCGAAAAAGTATTGTAATAGGTGTCGCGAGCTCCGTGGCACATTTAGATATCAAAATAGGATGTATCGGAGCTTGCACCCTTGTGGACATTTACGGATTTTAAGTCTGTAAGGACGTTATTAAAATAAATATTTATAGAATTGATGTCGACAACTGAATTTTGTGGATAACCGCTTAGATGATCACCGTGACTACAAGATGGTATAAAAACTGAATGAAAATAATTATTAAATGCGTCACAGATCTCATCACCCATAGAGAGAGTTCTGTTTTTATATGTCATCAATCCAGGTAAAGAACTAGAAGTATTTTGAGATTTAACAAAGGACCAGAAAAATTTTGGATGAGTTTTATGTGTAAACTTTACATCTACCAAAAAAGATTTGATACTATTTTTTGCCTTAATGATCTAATCTTTAAACTTGTCTCCTTTACTTTGTAGTTGTGTGTGAGGGCACCCAATTTGAAAGAGAGGAGGGGGACCTTAGGAATGAAATAGAAAGCATTCAAGGTCATTCTTTTTTTGCCTCAAGTATTCATGGAGGAATTTGGACTCCAATTATTTATTTAGCTTCATGATTTGTATGCTAATAAGAATAGCGAAACATGTTAAACCATAAATTAGCGTTGTGTTACTCACTCTTTTTTAATGAGGATGAGTGAGGACCTCATTTTTCCTCGTGAGGGGCTCGCGAGTCACCACTCATTTGAGATGAGGATAGGTACTGTAACATTACCAGCGAATGAGTACGTAGCGAGGCGCGCGCAACGTTGCCGTTTGGTACAAAATGAGGGAGGGAGTCGGTAATGCTAAACAAAACATATTTTGTCTTTAGATTCTAAGAAATAAACTTGACTAGACTATAATTTATCAGAATGACCACAACATGCAACTTATTTTTAATAGTGTCAAATGTTCCATTTTTAAAATCGACCAATCATTTATATTTCGAATCATATATATACATTTCTAAATAAAACAGATACATTTTTATTAACTTTGATATTTACTTAGACTAATTCATATCAATTATCTATAAAATATTAAATACGTATTTGCGAAGAAACACATAAACAAACCTGAATCGTTTCAAAAAACTCATAAAACTTATCCCATTCCCTCAATCTTGAATATATTGAGTAAATATCGGGTCGCCTTTTTATTCGAAACAACTCGCTATTTAGCTACTCACTCAAAAAGTCCACCACCTCATTTAGCTCCTCACTCCAAAAGTGAGGAACTTAATGAGGTGGTTCAAAATTGAAAAACGAGTACTCCCTCATTTTGTCGAAATGAGGAACTCAAACGAGGCACCTCGCGAGTGAGGGATTCATCACTACCATAAATACCATGTTTGACGCAAATAAAGATCTATTCCATTCTATTCTATAGAAACCAGTTGCCCCTGGCTTCTTTAGAATAGAATAGATCTTTTTGAAAAAGAAATGATTAAAAACTTTTTGAAAAAAAAAATAACGTAATGAGACTAGAGGTGGAAATAACTGCTTAAAATTTTTAAGTGTTGTTACGTTGTACGATTTTTAATAAGCAGCTTTTAAAAACTGCTTATTGCTTAAACGCTTCTTTTTTCAACTGACGTTTGGAAATCGTTATAATAAGCGTGCAAAGTTGTGTTATCACTACATATGCTTAAATCTTTAAAACTACGGAACGGATTTTGATGTGGTTTTTTTTTTCATAGATAGGGTGATTTAAAAGGAAGGTTTTTATGTATAATACAAGACCACGCGGGCGAAGCCGCTGGCGGAAAGCTAGTATTTATATAAAATAATAAATATTTTTTCAAAGCTAACGAGCTACAAAATCATATAAAACGAAAAGGTTGTAAGTAAAAAAAATATTGATAACATCAAATTTTTTGTACTTTTTAAAACTTATTTACATTGATAAACAAAAGTCATTCATTACTTAAATAGCAATTTATTTACGTATTAATTGTATAATTCAACTTACGCAATTAACACAACGTGCACTTACTTCAACAACGAAAAGCGTACTGCTTTTTTAAGTATAAGTTCAGTTTAAAATAGTATAATACAGTGCATGCATTTATTTATTTTATGTAAAGTGCTGCCCACTAATAGAATAACGCCGAAACGGAAAAATTGATTGAAGTTAGTAGTATATCTTGATAGATGGCGGGACGTACAATAAGCATTAGCATACTTTTCTTCTAAGTGAAAAAGTGCTTTTGCACTTATTTAAAAAAGCATGCTTAATTAAGTGCTTTTCGTTTAAACGTCCATCTCTATATGAGACGTATAATCTGTCCAGTCCAAAGAGTACTTTATATCTCTGATCGATCAGTTGAAATGAGTTCCTAAGTTTTACCGATTTTATTTTCGAAATTTAAATAGTAAAAATTTTAAGATAATTTAAAAAGTACGTGAAAAAAGTCTTTTGATATTTATTTAACCTTAAAAGTGTTTTCATACACTTATTATAGAGTATTTTTAGTATATCATCAGAGTACACAATATATAGTGTGTAAGTAAGTAAACAAATTAAAAATGACTGAGAACAGTATTAATTTATGTTCAGAATCTTATAAATTCAGTATGAATAAAGGGTTTTCAGTACTACAGCAAGTAAGTATTCATAATACTAAGGTATTTTTAAAGTTTTCATTGTTATTCAGTTTTTATTTATCAATTTCAAATAAATTGATTTTTGTATTACAGCAACAAGAGTTTGTGGATGTAACTATAGCAGTTGATGGATGTCTAGTCAAAGCCCACCAAAATATATTAGCACTAGCTAGTCCATATATAAAAGCTTTATTACAATCGGCGCCATGTCAACACCCTATTATCTTTTTAAGCGTGATTATCTTTCACAACTTTTTTGATGTTGAACATTTGATTCGTGAATCAACTGGTTCTGAATAGTTTTATTTATGATTTCAGGGTATTGCACATAAAGTTTTAGCACACATATTGGAATATATTTACACAGGAGAAGTACAAATTCCCTGTGAACTATATCCTTCTTTTATACAGGCAGCAAAACACATGCATATTGTAGGACTTGATGAATATAGTGTATTGGTATGTAAATTTCTATAAAATTAAATGAGTGAGCATCCATGTAGTTAGAACAAATAATTTTAGAATAATAATGTTTATTTTGTAATTTAGGATCCAAAAACATTGCATTATGAAGATACAAATTGTTTAGATGAAGTAGTTGAAGCAGTTCCTGATAAAAATATGAGGTACTTATGAATATCTACATTATATTGATAAATGATTTTATTTTGCTTATAAGTCTGACCAGATTGTTATGTTCCCCAGTCAAAAAAGGACAGACTGTTCTGAAGAAGTAAGTGACAATGTTGAGTATGACAATAGGAATACTAAAAGAGTATATGTTGATGGAAGCACCAATAATACAAATGAATATGATTTAGGAAGTATGGCTGATAAAAATATAATTATAGACTTAAGAGACACTTTTTACTGCGAAACAAATAATGTCCCTGTATTGCAAACAGAATCTGAAAGTTTTGCTTTAGGTTCTAATAGAGAAGTTGATACAGAACTTGAAGATTTTACTATACAAAAAGTTTCTATACATACTGATTCCCAGATGCCTTGTGCTAATTTAAATGTTGAGGAATCTGGTGAACAAGAAGTGCTAGAAGGTAAAGAGATAACCAAATATGAATAGAATGAAATTTCATTGATTTTGGTTAAATTACATATATCAATATATATAAATTATACAATGTATGTGAAATATAGGCTTTCATTTATTTACATTTTCTTTTATGCGTATGGAAGATCTTATGTTTCATGAATTTGTTAACTTTGATATGTTTTTTTCTATTCATTATTTATTTAATATTGTAGATCACAAAACAGGACCTCTGTACACTGTATCTATTCGTGGATCCTTGATGATGATACTAAACCGTTTTCTTTATAATATGCATCATCAATCTGCTAATGGTTCTAAACGTCGATGGAGGTGCATAGATTACCGCAGAAAACATTGTTTAGCATATGTTGATACTCAAGATGAAGTTGTTACTGGCAGGTAGTTTTTAAACAAATATTTTTTTCTTTATTTGAGACAGTTTTGTGAGGTCTTTTGTAGCAATTATGATAACATTGAAAGGCCATAAACTTTAATACTATAACATAAATTTATCTTGGTTAACTCATATATTACTTAAATGGAAAGTTTATTTTTACATTAAGTAATTATAATTTTTATGTTTAATAAATAAATTAAGAAAATATTGTAATAGTAATATATCTATTGTAATATAATAATATCAGTCAGATAATAGAAAATTATTAGATACTTTATTTTTCCAAAATTCCATAACATAATGTTTTGATTTCAGAAAAAATAGCCACACCCATGGGTTCCATGATAGTAAAATAATAACTATTGGCACTAGAAAAAATGTCTTTACAAGTATAAAAACAGCTAAGAAATAATACATGAATGTCACAGTTAAATATTAAGGAAAACTAATTTATTCTCTTAAAACAAGGCACAAGTTTTCACATCTTGGTTTCAGAACCGTGTATAAACCACTTACCTACAAATGTAATAAAGGTGACGGATTTGTTATTACTAACAGGTAATTGTTAACTAAATTATTTATTTGTTTAGCAATTGAAGGTGCTTTTGTAAATTGTAACTCAGGAAGATATTGAAAATAATGTAGTAGTTCACATAAAGTAATATGAATCTTTTGTAGTGTATTAAATAGTTAAAAAGTTGTATTTTATTCTAAGGTTATTATAAGTTGTTTGATTTCTGGAATCCATGAGTTTCATGATTGTAAAATATTATTACCAGCAATAAGAATTAACCCTTTCCAAAGGATCTATTCATAAAATTCTATACTAAATAGATGTTTTGGCGACTTTTAAATCAGCAGTCATTTTAAACAAGACATCGAAGGGTCCAAATGTCATAATAATTCAACTAGAAAACTAGGTTCGGGGGTGAATTCGAGGAAACAGAACTCTCGATTTGATAAATCCATCATAACGGTTTTAATATTAAAATCTTATTATAGTGTCCGGCCGAAACAGGTTTCTACGACCGAAATCGAAACAGAATTTCTGTAAAAATCTCAGTTTTGGCCGAAACCAAAACTTCCTTAGGAGGATTATATTGTGAGGGAAAAATAAAGAAAGGTTATTATGATCATTCAGTCTTTATTTTTTAACGACTGCAAAGGAAGGGTTATGTTTTTCATATACATATATCTTTCATGTATAGGTATATGTATGTAATATTCTTCAATACTCATATCCAGAACTGTTAAGCGGATATAATTTAAGTATTGTTAGTTTTGTTTTAGCTGTCCAAGTGCTCCTAGATTGATGATGTTAAGGAAAATCAAACATGGCTGACGTACGACGCCAGACTCAGACAGGTTGTTTAATTTGTGTTTATAAATTATAATAATATTTGCAACAACAGATGTCACTATCAAAAGGCAAGAACTCACTAAGGTTTCGATTTATCAACTTTAATATATATATAGAACAATCTAAAATAAATGTCTACTGCTACAACCATCCGTGTTTTGTTCATGGACCTTTTGCCGCCGGATATTTGAAAAACGAACCAAACTAACTATAGACCGGAGAACGACAGTGACGTCAACTAGCTGATATCGGAAAGTAAAGTACAGATAAACAAATATTAAAAGGGCCAAAACTGTAAGTACTGTCTCAACCATATTATTAGAAACATAGAAGGTTTGAACGTAGCTGTCATAGATTTGCAAAATTTTAGCTTATTTTGGTTGAGACGGGGAATCTATGCCTGATTTCGTCTAAGTCCTTAAATAACAAAGACTTTGAAAAAATTTGAACATTTGGGACTTAGAAAAATTTCAAGAAAAATACATTGGACTTAGAAAATTTTTTCAACTACGACTTTAAGAATTTTTTTCAACTTGAACACAGAATTTTTAGATACAATAAACTACTAAAATGAATTCATTAATACGAATTCAAGTAAATATTCACAACAAAATTAACAATGGATTTATTAATTTCAAAAAATCTCCAAAAGAAAAAATAACCGAATGTTACATTGAAACAAAAATGGAAACTTTAGAAAAACAATGGACATCGTTTGAAGAAAATCATGAAAAACTTATTTGTAAATATGATGAAGCTGAATTCATTACTTCTGAATACAGTACCAAAAATCTTTATACAACAACTGAAGATTTGTATACTGATTATAAGACTGAAATGAAGGAATGTCTAAAGAAATTAGTAGGTCCGGAAAAACTAACATACCATTCTGGAGAATCTTCCCAAACTGATAATGAGCATGTCAATGTGAAGTTGCCTAGAATAGCAATACCTAACTTTTCCGGGAAGTACGCCGAGTGGACAACATTCCGTGATCTTTTTTTTGTCTCTGATACACAATAATAAATCTTTACAAAATGTGCAGAAACTTCATTATCTCAAGAGTTACTTAACCGGTGAAGCGAACAACTCCTGAAACATCTGTCAATTTCAAATGAAAATTATACGATATGTTGGGAATTATTGGAAACTAGATTTAATAACAAAAAATTTATATCAAATTGTATTTTGAAGAAATTTTTCAGTCAAAAACATATTGTTAATGAATCTTCTAGTGCTTTGAAAGAGCTAATCGATACAACGAACGAATGTTTGAATGCCTTAAAAAATGTAGGAGTTGTAATTGATAACTGGGATATTATCATTATATATTTTATCACTAAAATTAGATAATGAGTCTAGAAAACAATGGGAAGCAAATATTTGCAGCTCAATAAATGAGTTACCTAAATTAGATCAATTTATGAAATTTTTAGAACACAGATTCAGGTCACTTGAATTTTTAAATCCTAAACCAGTAAAATATATCCAGTCTAATCAAATTGTAACTAACACTGTTGATGTTAAAACTTCCTTATGCTCTTATTGTTCCGATTGTAGTCATAAACTAGGAAACTGTAAGAAGTTTGCTAATGAATCTACACTTTCCCGTCGTAATTTTGTCCAAATATCTAATTTGTGTTTTAACTGCTTAGGTGCAAATCATTCTGTTATGTCATGTCGTTTTCCTACTAGATGTAAAATTTGCAAAAAGAAGCATCATACTCTTTTGCATTCCAATGTACCCAACGTGTCAACTGATAACCGAAATGACAGCAAACAATCAGTTGGTAACAAAAATGTTGTAGCTATAGCAACAACTTCGAGATTTGAACCTGCACGCGTAGCATGACAAACTCGAGAAACGCTTTGTCTACACTCATTTGTCAGTTTCTCAGGTCGAGAGTGAGATATAGTATGGGCGCACCCGAGAAAAGTGACATTTGAGTGTAGACAAAACGTTCTCGCGTTCGTCATGCTACGCGTGCTGAAGAGAATAACATCACCACTTGTTTCTCTAACAACAAGAGTCAAGTGTTACTTGCAACTGCTTTAGTGAATGCTGAAAATGAACGAGATGGATCTTATATGACACTTAGGTCTTTGTTAGACCAGGGATCACAGGCTTCATTTATCACGGAGTCTGCAGTTCAACAACTTGGGCTGAAGAAAATACCGAACATAAGTGTCATATCAGGGGTGGGGAGTGATAACAACATGTCACTCAACTCCAAACATGTAGTTTATATCAAACTACATTCACTACAAAATCCGACTTTCATTATCAAAATTAAAGCTCATGTTCTCAACAAGTTAACTTCATTCCTCCCTGCAAGAAAATTCAATATTCAACTATGGCCAAATTTACCAAAAATACAGTTAGCAGATCCAAAGTTCAACTTGCCTGATAAAATAGATTTATTATTAGGTGCAGAGGTATATTGTCAGATATTAACAGAAGGTTTAATAAGGGGCTCACAAGGAACACCAATAGCACAAAATACAAAATTGGGTTGGATTATATCTAGCAAACTTATAGAAGAAACCAATCTCAACTCAAACTTTAACTCTGTAGTAACTTTACATACTCAAGTAAACAATGAAGAATTTGATTTGAAGAAATTTTGGGAACTTGAGTCTGAAACTATTTTATTTGGAACTAAACGTCACTTTACTCCTGAAGAGCAACTTTGTGAAGATTTTTTCAATCAAACTACTACACGTGATTGTTTAGGTCGATATATAGTTAAACTGCCATTCAAAACCACTGAACCTAGGTGCAGACTTGGAAACTCCCGTGAAATAGCAATTAGAAGATTTCTTATGCTAGAAAAACGTTTACTCAAAACACCGGAAATAAGAGTACAATATGCAGATGTTATATCAGAATATCTGAAGCTCGGACACATGGAGATAGTACTAATGTCTGAAAGTAACAAATTTGGCAGTGTTTACTTGCCTCATCATGCGGTAGTGAAGGCTGAGAGAACAACAACAAAGGTAAGGGTTGTTTTTGATGCGTCTTGTAAGGACATTAATGGTACATCTCTCAACAGCGAATTAATGGTGGGTCCAAGATTACAGTCAGACTTACGTCACGCAGTGATGAAATGGAGGCTTCACCCAATATCCCTAGTAGCTGACATAGTAAAAATGTATCGTCAAATTAAGGTGGCTCATGAAGATGCTGACTATCAACGCATAGTGTGGCGAAACTCACCAAATGAAGAAATCAAACATTTCCGGTTGATGAGAGTTACCTTTGGTACTGCATCTGCTCATATTTGGCAGTGCAATCTTTACAACAGGTAGCTCACGATGAAGGTGAAAAATATCCTCTTGCATCTGAACGAGTCTTGAAAGATTTTTATGTCGATGATTTACTTACCGGTTGCCAAACTGTGTCGGAAGGAAAACAAATTTTTGAGCAATTAAATAAACTTTTAAGCATGGGTGGATTCGAACTACAAAAATGGTCAAGTAGTAACGAAGATTTAATAAATGAAATAAGCAATCAAAATACAACAACAAAAAGCAATCTAGAACTAAAAACAGATGAAATTATCAAAATCTTAGGACTTACCTGGAACCGTCGAACTGATGATTTCAAATATTCTGTAACGCTGCCCCCGATAGATGAACCTGTAACAAAACGAAAGATTATTAGTGATATAGCAAAGTTATATGACCCCATGGGATGGATAGCACCAACAATTGTGAAAGCAAAAATATTTATACAGCAATTATGGTTAGCAGGAACTAGCTGGGATGAAGAGATACCGTCAAAGCTTATAAAAAATTGGGTTATGTATAGAAATGAACTCGTAGAGCTTACCAAATATCGACTTCCACGGTGGGTTGGTATTAAGAAAAATGATGTCAATTTAGAACTTCATGGATTCTGTGATGCTTCTACTGATGCTTATTCTGCTGTAGTGTATGTTCGTGTTTTCGACGAATCTGGAAATATTCATGTTCATCTTGTAACATGCAAAACAAGAGTTGCTCCAATAAAACAGGTTTCCATACCAAGATTAGAGTTGTATGGCGATCTTCTTTTGACAAAACTATTACGTGAAGTCTCAGAGGTGATGGAAATTCCCAAAAAAAATGTATATGCCTGGACTGACTCCACAGTTGTATTGGCTTGGCTCAGCAGTCATCCAAGTCGTTGGAAAACTTTTATCGCAAATCGAGTTTCAGAAATATTATCGCATTTGGACAGAGATCAATGGTCTCATGTCATATCTTTTGAAAACCCAGCGGATTGCGCATCTCGAGGAGTCAGCCCTACACAAATGAATGAACTAACATTATGGAAAACTGGTCCATCATGGTTAAAAAATGTAACAATAAATTATAATAACATGAAGATCGAAGATACAAATCTAGAAGAAAAAGAAAAAAAGGCTTATCATAACATTATTAACGAAGAACAGTTTGATTTATGGACTAAATTTTCAATAATACGAAAACTAGTTAGGGTTAACTACTGCAGAAGATACTTATCTAAAGTCAAAAGAACCACTACAGATTACCCTAATTGGCTGACAGCCGCTGAACAAACTGAAGCTCTACATATGTGTATCAAGACTTGTCAAAAGAAGCACTTTTTTCAAGAAATAAAAGATATCAATGAAAAGGGAAATATTAACAAAAAAAGTAAACTTACCACTTTAAATCCTTTTATAATTCTGATCATTTTTTACTATAGGGCCAGGTCCTATTTGTACCCTCTTCCAAGCTTGAAACAGGTGGCCATACTTACATACTTGAAGTAGTATCTTCATAGATCTATTTGAAGGTCTCTGACCATATTATAGCCTTGTGGTGGAATCAAAAAGGAAATGATGCATTAAGAAGAAAATACCAGGTGACAGACATTCGTTCCATTTTGTGGCATCCTCTGTTCCTTGAGATTTTAGGAACCTTATAGTTGAAGGTTGGGGTCCCTAATGTGGTGATGGAGACAACTGGTCAGGGAGACTAAAGGATAATTGTCTCCCTCCGAGCTAGGTGTTGTTAGCCCGGGGACCGCGGTCCAACCGATGTAGGTTGGACGTTCTATTTATGTTAATTATTAATTAAACTTATTCAGTGTGATGTAGGTTTCTTTGTTCTAAATGTCTTGTAGTTATTAATTTATGCTGTTTGTATTGGTACAGCGCCATCTCGTTACTTGCTGTTGAAACTTATTGCAGTTCGTCTTGCTATCGATGGCTGTGACGATGCTAGTCTTCTCACTATCGATTGTTGTGGCGATGTTACTGCGATGAATTAGATGTCGCTATGTATCAGTCGCCACAAGATACATGTGTAGCCAGATTGGTGTCTAGGGTAGTGATTTCCATGTTAGAAGTAGTTTTCGCTTTTTTCTCTTCGCCTCCTATAGATATTGTTGATCCTGGAAGCCCTTTAGATAGTTCAAGATGGAAAGCCTCAATGATATGTAGGAAAGGGCGGAGAAACATGGTTGCTGAAGCTATTGCTCTCCTATCTTTTTTACCTCTCTCTTTATGTTTGATGTAAGAGGCAAAACTGCATGTTAGATGTTGCATAAACTTTCGGACATTTTCTTTGCCTTTTATAGTTTCTCTAACCATCTTATGTTTTGTTTTCTTATTTTTATATCTTTAAGTTGTAAGTGGATCTACTTCTTCTGATTCAGAAGTAACTTTTTTCATTCTTTTGACAGTAATCTCTTCCTTCTCAAAACACTCAACAGTTACTTGTATCCAATCCAACAAACTAAAACAGTCTCTTCCAGTATTTGTGTTCAAGAAGTCAAAAGCAGCTTCATAAGCTTGTGCTGCCGTGACACTCTGTTCCCTTAGAGGACAAAAAGTCTGCCTGCCTTGTGTTAGAATGTCAGAGATTTGACTCATTATTTGATCCATTACCCTTTCTACAACTGTCTTTATTTGTTGTGAATACAAAACAGCGAAATTTATAGTCATCTCTTTAAATACAGAAGTTATGTAATTCCCGTGTATTTTGTCGTGAGGAAATTTCCCATCCCCCTTTTCCCATTGAAATCGTTCAATCTCTATATTTCCTACCTTTATTTTTCTATTTTTGGGATCTGGTTTCCTGTTGTACTCGATTGATCGCAATATAGTTTCTGCAACTTTAGGTGCTTGGCTTCCGTACCCGTGTGGGGGAGTACCAGTATATATATACTTTATATATATATATATAAAGCACTTATAATCGATAAATTTCTTGTCAATTTATTTTCAAATGTTCTGCTATATCTGTTGTTTCCATCCTTAACACCACAATCTTCAGGTAATAAGGTTTCTAAGAGCAATGTATTGAGTTTTCTTCTAAATGTCATTGTGGTGTAAATTAAGGTTTTAATTAAAGGATCTGTTCATACTTTAAACATAAAATTATAATAACATAAACTAATTATTATATTAACATTAACTAATTACAGTCCACTTGCTTTTGTATTTTGTATTATGGTGGACGGGAATGATGTACATTCCGTCCATGGTGGGCGGTATGTTTAATTTGTGTTTATAAATTATAATAATATTTGCAACAACAGATGTCACTATCAAAAGGCTAGAACTCACTAAGGTTTCGATTTGTCAACTTTAATATATATATATATATATATATATATAGAACAATCTAAAATAAATGTCTACTGCTACAACAATCCGTGTTTTGTTCACAGGTTATACTTGATTATACTATAATCTTTGTACTTACTAGCTTTTGCACGCGACTACGTCCGCGTGGTATAGATACTTTTGGCAGCAATTCTAAAAACGTAAAAACAAATATTTTAAAAATCCTAGTATCGCCATCTGTCGGAGGTCGCGGTGTTCTTGTCTTATGTTGGATTTTTTCTCAAAATTTGGTTAGAATAAATTTAATAATATTGTTATTATATTTTGGAGAAGGCTGTGTAAACTCAACTGTACAGTTATCTTGAGCATAGTGACGTTCTGCCCATACTGTAATCGAGTTTCCGTCGCAACCATGGTATATCCACCGCTTTACTCGATGTTGTAGATAATATTCTCTCTCAGCAGGACATTGGTCGTGGCACCATCCTTGCACTATTCGATTATTCGCGCGCCTTTGAATGCATTAAATTTAGTCTTCTCTTATCTAAGCTCGAGTACTATGGCTTAGACGACCTTTCAGTTAAATGGTGTGCAAGTTACCTTCTTCCACGGTACCAATCGGTAAAGCTACACGGAGATCCCGAAGATCACTCGAAAGAAATGTCAGATCGTAGAGCAGTTACACGTAGTGTGCCCCGGGGTTCCATTCTTGGGCCTTTGTTGTTCGACATTTATACGGCAGATATGGTTAACGTAATAAAAATTGCAACTATCATTGTTATGCAGACGACTTGCAACTGTATATCTCTATGTGCCCGGCGTTGACTCGAGAGGCTGTTTTGAAATTAAACAAGGATTTACAAGCGATCGCTGACTGGTCCAATGAGAATGGACTGGTTTTGAATCCCTCTAAATCTAAATTTATAGTTATGGGCTCGAGAGCGCAGGTGGATGGCATTGTTGCTTCCAATCCAGCTGTGTCTGTTGGACAACGTCCAAAGCTGAGGGTCGATGAGGCGCGCAATTCGGGAGTAATTTTTGATAGCCAACTGCGGTTCTCACATCTTAGGTTTGTTCAGAGCGTGCATGTACCGTTTAAAGGTACTATACCGGATTCACAATTTTCTTAGTGAGGGTACTCGCATAACACTATATGAGTCTCTAATTCTCTCGAGGTTTAAGTATGCGGATGTGGTGATCGGCCCTCGCCTACTCTTGAAGTCTAGCCGACTGATTCGGCGTGTACAAAATGCGTGCTGTAGATTTTGCTTTCGAGTGCCTCCTCGGGCTCACATTACACCAATTTTAAATTCAGCAAATATGCTTCGTATGGAGTCACGTAGGCAGCTGCACCTGGCGTGTTTGTTGTTTAACGTCATAAGTCGTCAATATCCGGAATATCTTTAAGAGAAGCTTAAATTTTTCAAGTCATCCAGCAAGTACACCATTTGAGCCATAAGACCTGAACTGGTTTGTTACCATCACCGCATTGCCGCATTTAGGGGTAGCTTCAAGTTCCAAGCCACAAAGTGTTGGAATGATTTGCCGCCATCTTTGAGGAGTCTTTCTACAATTCACACATTTAAACTAAGACTTAGAACCATTTCCTAGGTCTACAAAAGACGCTTATGCTTAACAGATGTTTGTAATTGGATTTCCCGTGCTTCCTTTTTGACATTTTATATTACAATCTTCACATTTCTTATCAATATATATCTGACTTCTAACACTATACTATCATTTATTATGAATTATACTTGACATGCCCTTTTATTTCCCGATATCTCTATTTTTATTATTTTTTTACATTATATCCTCATGATTCTATTCATTAAAATATATATATTGTCCCCGCTCATCTCGTTAAGGGTGATGGATGAAAACCGGTGCTTCATCTGTGTTAGATGATTTTAGTGCACCGAGCCTAGAACCTTTTCTTAACTGCTGCACACAGTTATATTTCTGCTTTTTGTTCTTCTTTGTTTCTTTTATCGTGTCAATGTTTAGTAAGTGATGTAATTGTGGATTGCTGAGAAATAAACTTTTTGTCTATCTATCTCTATTTTATTATTTATTATTATTATTTGCTTGTTACAAAGAGCCTATTTACTAATAGTTAGCTTTCCACCTCGAAAATTGCGGAAAGTTCAATACAAATATCCCTTCCCATTTTTAAGAGGACTGTGAGAAGATTTCTTAAAAATCTTGATGCAAGCAAGCATTTTTCGTTTGTACCAAACAGTCTTATACGGTGGTTGGGGGCGATTTCCAACAGAACAATTTTTTCTATAGTAACAAATAGTTCGTATACCAATTTATCGCTTTCTTTAAACACTACGGAAAGTCCCATACAAAATTTAACTCCCTCTTTCAAGGAACGGGGACTTAAACTTTTTGCCTTGAAAATTGCGAAATTCTCCAAACATATTTCCACCCAATATTTTGTGGAGGTAGGGGAATAGAAAGAAACAATAAGTAGCATATATTACTATCCAAACCTTTGACTATCCCTACACAAAAACTAACACTAATCCGTTGCTCAGTTTTGACGTGAAAGACGAACAATTAAACACATTTGTAATATTAGTTTCTTAAATCGAATTATTTTTTGATGTTTACTTCCTACTCTGTGCTGTATCATGTGACAAAACTTATCGAATTCAAAATAAATTTCACTACAACTCACCAAAGCTCACACCAAACAAAACGAACGTCAATCAAACAAAATCATGAAGTAGACTGAAGTGGGCGATACAAATCGTATACAGATATTGAAACGTATATTGTATCAATATCGTAATATCCAACATCGACAGAAATTATATATATTTTGAAACATTATTGCTGCATCGATGCGATACGTCGGATTTGGTATCTCGCTCTATATCGTATAGTAGCTTTCGCCAGCGGCTTCGCCTGGGTGGACCCTAGGGAAATGTTTAGTGGGATAAAAGGTTCTAAAATAATATTATCTAAGTCAGCTAACACCCTATCTGTATACCAAATTTCATCAAAATGCGTTCAGTAGTTTCGGTGTGATTGACGTACAAACATCTAAACATCCAAACAAAGAAACTTTCACATTTATAATATTAATAGGATAATAGGATTTATAGATATGGGTTATCAAACCGTATCGCATTGCATAATAGGCATTGGATTTGTGAATGAGTGAAATAGCAATATTCAAATATTCTTAGGATTCAAAACCTTGATGTATTAGAGTACTATTGTGTTACATTTTGTGTATATTTTAATTAGCTTCATTTTGTGAAAAATACGAAGCATGTGAAAAAAGGATGTTTGTGAATAAAAATGTTAGTCAATCGCACGCCGGTACTCATAGCGGAATGCCCAGCCAATACAATGAGATAGCAGCTTGTCGAGAGGCAAGAAAACTGCGGAATGGCATCTACTACCAGAGACGTTACAACCGATCTTTCATCAGAGAACACAAAAATGGTAACAGCTTTTGTATCCAAAGTTGCGAGCGACTCTTCAGCAGTATTCTGCAACGCCTTCAGCAAAAGTTGGAAATTCAATTTAGCAAGAGTTTTCCTACCACCTTCACTGCTGCCCATAGTGCTAACTCATCTGAATTAAGCACAAGATACGTACCTGTTAGTAGCACCACTTTGGAAACGAACCTACTAGCTACCCGATCTTCTGAAACGCGCGTTAGCATGTCCCTTGAAAGTAACGAACCTTCACCGTGTCCTGATAGATCAGGTAACAGGCCTACCACCTCCTCAAGTTCAGGACATGTAGCTTTTAGTGTGGAAATTTGGGGGTAGGCCGAAGCAATAAAGCATTGGATAGAAACAGAGAAAACATTGCTCAAGCACAGTTGGAGGGAATCTACTCTTAAGACATATATACCAGCCTGGTTTCGCTGGACCCAATGGTGTAAGGACTTCAATTTTGATTCCAGATATCCTAATAAAAAAATCTCTTTCTATTAGCATATCTCCACTTAAAAGAAAGAATGTCTTTCTGACTATTCTATAGCACAAATCTGTTATTTTAACTTTAGCCCCCCTAGAGTTTGTGGGGAACCCACTATACGTACTTACAACATTCCATATTTATTTATTTATATATATTCACCACTAACATAGACATTTAACATTCAGGTAAAGAGTTCATCATAAAAAGAATATAAATAGATTGGATATATACTCTCTGTTCGAATAATTTTCTGAATTTGTTACAAACTTATATTTTAAAGATAAGATAAATTAGAAAATGTATATAAATAAATTTTATTGAATTGTGTTTGTAAGATAGTGAATATATTTAGTTATTTTTATATCGTATACATTATTAAGAGTTTTATTTTCGTCGTCGCTACTGCCATAAGTCCATTCATAACTGATCTTAGTTTAAAAAATGTACCACACATAAAAACGTCATTGAGACTTGATGTAGTTTTGTTGCTGTAAATTCAACTAACAACTAATAGCATCAAAACTAACTTACCTATTTGTTATTGTTTTCAGAACTTTTGTTAAATATTATAATGAGAAATGCTTAGACCTGCTATGGCTTAAGTATGTTATTTATAAAAACAATTTCACGGTAATATAATTATATACCGTAGCTAAATGCTATTTTTAATAATATCACAGCATTAATTCAATCGATATCCATAACTTTTAAAAAAACCTTTATGCTCACTTCCATTACGTTAGTTTTCATTTTCCTTTATACAAATAAAAAGAAAGTTATTCAATTCGCGTACACGGAGCACTAATGACAATCTTAATGCATGGTACTAAAAAGACATTTATAGAAAATTCTTATTCTACATGAAACTCAAATAGCCGGATAATTTCATACCATTGGAAGATATTACGATTTTAATATATTGCTTTTCAGCAACTACAGCGATACAGACCAAATCAATAAGATGGTCGCTGTGCTGATATAGTCTGGGTTAGGTTAGGGGGCTAAATGTTCGCACTAAAGGCGCTGTTATCAGTCCATTGTCTGTTAAAAGTTGGTTGTCCTACTCCAGCCAACCCAACTCCGCCCAGAAACGCAGAAGCTTTGCAGTGTTGATGGGTTACCCAGTATGTGTCCCCGTAGTGTTTTCGGAACCGGTGTTCTTTTTGAGAACCGGGAATTTCGGTACTTTTGTATAACGGAAATCTATTGTAAACGGTGATACCCAGATATTAAATAGTATTGGATCTAATAAGTTCCAGACACTTGCACGTGGTATTGGTTGATTGAGAACTAGCAACACAGCTGCGAGCGTGTATTTGCAGCAAAAAATCGCTTGTGGGACTTGACACACTAATCTTACTAAAGCAAAGATGATGATGATTAATCCCTTTCTATTCCGCTTTCTCTCAACTTCTTGCTTTAATCTTTTCAGTTATTCGCAGTAGAGTTCAGAATCGATAATGCTGCCTGACGGTAACAACTCATATTGAATAACATCCTTCCAATCCCATCATACAAACAGCATCACCTTTTTGCCAGTTAATAAAAGTACAGTCTGTAAAGCCTGACTAACCTTTGACCACGATTTTTATCCAGTTTTTATCACCAGTTACAAAAACAAAAATCACACATTTTCCTAATTTGAATTCAAAATCTTCTTTAAAATTAAACTTTTTAATGATACCGCAACCAGCCACTTAGAAATGGTATAGCCAGAAAGATTTTATTACAACTTTATGCATACTATATGCGAAAAGACTTTCCCCAACCTAATAGTTATCATGTATAGAAACTATTTTTATAGAAATTAAATTGTATGACGCAATCGTTAAACCGTTTTAGTAAGGCCAGCTACAGAGAATACACGTTCGCTAGGTGTGCTTGTAGCGGGTTAGCTAGAGTAGACAAATAAGGGTAAGTATTGAATTTATGATTTCTGCCAACTCCATCTTGTAAACGAGTGCTACATTAATTGTACAAGATTTCATTGTTGACAGCTGTAATTAAAGAAGAAAGATTCGATTCTTTATTTGTTTGCATCTGATCATTGATTTTACTTTTGTATTCATTAAAATTTTACTTAATATGGAAATACGGAACGGAATTAACACGTGCCGCAGAGGAATACGTTGCTTAGCAACCGAGCGAACAAATGTTACTCGCAGTTCGCGCCATCCCACGCTTTTTACGCCGATCTTTCGAACCTGTCAGTGGCGGTGTCATGATCGGCTGCGTCGGTCATCGGCGCGGCGCGGCGCACACGTCTAGTAACAAGTGTGGGAATGGAATTTTCAGTCCTGCTATAACGATAGCAGTAGGGATGTTCAAATATCGTCGATATATCGAAAGTACTCGATGTTTCCATACGATATATCGGATTGTTTCGATGTTTTGAAAAATATTTTTCCATTCGATATATCGAATATCGATACATTTATAACACAATATCGAATCGATTAAATAACGTTGACAGCTGACTCATGATGACAATAAAAGCTTAAGTAAATTTTAACATTACAACATTTTCACTGTGATTTTTATAACTTGACATCAAATTTTCAGACGGCCTAGAACGAGTTGTACTCGGCAGCTAAGTTTTGCCAAGCCAATTGCTAATCTTTTGTTGTAGCCCCATCTGTTTTCTTATTTTCTATAATAAGATATTTCTCCACTAATTTTAAAAGGTGCATTTTTTCAGCAATTGTGAAATTAGGTACCCTGGATCTCTTCATTATTTTAGTTCGGCAGTACAAACGGTTTATTGGTATTTTTTAGTTATTAATAAACAGTTTTACTCTACTTTATGAATAACTAAAAATGATGAAATGGCGCGGCGACTTCAAAAAAATGTATGTTTATATTGAGTTTTGACAAAAACGATGATGAAGTTTGTTTTTCTAGACTGATTTTATGGCGCCGGACTCTAGTCTTTTCATCAAAAACGGAACATAAGGAATTAATGGTGAACGAATAATATGCTAAATCTCGGTTTAGTTTAACTGGTCATGATTTTAGGATCTGCAAGATAACTTTAGTTAGATTTAAGTTAAGTCGAGTTTAAGGCTAAGTCTGGATTTGATTAAATCGAGATTTTGGAAATTTTACTGCAAGTGGGCCTAAAAAAGGAAAACATTGAAATTTTCAAAAAAATACTCGATATTTAAAAAATATCGATGTTTTTATACGATATATCGATAAACATCGATGTCAGTTCCGATATTTTATATCGAGTATTCATATCGATATATTTTTTAAGTGGACACCCCTAGATAGCAGGACTGAAAATTCCATTTCGAACAAAAATATTTAAGACCAACGTCTTAAATATTTTTGTTCGAAATGAAGTTTACAAAACCATTGGTGCCAACGGCATTGGTTTGGAACTTTGTCCATTACAATTTTTTGCCAAAGATCGAACAGGTTTTTACGATATGGGGCTTTGCTACTTTGGAATTGTAACCTGTAGGTACTCGAAACGTAAACTCGAGAAACGCTATGTCTACACCCCAATGTCACTTTCTCGGGTCGAGAGAGTTAGTTAGGCCTGTGTTCTGTGGTTAGGCATGATCTGAAATAAATGTTATAGGTATATAGGTAGTAAATTTTCTAGAAGAACAGTTTGATGAAACTCAAAAAACAACTTATATACCAAAAATGTCTTCAATAATTCGTATTTAAGTAAGTAAAGTAATAACCACTAATAACGTCCAAATACACACGAAACGAGCAACGATTAATTCCTTTGTAACAAGCAACGAATTCCTGAAACGGATAAATAACAAGAGAGTTAAATTATGATCTCGCAACAAAAAGATAAATGATGACAAAGTCCAAAATAGCTTTTCATGAAATCCATTAAACATCCAAGATTTACCGCGAAAATCCGAAATCATAGAGAAATGACAGGATATCATACCCTACGTCAAAATTCATTTGAATATTTCCCGCTCTTGTTACTTTACGTATATCCGCTACTTTATGGTTCGTTTTATTTTTTTGTTACTGCGAGTGGGCGATGTATGGGTGATTCCACGGGTTGCCTCAAGCCTCTACACGACGCCCCCTTGTTTTCTCGGTCTTTAGGGCTGTAGCGCCTACAAGGGGGCGTTATCGGCCACTTTGGGAAAGGCTGACGTACAACTAGTAAAGCATTGCCTACTTGTATACAGTTAGAGTTAAAAACGGAAAAAAAATTGCTTAATGTGTTTCTTGCCGAAGAATAGTATTAAATAAATATATTTTTAACTAAATTAAATGTCGATGTCTGAGCCAAGTATGGCTTCGACTAGGCTCCTCGCTCGTAAGTAGTCCTATTGCAATCATTTTTTGCTTATTTTTTATGGAAATGACGTGAGCTGTGTAACTAAACAACCGCGGTTAAAAATTTCTTAATAATAAGGGTATTTTTGTTTATCAGATAAAATTGGATAATGATAAGTCGTTTAGATATCTATACTTATACTAGGTGTTTAATATGTATAGATACTTATGTAGTTCCTTCATCACTATACGATACAAGATCACATGTTTGCAGCTATTGCCAGATTAGGTAATTCTCCAAATTTAGAGGGTAGCAAACTGTGTGTGTGTGCGTTCGTTCATGCGTGCGTGTATGGGGCAATACTATGCTACAGAGCATCTAGTAGCATTATGTATTCATTAATTGTTTTTCTATGTATACGTGACAATGGTAGAAATTACCTCTTTATTGAGAATGATCAGGATTTTTTAAGTTGAATATTTTTCATCTCTATTTAATCACGATAAAACTGATGCGTTTTGTTCATAAAATTCTTCATAGAACGAATATATGTTAATGTTATATAATTTCCTAAATATAATTACATAAATTTATTTTTTCCTTTCTTTTTAAAAATAAGGTAAGTCCACCAAGCCCCAACTGTGAAAATCCTTTGGGCGGCTTGGATTGGGGAGAAATGTGATTTGTAAATTTCTCCCCAATCCAAGCTGACAACACTACGTTTTGACAGTTTTGACTTTCAATTTAACTCACGGCCCGTCAACTCCGTACAATAAACCAATCCCGTAGGGGTCCAGTGATGTATGACATTTCCACACGCCCCTCACCCCTGTTAGTAGATGGAGACATGACACCTGACAGAAACTGTCATTACAACAAAGAGTAAAGATACTAATGTTTTAATTAATCTTTAATTTATTTTACTTGTTGGAATTAATTTATTCATTTCACATTGGCAAAATTGCGTGAAATACGCAGATATGCCATTAATAAAAGAAGAAGAATACTAAAGTATGTACCTACATATCAGGGAATTACAAGTGATTGAGTAAAGTTTCTTTTGTGCTTACCCTGTTCGCTTTATTTGTAATATAAACTCTCCATTTTTCGAAGTATTTTTATTTGTAGAAGATGCCTAAGAAATTGGTGTGTTGTGTTATGGTTGTGTTACACGCATTGTTAAAGTACGAACAGGACGCTATTCTTTGTAAGATTCTAGTGAACGAGAAAAGATTCTCCAAGTGGTTACAATGTCTTAGTGCTGTGTGTGATACTGAAAATTTTAATCCCGGCAGAAGTGTCATTTGCAGTAAACACGATGTACCAAGATTCATCACTCCAAAATTATGACTCTTGGGTGATCCATATCCGTCATTGTTTAATGATGATGGGCTCTCAATCAGCCTACCCTCTTCAAGCAATACTGGTAAGGCTGGTTTAATCTGCTATTACCTTTAGATAATGTAATTAAAATGATATGTATCTTCACTTTATGTTTTGGAATACCGCTATTCTTCATTAGATTTTTTTTTATTACAGAAATTATATTCACTTGGGAACACAGCTATGCAAGAAAAAGTCATGTGACCACACATATTAAAAAGTGGAACTGAACAGAGGTTTGTTTTTAATTTATTTTATTTAAATAACAAAGTTCATGCTGCAGTTTTGATGTATTTCAATATAGATTTTTGCTTTAAAAAAGTCTAGTAGATCTCTCTTTCTTATACACATAAAAAAAAATTACATTAAGTTACTTAACTCTAGCGGGCACGCTAGAAGTGATTTTGATCAGAGAAATAATTGATAATATAAATAACATTTTTCTTATATCATCTAAGATTATATCCTGTTTTTTAATCTTACACACATAATCAATATTGATTTCATAGGTGGTGTAATTTTAATAGAACAAATTGAGACTCCTGTGTCTGCAGCCACTGAGTTTACTCAATTAGTTGCTTGCTCTGGAGATTAAAATATGACACAAACTAAGCTATCTGGTAAGACCTGTCTCTTTCTTTAGTGTATCTTTATTTCAATCAAATATTAGTTCTAATAGAGAAATTCACTAAATACTTTTGATGTTACAGACCCTGTGAAATGTACCCAAACAAAAAGGAAAAGGCTTATTACCAATTGTCAATTGGCAATAAAGCCAATTGTCACCTTTATACCAGAGAATTTATGAAGAATATAACAAGCCAAAGACGTAGTTTAACTTTCTTAAAAAAGTTAAGAATACTTAAATACTTTTAAGTTTTTTATTTTATCATCCAAAACTACACTGAATAGATTAGAAAATTGATCATAGAACCAGGCTTCGTGTAAGAGGTAAATATATTCCATATAAGTTTTTTCATACTACTTTTATAATTTTATGTATTACTACCAAATAATATTTACTTTTTCTACTACTATTTGAATTTACTTTTTCAGGTGAACAAATGAAACTAAAAAAAAATATAAATGGCATGATATTATTTATGTCTATGAGACAGACTGTCAACACACTGAAGCTGGGCTACGTCATAAATTAAATGACCAATGAGTTATACCTGATAAAATTAAAAAGATGAAGGTAATGCATTGGTTATTATATTAGTATAACTTAAATTAGAATAAAAAAAATAAATAATTTGTATTCAGCTTCTATATTCTCTATCAGAGCAAGTGTTGATACAATGACCTGTATTTTTAATTATGTAACAAGTAGTTAATATAGTTTACACTTAAATTACAATAATGATTCTCTAATGAAGATAATTTTAAATATGATATCTCTTTTTGCAGGTAAAAAATTATGTAAAAATATGTCTGCAGCTTTGTCTTACACTGCAAATTTCTGTGAGTATTAGATGAAATTTACTAACAGTTAATTGTTTTGAATTTCATACAAGTTTCATACAATTATTATATGAATATTTTAATTTGCAGCAACTTATGAGGATGTGCACAACATTAAGAAATGCAGCTGAAGTTGTTTCATTCTTTGACCAATTATTTGATAGTGTCAATGGAGCATCGATAAACAAAAAAAGCATAAAGGAAAAGAGCTGTGACAGATAAGACACACCATCATTCTTTCTGGCCATAGGCAATTGAAATTTTAGAAAGTTAAATATGTGTATAAAAAGGTATGCAAAAATCAGTGCACTCTTTAAAAAAAATTGTGATTACCTTGAAAAGTTTCATAAGGTTGTGCCACTAAAAAAACGTAGCTAGGAATTGCCGAGAATGCAGAAGAGAGCTGTGAAAAATATAATAAGTTAAAAAATAAATTATTCAATAAATAATATTGGAAAAATGTGTGTTTTATTTACGTGTTCATTTTTTGTTTTAATACAACAATAATAATAAGCTAGACTAATCAGTCTGCTTTATTATTATTGTTGTATTAAAACCAAAAAGGAATTTAAAGTAAAAATAAAGTGGAAACTAGGAAGACGGCTATGTACCTACCCAAAACAGGGCTGTATAGCTAAATGCCTTTGCCCATACTAAATCTGTATATTTAAAACGAATGAAGCTGTCATGTATCACTGGCTCCCAATCACGTTCTACGAAGAAATTTTTTGTTAGGAAGTTGGTCGTCTGATACCTACTAAGTCTGTGATTTAACTTATTTACGAGATTGATCAATTTGAGGTGTTATGTTATCAAGTGATGTTTAATTTAACAAATTAGTTTTATATTTCATCGCAGGTAGCCACTTGATGTGGTTAATATATATATAGTAACTGGTTGTTGACAATTTAAAAATGAATACTCTTACTAAATTTGGTCCTTTAACTTCAATTGCTATGAAGCATACAGCAGGTATAAATTTATCTGCAAGAACGTAAGTACCTTTAAATATGCAGCCAATCTTTAACTCTCTAAGCTTTCACTCTTTATTTTTTGATATTATTTTTTAGATATTCTGGAAGAAAAAGTGAGTTTTACGATATAGTAGTTATAGGAGGAGGTATAGTAGGTTCTGCATCTGCTAGAGAATTAATTATGCGGCATCCACAGCTAAAAATAGCTTTAGTTGAAAAGGAAAATCGGTTTGCATATCATCAAAGTGGCAACAACAGTGGTGTTATACATGCTGGTATTTATTATAAACCAGGATCCTTAAAGGCAAAACTGTGTGTTAAAGGCCTTGATATGACATATAAATATGCAGATAAGAAGGGTATAAAATATATCAAAAGTGGGAAACTTATCGTGGCAACTCACAGACATGAAGTCCCAAGATTGCTTGAACTATATGAACGCGGATTAAAAAATGGAGTAAGAGATATAAAATTAATGGACAGCAAAGAGCTGAAAGAGGTGGAACCTTACTGTAATGGGGTCCAAGCATTGTGGTCACCACACACAGGTATAATTAGTTGGGGTGAAGTAACACAATACTATGTAAAAGATTTCAAAGCCTGTGGTGGGACAACATATCTTAATTTTGAAGTTAGTAAGTTTGCTGAAGCACAAGAGGCTGATTACCCTGTCATGATAATAGACAACAAAGGAAATGCAATACAGTCTAAGTATGTGTTGACATGCTGTGGTTTACACTCCGATACTGTAGCTGTTTTGACAGGTTGCCCTGAGGAACCAAAGATAATACCGTTTAGAGGCGAATATTTGTATTTACGACCTAGCAAGAGTAATATTGTTAAAGCTAATATCTACCCTGTACCAGATCCTAGGTTTCCATTTCTAGGTGTTCACGTGACACCAAGAATTGATGGACGTATAATTCTCGGACCTAATGCAATATTAGCATTTTCTAAGGAAGGGTACAGGTGGGTTTTATTTTGGTATTATGTTAAAAATAAGATTCCTTATTTTTTATAATAATTACTAGTAGTACCACAATTGGTTTCTTATGATGGAAACCAAAACAGATACTAAATTTCGGCAATAGTCTCAGTTTTGGCCATTACCTACACTTCCTAAATTCTTAATTTTTTGTCTGAAGTATCAGAAGGGTTCTTTTTTATTATTGTTTTTCTACGTATTTATTATTCTTTATTACCTCATATCTCCAAAACTGCTAAATGGATTTAGATACTTGAAGTAAAATCAAACATAGCGGCCGTGCGATGCCATTGTATTTAGTTAAAAAAAAAATTTTTTTTGAATATGGACTCTCTCAACCAAATTAGTAATTTGTCTAACTAATTAGTTATAAATAAAGAATATTATAATTTAAATTCCAACCTTTTCACTTTATTTTCTATTAGTTATTTTTAAGACTTATCTTTAAATTACAAATATATGCAGTCTTCAATATTTTCACTTATAAATACTCAACAACCCCTCATTTAAGAAAAAAAATTATTAAGCTTTTAAAATCCTTTCTTTTGTTGAATATTATTTATGGTTTAAAAAAATATTTGACATCAATTTATTTATTTGAGTTTACTTATATGTATCTCAATAGGTATGGTACTTTATTATTTAAAAAATGAACTTCATCTTATTTCTTCATTTTGTAAACTTAAAAACTGGTAATTTTGTTATAAACTCAAAGTAATCATAAGACTGCAAATGGCAACGATTAAATACTAATCATTACAAGTGGATTTCTGTAATCATCATTCATTACTTAGTAGTATTCATAATTCAACAATCTCTATTATAGGTAAGAAAATGTATAGCATTATCGAGAGAATAAATATTCAGATAGGTTAAACTTGATTACATTAATATCGAATAATTGTTTAATGTTTACAAGAAAATGTATAGCATTATCGAGAGAAAAAATATTCAGATAGGTTAAACTTGATTACATTAATATCGAATAATTGTTTAATGTTTACTACCTACACTCAGATATATCATTGATAAAATTTACTGAATTGGAAATAAATTAACTTACAACACGAACCAATCACGACATGATTAGCCATTAGACGCGGCAAACGTCTTCGACTCCGATTGGAATTCAATGCGCCGAACAAAACCTACTCGAATGCAGTTTCGGTCTCGGTCGTAGTTTTGGCAGGATTGCCATTGAAGCCGATACCAAAGCGAAACCTCCTCTTTTGCCGAAACTACCGAACCGAACATTCGGTCGGACACTAATATTTATCAAAGATTTTATACCTCGTATGTTCATAAGTTTTGAAACAAACTTTTTACTGAAAAAATAAAATAAAATGTTACTGGCTGTAATTTTTTTACTGATTTTGAATTTGGAATATTAAATTTTACTTTATTTGTATCGAAAATTCATTTGTTTATATTTTCTCGTGATGGAGGGAACGAAACAATTACATGCAATTGTCATTTCGCTATTTAAGGCAGGAAAAAATCCGATGCAGATTTTCTGTGAGCTGACAAGTTTTCCTGTAAGCCATCTATAACTTCGTGTATTACACAATACAGCGGTACAAAGAGACAAGTTCTTTGCAAGATTGCCAAAGGAGTGGTCGTCAAAATCGCCTGGGAACATCAAAATCGACCGAGAGCGACTTCGCCGAAATCCATATCGCACTCAGAAGAAACTCGCTCTGCAGACTAATATTTCGAGCGTTTCAGCGAACAGAATACTGAAATATGATCTTAAGGTATAGGCCTATAGCCGTAGAAAAGTTCACTTTTTAAACGATCGTCTTCGTAAGTTACGACGCGAACGTTTTTTATTGCTGCTGAGGAGACATGATGCCAGCATAATACTCTTCACCGATGAGAAAAAAGTTCAACCGACAAAACAATAAAGTGTACGCTATAAGTAGCAAGGATGTCGCTTTTCTGCACGGAACATCTCGCGCACTCATTATCCGGCTAGTGTGATGGTATGGTAGGGAGTTTCGTATGAAGGTGTCACTCCGCCCCATTTCTGCCAACTAGGTGTCAAGGTGAAAGCCAAGAATTATCGGGGTGACATTTTAGAGCCTGTAGTGAAACCCCTGTCTGAGACGTTATTTCACAATAAGGATTGGGTTTTTCAGCAAGACTCTTCATCGCGGCGGACGAGTGGCCCTCCACCAGTCCCTCCCGACCTCCTCCCGCTATATTATTCTTTATGGACTGAATTAGAGCTCAGGGCCTGCCGAAAGTCCCACCCAAAACTTGGAGTCACTGAAGCGAACCCTTGTTCGAGAAGCAAAGCGAATTCCGCTAGAAAAGATTCATGCCGCAATTGATAACTGGCCAAATCGTCTAAGGGCCTGTATTAAAAACAAGGGCAGTGATTTTGAATAAAATATACATTCTATTGTTGATTATTATCTATTTAATATTATCTATTACTGAAAATTTTAGAAATATAAGTTAATTATTGAAGAGTTACGCAATTTTTATTTCGTCTCAAAACTTCTGAACACACGAGGTAATATGCTGCAATAAGTTGATTCCTGAATCGAATTTGAACTCTACCTAGATCATATTAAGATTTAAAATCAAGTCGATAAATTTGACAGTTTTGTATAGCCTGACATGATATTGACTATTAGAAGACTATTATTAGATATCTATAATTATTCTATCTATAGATTGTTTTTACCTACGATAAAAGAGATATAACATGAAGATATGTAATAGTCTATAAATTCTCTATTAAAATTGTCATATTTTAAAGTACATATTTAATTTCAGATGGGGAGATGTTAATTTTAATGAATTAAAAGAAATCATAGGATTTTCTGGCTTTCGCAAGTTGGCTATGCAATATGCTGGATTTGGTTTGAAAGAAATGGCAAGGTCTGTAATAGTACCATTACAGGTGAAGCAAATACAGAGGTTTGTTCAACATATTACAACTGCTGATGTTGAAAAGGGCCCTGCTGGTGTCAGAGCTCAGGCAATGGCGAAAGATGGTATGTAATATATGGATACTTTGGGCTATTAAGATTCAATATTTGCATGAAATAAACCTTTTGCAGTTCATATTTTTGTATGAGAGCCTGGTGGAGCTCGATAGCATAGTGGTTGGTGCTCACGGTCTGCGAAACGGAAGTAAAGCCACTTGCGAAAGGGCATGTCGTAGGATGGGTGACCAAAAATTTATCAATTCAAAGTCCTCCACGCTTCGGAAGGCATGTTGAACTGTTCCAACTGTTATGCCCCACCAATCCGCACTACTTTCCTGCAGTGGTGTTCATTATCTTTATCCAATTCAAATCAAATATTTTTTTCCCTTTCTTTTCAGGTACACTAGTTGAAGATTTTGTGTTTGATTCAAATCCTGGATCTGGTGCAATAGGAAGCAGAGTTTTACATTGTAGAAACGCACCATCTCCAGGAGCGACTTCATCACTTGCTATTGCAGAAATGATAGCAGATAAAATGAAAACCGAATTCAATTTATAGGTTCTAGTTCAAGGTAGCCTTTTTCATAATTCGTAATATTATTTTATTGTGTTCTTTCGTAGTTTTGAAGGTATATTTATTAAATATACTTTTATCGGCTACAGGAACAGTTGCAAGGTTAATTCATTCGTGCGCCTTTTTTAACGATAGTGAGTTACGTTTGGAATAGCTTGAAGATTACAATATAAATCCGTATGCAAAAAATGTCGCTAGGGTTAATAAGCCTTACAACTGAATTGTCATAAAGCTCTAATACGTACACAATATAATAAAAGTCAAATGACTATTTACGCATAGTACTTGAAGAAACTGGAACGTGAAGTATGAATAGTTATTTAGAAAAGTGTTTATATTATTTATTTTCATATTGTTTTAAAACAGAACTGTTATATATTTTAACGGTAAGGTGCTTTGAGTATGTTAACAGGGAAATCCCGAATCACATATCAGGCAATATTTTCCGCTTTGTCAACAATGGAGTAGTTAGTATACCTAGTAATAAACTTTTAGTTATAGGTATAACAGATTCGGGTTTTCTGTAGTATTAAGAATTCGTCTTTACTTATTTTTATAATTACCTAAACAAAGCACCTAGAAATAACAGAATGCGATTATTTGTTTTGTGTTTATACGAATTTATTTTATAAGTTTATGTTGGCTAGGCTTGTATTCAGTGGCGGACTAACCCTGTCGGGGGCCCGGGGCGGTATTAGGTCCGTACCTACAACTTTTTACAACTGGTTCAGAAACTTGATTTTGTGTTTACACCGCCTCCCCTGCTAAGACGCCTGCTAAAACTACGAAACTAAGAAAGATAAGGCAGTACAACCCCAATTTATGATTTGATCAAGGGAACTTTCAGCCATTTGGAGGCTCCCCAGGATAAGACGCCCGGGGCGGACCGCCCCCTCCGCCCCCCATTAGTCCGCCACTGCTTGTATTATCATGTAGGTAACATCTAAGTATGCAATTATTTGAAGATTTGTAAGTATGTTTGAAGAGGTAGCTACACATACATAGCAACACAACACAATCAATTTTAAAGCTTAAATCTAAGAAGTTTGGATAACCTAAACTGATGATTGTACAGTTTTAGTCAGAAGGCATTTATTATACACAAAAATTACAACCTTATACTAGGTATTTAGTATTACTTGAACCGTGAAAACACCTGACTTTCAAATGCGCAAAAAGGATATAATCAATATGCTAATCAACACGCATGACGTGGACATGGATGACTGAGTGAGCTAATTTTTTTCGACAGCGATATACTATTTCGTCTAGTATGCCAAGTATCTTCTGAAAATAACTTTTTCTAATAAACTCAAATTTATTTTGCTGTAGCGTGAAAACTGCATAGTGAAAAATGTTTAATAGAGACAAAAAAATAAGAATCATTCCCTGGATAGGATAAGATTAGAGGTAAAAAAATTAAGCTATGAACATAACTTAGGTAGTGAAATCTTTTTTTAATAGTGTTTAAATATTTTATTTAATAATTTATTGAAAATATGTTTTGATATATTTTTATGTGAATTTATAAGAATTCTTTATTTTTTATAAACTAATTAAAAAATAACTTTATTTTTGTTTACTGTTACTACATAACCGTTTATTTCATGCAGTTTTGTTTTAAATGGGCATCTATGTTTTTTAGAATGTTCTTTGCGTATTATAGATCGAATACGCAAACAACATTCCAAAAGTAGAAAAAAGTCTTAAAACTTGGCATCGTTGTATACTTTATAAGATTTCTAATTTCCCCAAAAAGGTTTTTTTATAGGATCAGTTTGTTGTCACTATGTCGTGATTCGTCTCAGGAACAAATGAAGGTGTTGAGTAGAAAACAATGTTAAATACTTAGATCTGAATGTAATTCCATAAGACCGTTAAAGTCCTTGTTTTAGCACTGGATGGTAGATAAAAATTAATTGACTAAAAACTTGAAGAAAGCAACAACAGAAAAATTCAAACACGATTGTAGTTATATTGTAAAACATAAAGTATGACTTTTCAGTCCAGTAGTTACAGTTCTCTTTGTTTTGTGATATAGAATTCATTTTAAGATCGAACTAAAAACATACTCGGAAAAGGGCGGAAATAACATTAGGAGACGACGAATATTTATAGTTTGTACGGAATTATTGTTCATGAGCCAGATTTGCGTTTTACCGGATTGTCATTTACTAATCTCTTGTGATATTTATTTTTATAATTCAACCGATTTACAATTAATAACAAAATAAAACGTATTTATTTATTATCTGTCTAAACAGAATAACCGGTGAGTTGATTTGTTTCCAACTTTACTACCTTTGTCGTTTTTATGAAGACATTTTAAGTTCAGTTTCAGTTATTGATCCTTTTATTTTCAAAGTACTGTAATATTTGAATATTGTTATTATTGATTTATAGAAGTTCTTTAATGATATACTATTTTGAAAGAAATTAACCATTAGGATAGCTTGGCTCTATGTAAAAATATTTTACATGTTCTTCATTCCTATCATGCTATGATCATGTAAATATTTTTTATTCAGATAAGCTTATTGAAAGTACTTCATTCCCAATCATAAAAAAAAGATATTGCTAAAAACCAGACCTGTGATCAGTTAATTTTACCAAAGAATAAAAAGTTATTGTTTGTATTTGTATAATATTTGTGTCCATATGTCTAGTTATTTTGATATAATAAATGTCGGAGGTAGGAAAGGTTGGAGAATATCATGGATCTAATTTTCATTAATGGTTAATGTACTTTTGTGCCATTTTGTAACTGCCGGTGCTATTGACATTATAAAATATACTTGTGTTAAAGAAACAGACAATTACGATTTGTTTCGTTTATTTGTTAAAAACTTGTTTGTTACATAATATTTACACATTTTAATAAACACTTATTACAATGATCTTGCTGTTTCACTTAAAAAAATTATAAAATTTACCTATCTACAATAAATAAAGTTTATTCAGTTTCAATACCTTTTTTACTAAGATAAACGAATCTTATTTGGAGATCATAAATTGTTGTCAAGTGGAATGTTATATTGGTGATAACAACAATATACTCCGAGAAACCAAACATTGAATAAACTGAAACAAAAGTATAGAAGAATTATAAAGTGATATTTTTTAAAACTTTGGAGTACCAAGATTATAAAACCAGTATAAAAATACCTCTATACATTTTATTCTACTACAGGATAATAAATACATTTTGTGATGCTACTATACAATGTGTAACAGAAATAACGCACATCCTTATACACCCCGATAAGAAAATACATTTATAATCGAGGAAAACAAGACAAAAATTGAAATTTTACTTTTATGCACTAAACAATGTTTAACAACTGGGTAACAGTTTGGACATCTTACAAATCCACATAATGACGACAAAATTACGCCTTAGCCTGCAACTACAAATGTATGTCACTAAAGCGCAATACCACAATGATATCATCTAGGTAAGTAGAAAAGGTATCACTAGGTAGGTGATATCACCAATAAAAATTCTTAACATGAAATATTATTCAGTTTCGAGATTCAGTGTTTTTTTTTAAGTATAGACAATAATGAGTATCGCTTAGCAGAGCCTAACCTTTAAGCATTTTAAAGTATTTACTGTATGTTAGTATAACAAAGCATCATCGCATGTGAAATTGAAAATTCGGTAAAATAATCACCACTACCTCTGTCAAGTTTGTCACATATGTCATGTTAATTTGTGATTTATTATTTTTTTCTTTGTTTATAAATTATTTTACTCGTTGGATTATGAACTTGTGCATCATGGTGTTTAAGAGCATTTCAGACTGAAGGCACATTAAAAGAAAGCTAATTTTACTGTTTTTTCTGCTATGCTGTATTGTATTACACGCTAAGGATATAGTGCATTTGAAAAAGCCTTATTATTACATTCACTTAAGTTTATTTTTTGTTTGTGAAAGCTGGAATGGTTACCGGTTAAATGGTGACCACAATTTACTTGATTTTGATTAAATTGAGCAAAAAAGTTACCTATGTTAGAAGTTGTTGAAATCTAATCAGTATCTGATTTTAAACAAATTAATTTCAGGATGTGTGTTAATTAGGTTACATGTTATATAGAGATTCAGTGCTTATCTAATGTAATTGTGCAGTGAATTTTGAAATATATAAAAGATTTTTAATTTAAATTATTCAAACAACAGGTATCAATACTATGTTTGAATATTTCAGATTTTGAATTGAAATATTTACATCAGATAATAATGGTTTATAAATTCTTGTTATTATATTTATTTCTCATTAGCTTAAGTCATTGTACAAACATTATACTTGTAGAGGGCCATCAAAAGTTAGAGGCTAGTTACATACATGCTAGCACTATATTAAGTTTATTTTAAATTCACTTCAATTGGAATTCTGACACTACTATAATATGCTGCAATAAATGTACTGCAATTTTAAATAGCACTTTGTTCATATTAACAGTTCCTAGTCATAAAAACTGACATATTATTAGAAGCTGTTTATCTTTAGTGCTAGAATACACATAATAGGCCTTTTTAGATAAATAATTAGATAACATATTAAACATACCATATGGTTCACAAAGTCTGTTATGCCGCAGAAAGAAATAAGCAGCAAAGGCAAATGAACCAACATTTATAAAAAATGATCTCCATTTAAGTTTCATGGAGTATCTTTCTAAACTTGAAAAGTTTGGCTTTCTCCTATATTTTGAGAGCATTATGCATGTAAAGAACATGTAGAAAATGGATGTTCCAATAAACAATTTGAAACAGACTTCATGGTATGCTGTAAAAGAATAAATAATAGTTAAACATCAAGCATAATTTTCTATGATAAATACACAGTATTTACAGATTAGTATTAGTAGATATAGACACAGTACAAATACATATCAAATTACAAACTTAATATGTTGGTTGCCCACTATGCTACACTAAGTTTTGCTTCTACTGATCCCATCAGTGATGCTCAAAATATTGCTCTATCACGTTATTGTTTACATTGCATGAAAAAATTGCTCATGGTCACACAAAGAAAAAACGCAATTCTATCTGTGCTGCTAATGGCAGTCAACATGATAATTTATTAGTTACCAAGTATAAAAAATACTTACGATAATTCTCGGAAGACGTCCAATGTGTGAGCCCAAGTAGAGCTAGGTTTTCAAGTATATTTAAAAATACAGCTATTTTAACAACAAAAATACAATTTTCTCTAATAATATTTCTATAGTATTCCCATCTTAAAAATATTATATAAAATCTTAGAGGAGCATGAATATATATTGCCGTTTTCCATATAGTATTTTGTGGTTCATAATTGCCTATAGACGCTGATATGGAAGGAAATAAATTTGGTACTTTGCAATGAGTGTCATTCGCTTTTTCAAAGTCTTTATACATTGTCATTAAAACACATGAAAAGAATGCAAATAATGGCAATGATACTGTAAAAACACCCAACTTTTTAACAGGAATTTTAATAAAGTATTTAGTTCTGGACACATTGTGTAGAGGAAGATACATTTATTAAAAAATATTATTATGCCATGTAAAAAACAGTGTTCTTCCAAAAAAACTTTGAAACAATGTATAAATCATAGGTTCAAATCTGAACTCATAGATAGGTACCTAAACACGAAGTATTTTTTGACATAATTTATTCTGGTCATCAAACATTTGCTCTTGATTTCAAACGTCAAAGTGTGGATCCGTAGAGCTCCAACTAATATCGGTATATTTTATTTGATATCGGTATATTTGAATCCATATCGGTATATTTGAATACATATCGGTATATGACAATAGGTATATAAATGATCAAAATGAACGTGACTGTCTAAAATTAATATTCTATATTTGATATATTCGCTGTCTGCTAATAAGAACTATCGAAGCAGTTTGATTATTTTAATATTTATTGCATCAATCATATCTAAACCTTATAATAAGAGAGGTTCCAAAGAGCACTTAGAAAGAGATAATTTTATTTTCTGAAAACGTGGTAAAATCATTGCTTAACGGTAGACAGTGCCAAATTCGGTAAAAATACCGGTAAAATCGGTAGATTCGAGACAACTGTTAGATAATTAAGATTACAACTTGCTTTTTTTACATGTCATAGTGAAAAGCTTTATTGTTTCTATGTGTAGAATGGAAATCTATGTGTGTAGATCTTCGATCAACAATACAACTTATTAACTAAAACAATAATCAAATACGGGACCACACACCCTTAAGCCTATTCGCATTAAGCTAGTATTTTAGTTTAGTAGCGAGTAGTTTAGTAGCACAACGTGTCTGAACAACAAAAATTTAGTGAGTAGCTTAGTAAGTAATTTAATCGAGTCGATACATTTTATTTTATTTTTTCGGGCGAGTAGTACCTCCCACCACATGCTGCGCTTACCGAATCACCGACTAAACGAGTTCGAACCTGTCAAATTAGTCGAGTTCATTAGTTGCCTAAAAATGTCGTTTCGATGGAGCGAAGAAACGACTTTAAAATTCGTTTCCAAATATTTGGAAAATGAATGCACAATTTAAAAAAACAAACAAATTAAACAATCCGCATACTTGGAGTTAGAAAATACAATGAATAAACCCGGATTTGGTGAAAAGAAATTTCCTCATCCATCTCTTCTAAAATAGCCGTTATAAGTAGCTTAATCAGTTTATTTACTTTATTGCGTTGTAAGCTGTTCATCTTGTAAAACACAACTCACTTGTGAACTGAACTCGAAGAAAGTGCGAACGATTTTTGGGCAGTAGTGACTATTTTTGCTACTTAACTACTCGCTACTAGACTAAAATACTAGCTTAATGCGAACTAGGCTTTACACTGAGTATATTCTGACATAATACCGCAGAGTATATTTTGTAATAATACTCTGACAACTAAGTTCTGGAACTGGGTAAGTATGGAGCTGTATTGTCTAAAAAATCTAATTTTTTTTTTAGTAAAGTATAGATGTAATTATATTTATATGTTGATTATTTATAGAGGCAGGAGGTTTTCAATGTAAATAATTGTCTGTAAAAGAAAGCGTAGAACTTTTTCGAAATCAGAACGCAGCTTTGTAAATAACATTTTCATTATGGTTAAGTATGTTTGTCTTCCTCATGTCTACGATTAAATTTTATATTAAACAAAGACAGAGTGTGTGCGAACGACAGAATGAACAAAAAATGGGTAATTGATACTGTATAGCCAGCTGTTGAAAATTTTACTCCTAATGATGAATGAATTAACGAATAATGTAGATATATGTATAAAACAATTAGTAAAATACTGTAAATTTAAAAATTTCTTCAATTATTTGAAATTCAGAAAATAGTCGTCTGCTGTCTTTTTGCCTTTATATTATTTATATTAGGAAATCCAGAAACATAACTTTTTACCGATTATTGTATTGGGTCACCACTTTACTGAAATGTTATGTGTTTTATTTATTAGTATATAGGTTGATATTTAAGTTATTGATAAGTTTACTATCTGACTCTATTTATACGAAGGATCGGTAAAATAAATAAACGTGTTCCCAGTTATGAGTTTACTTTCAGACTATTTGATGTTGAAGTGCCACTTACAAATTACAAAATATCATAGATAACGTTGCCACAGAGTTGTCGACAAAGATTATAAAACAGATGCGCCACAGTCCTCCCCCCTTAGAAAATCATAGGGATTAATGGCAAAAACAACAAAAAAAATGATTATATATAAAAATAATTTGAACAAAAAATATTTAAAAAACTACGTCGTAAAAGAACTAGTTGATAATCATACAAAATAAAAGAAACGCAAATCGTTACATATTCTTATCACTTTACTACTAGCGTGAAGTCTACATTGCGTTTGCTACGATGAGTTGCTATGGAAGTCTATTTTTAGAACAAAGGTTGTGTACAATATTCACTTGTGTACAATATTCGTCTCTCTTATAATATGACGATAAAAATATGATTCGATATAAAGTAAAACTAATTAATTTTGAGACGAGAGAGAGACGAATGTTGTACACAAGTGAATATTGTACACAACCTTTGTTCTAAAAATAGACTTCCATAGCAACTCATCGTAGCAAACGCAATGTAGACTTCACGCTAGTAGTAAAGTGATAACAATATGTAACGAGTTGCGTTTCTTTTATTTTGTATGATTATAAATTAGTATTTTTTATACGACATTATTGGTAGCTTTTTAAATATTTTTTGTTAAAATTATTTTTATATAAAATCATTATTTTTTTTTTGTTTTTGCCATTAATCCCTCTGATTTGTCTAAGGGGGGAGGACTGTGGCACATCTATTTTATAATCTTTGTCGACCACTCTGTGGCAACGTAATCTATGATATTTTGTATTTTGTAAGTGGCACTTCAACATCAAATAGTCTGAAACACAGAACAAAAGTACTCTGAAAGTAAACTCATAACTGTGAACACGTTTATTTATTTTACCGATCCTTCGTATAAATAGAGTCAAATAAGTAGTAAACTTATCAATAAGTTAAATATCAACCTATATACTAATAAATAAAACACATAACATTTCAGTAAAGTGGTGACCCAATACGATAATCGGTAAATTATTTAAGAATTTAAGAATTATTTAAAATATGGGTACATAAAATACTTCATTCTAAATTCAATATGGAGGATCACCTAAGATGTACTAGTTATCTTCAAACAATCTCATGATATGGATATTGAATGAAACTGTTTGCTGAAATTAGATCGTTCTAAAAATCAGATTTCACTATAATTCTAATATGGCGGACACAGGCCGGCTTGTGAAGAAATACCTTTATTTCTTCACAAGCCGGCCACAAATTTGAAGAAATACCGGGAGACATTTACATCAGATACCTAATTTAATCGTACTTATTTCGTCAGAATATATTCCTCCTAAACCAAATTTATGAGCATTGTTTGTTCTTTAACCTAAATATCAATACAGCATTGTGAATGCAAACTACGAACATATTTTTTTTTATATTTTCTATTAAAAAAATCACCAATTTACCGCTAAAATTCAACAGCATTCAATTTAAACATAATATTAGTCTTTTCAATTTTGAAAACTATCTCCGTAGCCGAGTTTTTCACACGCAGGTTTCGAGGTGACGTCACTCTAAGGTCCTGGGTTTTATTCCCAGTCGAGTCAATATAGAAAATAAACTTTTCTATATCGTCTCGGGTCTGGGAGTTGTGGTACTCATCTTGAAATCTCAGTGATATGGCTTAAATATAATAATCTATACATATATAAAAGGAGATGTCCTGACTTACTGACTGACACAAAACGCACAGCCTAAACCACAGGTCGTAGAAATTTTAAATTTGGAGGGAACATTTTTGGAAAATCCACCCCGAAGGGAGTAAAAAAGGGTGAAAAAGTTTTTATGAATGTTTTTGTTTATGGACCTATGTCGATGAAAATTGGTATTTGGGTAGTTTATATGACCCTAGGAAGGTAATAGGTTATCCCGAAAACTAGCACTTAAAGGGATAAAAATGGAAATGAAAGATTTTATTGGGAATCAAAATGTTACCTTAGCAACCATTGTTTACAATCTAATTTGTCATTGTAATAAATTTACCTAATATTATTTCCAAAAAGTTTTATTGCATAGCGATGAAAATTTGTGTTAAAATATATACAACATTTTTGAAATATTTGGATAAAACTGTTCAAATTCAAGTAATTTTGTCTACGAAGGAAAAAAAAATTTTTTTTTATATTATTTTGTCTACGAAAGAACAAATATTTTTTATATGAACTTCTAGATGGCGTTAAATGATTTCTAAATCGCAGATTGTTTTGCCTAGAAAAGCTTTTCAGCCAGGTGATGGCGAGTATATTTTAATAAGAACTTTACATTAAAGAAATTGCAATTATTTATGTTATTCGTTTCTTCGGTAATTAATTTATTGAGGATAAGTATTGCTAAGACCTAAGACTTTCAAGTTGATTATTTTCATAAATCCTATTTTATTACATTTTTTCATTCATACTATGTAAGCACCTTAATATAGGTTTCCAAGTAAATATAGGGGAGACCGGGTTTGGTTGACCAACTTTTAGCTTAACTTAAAGGTTTCTATTTTTATTTCTTTCGAGTATATTAATTTAAAAATATATTCAGTTTATAGATTAACTAATAAGCTTTGGAAAAAAGCACGTTATTCAATATTATGTACAATAGGAAAAACTGGTCAACCTACCCCATGCTTGGGGTTGGTTGACCATTCGACTGGGGTAAGTTGACCTATAAAGTTGTAAGGGAAAAATCTTCAAGGAAATGGGGAAAAAGGAAACACAAAAAAATAATTTATTGAAATCAATAGGCGACCTTACGCTACTTCATTAAAACACAACAAAATTCAAATTATAAGGAAACAATTAGACGCTTGATTTAAAAGGAAACGAAACAACTCCTTATAAACTTTAACCATTTGGTAACAAATAATCATATGTAATTCATATGTAATTCAAATAATAAATATAATTATATTTTGTATAACCCATATTTTGTATAATAACGATATAAAATCTCCTTAGTATTTTACTCATTGGTTCATTAACTGCCAGTGTTCCAAATTTCAAATCGATCGTATAGTTTTTCTTTTAAATTTGACATTTCAAAAAGCATTTTTTGTTTTTTCTGCAAAATAGATAAAATTGAGCTACGAGCTGTGATAAAATTTTTGCATTTAAAAGGATTAAAAGGTGGAGAGATTTTTTCGGAGATGAAGGATGTTTTGGGAGAAATGGTCCTTCATATGCGACCACAAAAAATTGGGTAGCTGAATTTAACGTGGCCGTACCAGTACCCAAGATGAACATCCTCCAGGACGTCCAAAAAGTGCCACTACTCCAGAAATTGTGATCAAAATTCATGATGCAGTTTTAGCTGACCGAAGATTGAAACTTTCCGAGATAGCTGATACTGTAGGCATCTCTAAAGAACGCGCGCATTACATTTTGACTCAAGAATAGGAATGATGACTGGGTAAAAAAAAGCAATTCTAATTAGTCCGTCAGTCAGATAATAGAAAAATATTAGATACGTATTTTTTTTTTACTTCCATTTAACAAGAAAAAGCTTAGATAACAGGCATTAAAGTTGAGGAGTGGGGGCTCGCTACGTCACAGTTGAGTAGAAAACGTACTCTAACGTGACGTCATGCGAAATTTCAACTCCATGTAACGTCGTAATTTTATGATTATGAAAAAAATAAAGAAATACGTGTTTAATATCTTTTAACACTCTACCTAACGGACAAACAAACAAAAATTAGTCATCATCCCTATTATGTAGGAAAAAACTATCCACAAAGTGGGTGCCGCGATTGCTTACAGTTGACCAAAAACGTGTTTCACAAGAATGTTTGGACCGCTTTAAGAGCAATACAACTGATTTTCTGCGCGGTTTGTTACTACAGACGAGACTTGGGTTCACCACTATATACCTGAATCAAAAATTCAGTCTAAACAATGGACGGAAAAAGGATCCCCGGCTCAAAAGAAAGCAAAAGCCGTGAAATAGCGGGAAAAGTCATGGTGTCAGCATTTTGGGATTCGAAAGGTATATTGACGATTGATTACCTTCCAAAAGGACAAAACATAAATGGCGAATATTATGCTGATCTACTGGATAAATTACAAGTGTGTATTCGTGAAAAAAGACCCGGCCTGGCTAAATAAAAAAATAATCTTTCATCAGGTTAATGCGTGCATCACTGCGATGGCGAAATTCAAAGAATTAAATTATGATTTGCTACCACACCCAGCTTATTCTCCTGATCTGGCACCATCTGGCTTTTATCTATTCCCTAAGCTCAAAATTTTTTTAGGTGGACATAGATTTGAAAATAATAGCGAGGTGATGTCTGCCGTGGACCGTTATTTTGAAGGGCTTGAAGAAAACCACTTCAGGGATGGCATTAAGGCTTTAGAGCATAGATGGATGAAGTGCATAGCGCTTCAAGGAGCCTATGTCGAAAAATAAATATACTTTTAACACACTTATTCAAGTTTTTCTATGCTAGGCTAGCTATTTATCATCCCGCCCTCGTAGTATGTCTTTTTCATGATGTGGCAAAGAGTGATCAGTAACGTCTCAGTAAGAGGCGCTGATGTCGCATTGTTTTTGTGATACATTATGTATTTTGAAGGGTGAGTAAGCAACGGAAAACAATTACTTCATTAATTTAATGGATATGTCGCAGGTTATGATAAAGACAGTTTTATGACCTTAGTCCAGTAAAAATATATAAGGAGGTAAAAGTTTTTGAGATATGAGCTGAACTTAAGTTCCTATATGATTCACTACTTTAGGTCACGTGATAGGTTAGAAATTTAAGACAATCACGAACGTAGCGATCGCGTTTTTTTTCAGACCACAAAAACATAACTCTATCGAATACACAAGTTATATCAGCAAATAATTAGATTTCTTTTTGGAACACCCTATAACCACGTATATGGCCGAACGTGGATTGATATATCATTAAATGTTGACGCGTAAATGATATGATCAAATCATCATCAATTCCACCAGGCATATATTATGTAACGTAGTCATTAATTGAAAAAAAATATATATATTGCACTTCATCATGACCTTCCACGCTGACCGATTGCAGATTGGAGGGTATTAACGACTGCTAATGCTGAAGAATTTTTAGAACGAACATAGTGTAAAGTGCTGCCGACATAGATAATATTTTACCGTACCGCTAACAGCACAGGCTATACAAAACTGTCAAATTTCTCGATTATTTTATGGTACGTTTACACGCTTGGCAAGCCTCGGCAAGCTTCCACAAACACAAGCGTGTGAACGGGGGTATTTGGCTTGGCTTGCGTGAGCTTGCAAGAGCTTGTCGCGATCCGTGCTAGTGTCGGTTTTTTTAAAGAGATCAAAGGAAGCTTGCGGCAAGCGCTTGCGACGCGTTTACACGCTGGCGCGTGTTTAGTGTCGCTCACGAGCTCGCGCCGGACGGACGTAACTATTTGTGCTGTACCTCGATCGCGTATCGACCATGAGTTGGTCAAACGAAGAAACTATGGCCTTTCTCGAGGCATATCAAAGCGAAACGTGCATATGGAACCCGAAGGATATGGACCACAAAGATAAAAAAAAAGTGGCAGACGCTTGGTCTCGAATTAGTCACGATTTAAAAAAGCCAGTTAAAGAACTGAAGGCGAAAAAAGAAATTCTAATGACAACCTTTCGTAAACACTTTAAAAAAAAACAAGACTCCATTCGTTCTGGTGCCGGTAGGTAATCATTTTATTATTTTCAGTTTAGTTGCCCTGGAAATAGGAAGGTGTATAATATTAGGAAATAAAATGTTCTTTATCTTTTTAGGTACAGAAGATATATACAAACCCTGTTGGTTCGCATTTGAATTCATGGAATCATTTTTAGTTCCAGTATATACCTGCAAGTATACTTTGAATACCGAAACGGTAAGTAAAAAATCTCATTCCATGCTACTGTTCCTAGTTCGCGGGTAAAAGCTATTCTAATATAAATGAATGAAACCAGCATATTAATAATATTATGGAAAAAATAAAAAATAATAGTGGAAAAAAATAAATAGGTATGTAGTTTTCTATTTTGGGCTAAAGTAACCCTCCTGGGCTAAAGTTTACCCGCTTCTACGTAGGAAACCTTACATATGTCTATAAAAATACGAAGTAAATTCTTCTCTGATTAGTTGGGGATTCGGCGGTGACCTCCGTGGAATATTTGGTAAATTTTGCAATGCATTATATTCATTATCGTCTTGCCGCCAGAACCCGGGTGTTACCAGAGTGTCTCTATTGTCATATACGTCAAACGAGCCTGGAGGTGTATATCTATTTGAAGATGTTTTACTCTTTCTTAGAAAGTTATGCAGTAATACAGAGGTCATTGTTATTGTTAATACAGTTTCTGGATTTAAATCAATAGGACGTCGGAAAATTCTAAATTTTGAGGTTAATATTCCGAATGTGTTTTCCACCACTACTCGGGATCTAGATAAAATTGCGTTGAATTTCCTTTTCGGTGAACCTAAGTCATGGTTTCCAGGATAGGGCTTCATGACATGCGTACTTAATGCAAAAGCACCATCGGCTAAAAACACGTATGGAACATTAACATCCGAGTCCGACCCCGGCAGTGGGCATGGCGGGGGAAAGTTAATTTCGTTTCTGCTGATTCTTTGCCATAATAATGAGTTTTTAAAAACACCACCGTCACTAATTCTCCCTTGACTGCCTATATCTGCAAATGTAAATCTATATTGGCTATCCACCAATGCCAAAAGAACAATGCTACATGTTTTCTTGTAGTTAAAATATTCAGTTCCACTGTGAGCGGGGCTTTCTATAACTACATGCTTGCCGTCTAGTGAACCCAAGCAATGTGGAAACTTGCTTCTATATCCTTCTTCTATTGTCATCCATTCTTCTGCTGTTGCTGGCATCTGAATTCATAAAATAATACGTTAGTATGTAAAAGTAAATAAATAAGTAATTTGTAATTAAATATGTACTTGTTGAATAGGACGCCACATGACAGTTTTATATTAGATATGTTTTGAAATTTTACTACAGTTACTGAAACGAAATAAACGAGTTCTTTTTCATTTTAGCAATCACAACGGGATATTGATGAAATTGGCAATGAACCTGGAGATGGAGAGATGGACAACGATCAGGATAATGAAACTCCCAACACATCTTCACGTACACCCACATTCACACAGAAGTCGCGTCGTCGTCCTGCTCCAGACCTGGCTGAACAGCAAATGGCTGCTGCATTTAGCCAACTTACAAATGTTTTAGGTCGAAAATCGGAGCGTCCACCTCAATCCGAGGAAGATGAATGCGACCTTTATGGCAAGCTTTTAGCGAAAAAGCTTCGAGAGCTACCTAAAGACGACAGACAAATTATAATGTATCAAATTGATGGCTTATTTATAAATCGATTACAGTTGAATCGAGAAACACCATCACCACAATATTCCTTCACCAGATATTCATCCAATTCAAATGTTCATCGACCTACATCTACTCAGTCAGCTTATTCAGAACCCTATACAATTAGTCATCGGCCTTCATCTACCCAGTCATTTTATTCAGAACCCTATACAAGTGTGACAGCTCCAAAGCGACCATTCCCCTCTGAAAACTTACATTCTGTTCCCTTGCATGCGAAGCTCGTCCCAAAATATCGAAGAACTTCTTCTGTGCTGCCACCACCGCCTCAAAATGCACAAGAAATCGACGATAACATAACTTATGCTATTATTGATCGACCTCCAGAAAATGACGATAACATAATAACTTTGTACTCAGACCAACTTAACTCTTCGAATCTTCAAAACTCAAAAATCAGTGTTACATCTGATCAGATAATCGTACCTTCATCTGGACAGAATATTATCAACGAAGCTTTATGTAGTGCTTTAAATGATTTTGACGGAGAAGAAAATTAATTTTTTCAATAAGAAATACAGTCATCAAAGACTTCCACGGAGAAAAATAAAAAATAAATTAAAATGTGAGATGTGTTTTATTTTACCACTTTATTACCTTAACTTCATCCTTTAAAGCTTCATTTAGAGCTTGACAAACTTCACGTACGATTTTTGATATGACTGGGGCGGATACTTTGAATAAATAGTGTAAACTTCTGAATGACTCGCCAGATGCAAAAAATCGTAGCGTTATTGCAAGACGATATTTAGCTGGTATAGATTCTCTGAAATCTGTATCTTGTTTCGCCACTCTTGGTGAAATTTTGCTCAACAAAAATTCAAAATCTGTGAAGCTCATACGGCAGAAGTTATGGAATTCTCCAGATGGTTCAGACAAGAGCTCATTAAACTTATGTTCCATAAATTCTCTGTAACAAAAAATGTGGACTGATTATAAGAGTGACTGAGTAACGTACGTGATCACACACGTTCACCTTCATAATACACACACACACACACACATATATATATATATATATATATATATATGTTTATATATATATATATATATACGTATATATCCTCTATATATAATTTAAAATATGACGTTAAAATATTCGAATTTAGTTACCTGTTACGGTTTCTATGGATTTTTAACATCCACCATCTTCTCGGTCGAACTTTTCGCTTTCTTTTTTTTTGTTTATATTTTAAATAAAAATATGTTAAACTAAACGCAATAGCCGACACAACTTCAACATCCAAGTCTGCCATGTTTGCTTGTCCGGAGCACACTAACCCAATCGCAAGCGTGTAAATGGCGTCCAAGCGTTTGTAAAGGCTTGGAGCTTGTAGACGCTTGCCAAGCCACGGCAAGCGTGTAAACGTACCATTAAAACTCTACTTTCTTAAAGTATTGATAGTAAAGTTTTAAAATAAAATGTAGTAAGAAATTTAAGCTTTGCTGTACTACGAGTAGATGGCGTTTAGTGCTGAAACATATCGGATATTTGTTTGTTTTTGTTGTAGTATTTTCGAACTTAAATATTAAGGTGTTTACATCATCAGCTGAAAAACAACAGCGTTTTTGGAAAATATATGCTACCTACCCAAAGTAACTTTACCACGCTGACGAAGTCGCAGGCAAAAGCTAGTATAATATATATAAACAAGGTGTGTGATTGAGAAATTTTAAGTGGTCATCTACATATTTGAAATCAGTAAAATATGACTTTGATAAAACATGCTTCATAAATAATCTAGGCTACTGGATATTACAATATTAAGTTGGTGGGAGTTATAAAATGGCTAATAATCTTACGATTGGTTTTTTTATTAAGAAATATCGTCCAAACTAGCCATAATTACCAATGCGAAAATTACATTATATTTCTAGGGTTCTGTCTCAGCCAATACAAAGACACGCCTAAAATTTACCATTTTTTAAATTATATATATAATAATATTTTTTAAAGTAATATTTTTATAGCAAAAATTAGCAAATGTGTAACAAATATATAGAAACATTTACTTGAACGATGATGTTACGAAAGAGTTAGGTATAGTAAATCATCAAGTGTTATTAATAAACAAAGTTTAGCGTTAGAGTAAATTTACGCTGAGACTGCACTTAGTATTAGTCAAAATTCATATTAGCAAAGGCTAACTTAGTATGAGGTTTGCTTATGCTCTGTATAATATGAATTCGGAGTAATACTAAAATTGCAATTTCAGCGTAATTTACCGCATTGGGCCAGCGTGGAGGGTCATGGCCCAAACTCCTTAGCCACCCATAAGGAAGGCCTAAGCCCCTGCAGTGGGGACGTAAAAAGGCTGATGATGATTACTCTGACGACAAACTTTGTTTAACTATAGCACTGCAACAGTTTAGAAAAGTATTTAAGACGAAAAAAAGACAAATGTGATGAACGCGAGAGAATAAAGAACTTGAGTAAATAAGACAAAAGGGAAAGAATCATATAAAGAACAAAGAAAGGTCATTAAAGCTATTTCCAGAGGATCAAAAGTTGTTCGAGAACCCATTCAAAGAATATATTGAATTTGATGGTATAACTAAAAAAACTAAAACTAAAAAAAATAATCTACTTCTAGATTAATATTTAATAACCCTTTAACACCTTTAATTATCAGTGTCTACAGTTTTATTCATAACCATTAACATCAATAGGTAGTCGCCCGTGCAGCAATTTAATTAAATTTTCAAAATAATAATGTACTTTGAGAAATATTAAAAAAAAAACCTGTAAAATACACAAAAAAGTGATTACGATGTTCTTCCTGAAAAGTCTCGATATGAGTATCAAACCAAATGAAAGGTTTTGAAAAATGACTTAATTTTAAATATTATATGGTGAAACCAACTCGGCGGGCACTCCAAAGTTCTTTAAGCACTTTCTTAATATATAAAAAATTAATGGAAAAATACGATACAATAATATAAAAAAAAAACAACTTATGTTTGAACACTTAAGCCGAATAGTAAATAAAATACGTTGTTGATTTTTTTTTCTAAAAATCTTATCATTGGTTCCCCAGTTTTATTGATTGGTTGCTCTACTTAGTTGGCTGATAATTCTCATATCGTCTTGGCCTTTAGGTGCAGCTTTAAACATGGACAAGTTATGTAGTTACATTTTCAATTTCGAATACTTATAAATAGTTCTGAACTTGAAATAAGATAGCGTGTATTAATTTCGATACTTTTTATTGTATCGATAAAACATGTAACAAACGCTTATGGAATTCAATATGCCAAGCGCCTCCAATAGCAACGCAATATCGATTTTATAAGTCACAAAAGTTGACTTATAAAAGAAGATGTTGTTGTAACTAGTAATCTTTCTACTCTTATCGAGTAAAAGTATTTTAATAATGTTTAAAAATCATAAATATGGAGGATATCCTAGCAAAAAACATATTTCACGACAGGGATCTCCTGAAGCTATCCCCTGATTATTGTCCGACAGATATAACTTTCCGTCTGCAACTGAGACGTTCTATGGCAAGTAACCAAATTTTCTTATTATTATTTTTAACCGACATAAAATAGGAGGTTCCATGTTCTGATTCAATATATTCAATCGCGTTGTAAGGAGCATGTTTTTCATGATCGAGCGAGTAATATTTTTTATTTAAATTACTTCATTTAATGCATTCTAAAGCATTTTTATATAAAAAAAACATTCTGCACTTTTTTTTTTATTCAAAGAATATTTATAATTTTGGCCACATTTTGACTATCTTGTCTTGAGAGGTGGTTGTTATAAGTATAGGTATTACTAAACCCTGTTTACGTAATATCCCTCTGGGATAATTATTAACTCTTTTTTTATTCGCCGTCATTTCGTAAATATCATTCAATACAAACTACAAAAATAGCTTTTATTACATATTAGCTTGTTTGCAATCAAAGCTATTGTGGTTCAAAAGACGCAGTAATATGTACCAATGGTCTCTATTATTATTATAATCAAAAATAGGTGGGTAAAAATAAAAAATGAGCTTTCTGATTCTAGTGTCGAGATAATCACAGGCATATATTAATGGAAAATAATTGGAACCGGTAAGTACGGCTTTCTTTTCAATTTAATATATGTAAACATATAGATAATTTCTATTGCTGTATTCCCTATAACCTAAAGTAATTAAATAATGGTATGAAAAAAAAAACATAGAAAGTATTTTTTAAGATTGTGTACAATCTTTATTCAATTACAGGCGGACTATTAAAAAGATAAAAGATGGTTTTAAAATTAATAAGGAAATAGTGAAAATTCGCAATAGTTTCCACGACAATAACTTAAAAAATAGAATAATCATGAGAAACTATGTTAGAAACAGTCCAGTTAAGCCAGGCTCGATGAATTACGATGGCGATTTACTATTAAATGATTTGAAAGTTCTTCATGATGATACGGAAAAATGCATGTTAGATATTGAAGAAGATATGAGCAAATTGGTATTGCATAATGACAAAGATTTTAAAGTAAATAACAAATTAAGATTAGAAAAGTTGACAAGCGAGAATCTAAGAAACAAACTAAAACCTCCGTTGTCTCCTGTCAAAAAAATAAACAAAAACGAAGAAAATTTTAATGAACATATAATTAGAATAGACTGTACATATGCACAAGAAACACAAAATAAATGCAGGGAGAGTGTATTAAATTCTCTTACAGACGATAAACTTGAAAGTCTTGACAACTTGACGACCCGAGATGAACCTAATGAGAAATTAAAAAACAATGTAGAACATAATTTCCAATCGCAAGATCTACAAACATTGTTAATAATGACGTCGATGTCAAAGTCTGATGATGATGCCGCATTAAAACCTAAAATTGGGACACCCACCCCCGAAGTATTGACTGAAAAGCTTACCGTTACCAATAAATTTCTGCCAATAGTAGCAAATAGCGATACTGCAGATATTTTGAATATTACACCATTCAGAATTGAAATGAATGAAAAGAATAAAAAAGTAGCGATAAAGTTTTTGGAGAAATGGAAAGCGTTCGTAACAAAAAGAAAAGAAATTTTAAATAAACATAGACAGGAATGTCTGAATACGTTTTTTGATAAGGTAGCTAAGAAAAAGATGGATGCAAAACAATCAAATGACTTTGTAAATAAAACTAAAATGCTTGCTCGGGATTACAGTACATATCAACAGAGGTAAGTAATTAGATATTATCAAGGTACTATGTTTACGTAAGCATAGGGTCCCGGAGCAAGTTTTGGTTACTTCCGCTAACTTGAGACCAGTGGAGGGGTGTTAAATTCTGCTTAAGATATTGTGTTCCGCAAAATTATCTTGAAAACCTATTTTATATAAAATATTTATACTAGTTACTACTTAATGTGTAATTTTTGATAAATTTTGCATTCTATCTCGGGGTAGCTATCTGGAACTAGCGAATATATTAAGAATTTTTGTTTAGGAATAAACTAATACAGGTATGTTTGCTTGTTCCAAGCTCAAACTTATTGATAATCAAACCTCTTAAAGTTGCAATGATGGATTGATGAAATATCAACCTTAAAAAAATTTAAGTTTCATATTTATAATGCAGTTCTTTCGATTTCAGGTATCAAGTACAAAAACATATAATTGCTCTCCAAAAGGCCAAGTTGGAAGAACAAAATAGACTGATAGAGGAACTTAAGTATAATAGAATAATTGAAGCTTCTCGCCAATCCGTTGATGCTATGAAAGATGAAATTCGGAAAACATATTTTGATATAGACAGACAGTTGAAGCCGAAAATAAAATGCTTGACAAATGAATTAAAGCTACAGCAGATTGAAGGTAATAGTCGGCAAACGGTGCCACTAAATAAAATCTTATTGTATTCTAATCACTAATTAAATATATGGTTGCAATTTCTAGAACCATCCCTTGTCTTACATTGTTTGAAAGTACCACGGTTCTTGCAAAGAATGGAAAAAAGAGCTCGTGAACGTGAAGAAAAACACGCTATTATAAGAGAAAGAAGAAGACAAATGGAAGAAGAGCGCGTAAGGCTCAAACAACAGGTAAGTACCTCCATATAAATTACTAGCTTTCCGCCAGCGGCTTCGCCCGTGTGGTTTGTATTATACATAAAAACCTACCTTTTGAATCACCCTATCTATGAAAAAAAACCCTATCATAATCCATTGCGTAGTTTTAAAGATTTAAGCATATACAGGGACAGAGAAAGCGACTTTGTTTTATACTAATGTAGTGATTATTTACCTTAATAAAGTATGACGCGTGATCTTCACGCATGCATTATTGTTTGAATATTCTAGGCAGAATTAGCAAAAGCAGAAATGGATAAGGAAGAAAAAATAAAACGAATGGAGGAACTACGTGAAAAACGTAGGAAAGAGAAGATAGAAAACATAAGAAGAAAGCAATATGCCGCTAGATTAAGGTCGCTCATTGTAATGGCGGATTTACATTATGAAAGGACTTTAAAAACAAAATATATAAGGCAGTTAAAAATATTATTGCAAATAAAGCGAGATAATAACGAGAAAGCAAAAATACATTACGCCTTCCAGTTGAAGAAAAATGTGTTTTTACATTGGATGTGGTATACAGAAGATATGTGGTGCGAACGGAACTATATAGCAGAAGAATTCGACAGGAAAAAGAAACTCAGCCAAGCATTGAAACAATTTAAATTGGTATATACCTTCATTAAGCATTTATTTAAAACACGACGGGAACGTCAGATATCTAAATTTACCGTAATTTGCAGAACGTCCAAGGGTATATTTTAAAAAAGCAAGTAGCAGATGACTATTACGATTTATTTGTAACACAAATGGTATTCCGAAAATTCAAAGAAGCTATAAGTATAGTAAAGAAAGAGCAGGATTTAAAATTTCAGAAAGCTATTAAATATTATAACAGGTGAGTACCTTCTCAAACGGAATACAGACTGTTCCAAATTGTTTTGGTATATACGATCAGCGGGTGTGTAATATATGGATTACTACAAAATATATAAAATTAACAATGCATACCTTCGAATAACATAAGTTTATTTAATATATCGATTATTTCATATGATAAACGGAAAATATAATTTTAAAACATATAATTTTGAAAGAAATACTGTTCAGCTAATATATTTTTTTTAATATGAAAATATTTTACATAAAACTTATATATTATACTTACTCGTAAATAATCTTTAAAGCATATAACACTCATACAATATACATCGTGTATTTATAAGTTTTGAGACGAAATAAAAGTTGCGTAACTTTTTTAATAATTAACTTATATTTCTAAAATTTTTAACTTATATTTCTAAAAAGTTTTTCTCAAAACTTATGAACAAATGATGATGAGGTACTCTCATATTATATTATAACATTTGGTGTAAAAATCAATATTCATATTATTAACATACTATAACATTTAATACTTATATGTATTAGGTCCTTACATATGAAATTCGCGTTTTATCTTACTCGCCACTTTAATCACAAACTTCTCCTCCTTGTTTGGGAATTCCAAATTCAAATTTATACAACAATTTATATGTGTAAATGCACATGTATTTGTGTTTCGTTAGGCGGCATCCATTTGGTTTTTTTTTCTTCTGTTTGTCCTATTTACATCACACAGTATAAAAAATGGAAAACTTGAAATATCGTGTTATTTACGAATTCGAGTTCCACCGTGGTACCAGTGATGCGGAAACGGCTCGAAGGGTTAATGATGTGTATGGCGGTTGTGTCGCAAAAGAAAACACAGTGTAATATATAAAAAAATAAAATACCGATTATATCAATTAATTGGTATATTAGCTGAAGGTTATATCAAGTATTTGTTAAGTTATAACAATTAAACTTTATTAGAAAAAACATTATATTATTTGAGTAACATATTGAATGATTGTTATATTTACAAAAATTAAGAAAAATGATATTTTTTTGTGTTATATGAAATGTTTTTATGCATATTGAATATTAAGTGATGTTAAACAAAATGAATATTATTAAAAAAAAGTGCTATATGAAACGAAATTATAATAATTGTAGTTATTTGAAATGTTTATTATATAATAATAACGTTATTGATGTGAAATTATATGAAAAGTTGGTATAACAAATGATACGAACCTGTCTGCAGTGCGTTTGAAACGGCTGTAAAATTGGCAGTGATGACCACTCACGTTCAAGTGAGCACATTTTAATGATATTCCAATTGATTGGCGCACGTGGAATCTTCGTTTGCGTGAAGTGCCACCAATTCCGAAGCGCGGATGGCCCAATGACGCGCTAATGTAATAATTTTTATTGGCCAGGGCTTGTGCTCTTTAAATCGATTTTTGTTATATTGTTAACTTTATCGTCCTCTGTCTATCACGTTAGAATTCGTAAATTAGAACGGGACAGACGACGAAATAGTTCACAGTATACTGAATGTCGACTTTAAGAGTACAAGGCCAGTGTTTATGGCCTTTCGAAATTCAACTTTCTGCACATGAACGTATATTAGTCGTACGGAATCTGTAAAATATTGCATTAATCATATTTTCAAAGAAAATTTACAGCACCAACACACCCTTTTTCGGCTTATTCCGTTTATCCACCCTGAAACACCAACCCTAAGTGATTACTCGGAAACACGTGTTCATCTATCAACCTTGAACGGGGTGGATAACAAGAAAGAATCCGCATCATAATTTCACCTCCGATTCCCGCACCCGCCCCCCACCTGTGTTCAGTCAATTTAAAAAAAACCTTATAAACCCAACCCAAGATACTTTGGATAAAGAAGAAATGATTTTTTTTTATGAAAATGTGATTTTTATAAATACACGATAGAAGCTTTTGTGTAGTAGACAATTTTATTCCACTGTACTTGGGGTAAAAAATCGGAAGAACATTCAAAAGTGACTTCCATCTATCCACCCCGTTAAGGGTGAACATGCGTTTCCTAATATTCATTTTAGAGTGGTTGTTTCAGGGTGGATTAACGGAATAAACCTTTTTTTTATATAGTTACAATTTTTGCTATACTATAAAAATGCTATTTTTACGTAAACTTACTATTCTAGCAATTTGCTGTTCAAGATATTTACTTGTTGGAGGACTTTACCAGCTCTAAATGCCTTGAAAAGGGAGCAAGAGGCTAGGAAAGCAAGGTGGAGAGAGAAGGTACTGCAGGTGGTGCCTGACTATGTTCCGCCGGAGGACTAAGCAACACATGATTAAAATTATTTCTCATTTAATCGTTTGGTAGTTTTTTTTTATTGGCTATGTAATGTTGGAGCGAACACAGTTTGATTGGCTTGTTATACACCGAATTCGTATAGATTTATATATTATGTACTACGAGGCACGCACATGCGTCACCGTTCCGGAATGGAACTGATTACACTGATTTTAAAATATAATCTATAATCAAGATCAAGATTAACGAAATTGACAAAAAAGTATAAATTTTTTATGATTAGCATTGTTCTAGATTACGATTACATCATCAAATAGACAATAAATCGAGTTATCCAAAACTAAATTAAAATACCTCAATACATTGATGGCTAAATTGTTTTTTTTTTATCTTATGAAAAAGATGAGCGATGGATGGTATGAAATGTAGGTAGTCTGTCGAGGGCCCTTTTCCTTCTCCCCACCGCCCCGCCGTTTATTCTGTGACCTCGCTTCATCCCTTTCTTTTTTTCTGTGGAATGGAGAGAGTAGGGAAAAAAGGGGACCACAGAACACTATGTTCTGTGGAGGGGACCCTTTTTGACGAGTGTCAAGAAAGTGACGAGTTTCACAGTTGTTTTTAAGTTTTATATCGAATGAACCTATGCAATTAACGACTTAATCTTTCGAATGGTAGCATAAAAGCGTTACTTACTAAGTAACTAAGTTAAATAAGCGATTACGCGTTTTTAGCGCTCTTGATAGAAACAATATTATGTCACTTACAAAAGTAACTGATTAAATCCTACTTTCGCCGACTTTTATCTATTTTCACCGTAAGGTATAAAACATATCGTTTTAATGGACAAAATTTTCAAAACTACAGAACTTTAACTCGAGTCAGGAAATTCACAACTGTCACTTACATGTAAGTGTTAATATCCTGATTTTTTTCTTACAGATCGACCTTATTTACTTTAGCAAAGGCACAATATTCTCTTGCAAGGGTCGGTCAGGGTATAAGTTTAATTCTTGAATACTTGGATAAAGCTAGGGATGTTGCACCGACTTCCATTCATATTAAAACCGTCTTCTTACCTTTTAATGGCTACTTCACGTAGGAGACCATATTACACGATGTAAAGTAAATAAATATATATATTTAACTAAAGAATTTGAAATATTAACTCCTTTACGAAAGAACATACCGTGACAATTGTATAGTAAATGTCATTATATGGACTTGAATTCAAAAATGCGTACCTAAGTTGTTTATCTTACGTATCGTAGACCAAACGCGCTGCCACACACTGCGAAACCGAATTTATCCAGTGGCCCTAGTAAAATGTTAACTTTACAATTTATAATGTATATTAAATAGATATTTAGAAAGAAGTAATAATGCTCATACTTATATGAATTCAACAAAAAAAACAAAAATAGATACCTACCTGAGGTGGAGACTATTTTCATTTTGTTAAAAAAAAAATATCTTTAAAGACATTGTCGTTTATTTTATTTTTGTAGAATAAATCATATAACAATTGGTATACTTTATAAAGTATATAATAATGGTATGATAACAAATATTTTTAAGGACTAGATAGAAAATATTTCAAGTGAATACTAAAGTCTGTTTTTTAATCTCACGAGACTAAATTGACACATGCAAATATTAAATTTAAAAATAATGATACCAACTTTCATTGTGCAGTGTTTACCTTAAACTGGTATTTTGGAAAAATCGATAATTTATTATCGGTATTAGACGACAATCTTAGTAATAAAATAGATTGTTCGTAATAAAAAAGACACTTTTGAGATCGATCATTCTTCAGTTAACCTCACTATTAAGTGACGCCAAAAATAAATGAATAAATAATCGTCTTAAAAATAAATTTCAATCGAAATCAGTTGGTTATTTTTCAATATTTATATAATCAATAGCCCTATTCAGCAAAATCATTTTTAGATATGTATTTTTTATTTGATAGAATTTTGAAAGTAATAATTAAAAAATTAAAAAATCACTAAAAAGTATAAATATAATTTTAAAATTGCAAAAATACAAATAACCACAGAACGATCCCTCGACTGCAATGACGATTTTGTTTTACAGAGCTTAATTTTATTTAAAAGTTTATATTTAGTGATATTTTAGTTAGAAATTCATTTTTATATCTAATAATATAAATTTTATAAGAATAAATATGTAATAATTTGCAAATTACTTTAATTTCGATAATGATAGAATTCCAAGTGTGCCCTATTTTCACAAACAACTTTAATAATAATTAATAAGTCTAATAAAGCTCGTTTCATTCAATTACGCATGTTATGATAAATGATACAATAATGGTATGATAACACATGCAGTCTTTACAATTAGCATTTATTCAGTACACAAAGGATTACTAACATGAGTTTACCAGTTGTTAAGAAAATTATTCATTGATATTGTTTTTCTAAAAGTCTATTTAAAAAGCCAATTTATTTTATTTTATCAGCGACTTGTTTAAAAAACGGGAATCTACTACACTTTTTCGTATCAGTCCGGTTGGGGCATAACACCATTTAAGAATTGCAAATGGAGAACCTAATGAGGAGAAAAGAATGGCAACACCGTAAATGTCAATAATATGTCCGTAATAGTCTCAGATTAAAAAACAGATTTTTAGGTATAAGTGTTTAAAAATGTTTCTGGTGTAATTATTATTTACAATTTTCTTAAATAACAATATCAATCCATAAATAAACACAATACCAGCGAGTATGATTTTTCAATTTAAAAAATACAGAAAAAACTGTTAGCAGTAGGTAGTTTGTTTCTCAATGTTAAATATAGTTAAAAGTAAATATTTATGGAGTTTATTATTTAAATTTCATATTTAATCGATAATTTAAATTTCAAGGTATATTGATAAAAATCGGTCGTCGACTTCCATGTGCAGTAGATATTTTATGTAGCAACGTGTTTATGGACATAGTTTTTATTGGTTTAGCTCCGATATACGCAGGTATAAAAAGTAGAGAAAAAATCATGAAGATTAACACCATAACGACTACAATATTAAATTTTGAGGGCTGACTAAACATATTTATGAACATTTGTTAATACATCCATTCTCAACTAATTATATTTGATTATAATGCCAAGGAACAAACCCAATAAGGTGTTCCTATTGATCCAAAATTAAAATAGCTCAATTTGACGTTTAATGAGATAGATAGGTAGGTATTTCATCAGTTTTTATTACAGGTTATGTATAAAATATATTAACCACATTATATTTAGATAGTTACAATTATAAATATAATACCTTAGTACTAGAATACCTAGTGGTGTTAATATGATAAAAAATTTTGCAGATACGCTCAAATATTTTTAAACTACATATTTAAGGAATGAAGGTTACATATTAGCATGTACACATATCCTTTTGTATGTATTTATATCCAGCCGTAGGCCAATAGCGTACTTTTTTATTTGATAGAGTATACTTCCTAAATGGTCCCATAGAAATTTCATCAAAATCGGTTTAGCAGTCGATAAAACCAATAATAAAGAGTCATAAGAAAATACATAAGAAGACCGTCAGTTCGGGTCGCTCTGCGCAGACAGATCTATACAAGCTTCAGGGAACGTTATAGAGCAATACAGAAGGGTCCGTACGGACGACCGTCCGGACAGCTCCGCAGCCATCCGCAGAGCGCGTCCGTGCCGCGCAGCTATCCGCGCGGACCATCGCTTGCGCGCCTCTGGCTTCAGAGAGCGTCACGCGTCACCTCAGTACTGTGTAATGTGGACACGAGCCGAGTGATCGATGAAGTCAGCCCTCAAACTGCCGTATAATGATACGAATTCCCGTGCAACGACTCTCTGCTCTATTAAAAGGTGAACATGTAGTCTCCTTCTTTGTTTCTGGGCAATAATTAAAATAACCCGCCACATTGGAAGCATTACGCCCGTCTGTACACCGCGGCAGGCAGGGCGATACCAAAACTACATATGCGGACAGTCAGTATGTGCGGATGTGGTGCGGTGCGACCCGTACTGACGGCCCGTGTGACACTAAAACCAGCCTTAGTCATTTGAAGTAGGGATGTTGCGGATGCGGGTGTATAATAAAACCATGAGCGGATATGATCCGCAGATACAAATGTGGATCTTGAGACTTCTTTTTAAACGCTTATAGGGGTGGAAGAATAAAAATTTTTTTTGGTAATTGATACACTTTGCAAATTCCACTGTCACATCCGTAACAACCTTAATATGACGTCATCTTTAAAATATACATTGCAATGACAAAATTAAGGTCTGATGCGCAATTACTTTTTCGGTAGGAAAAGATCATATTTTATTTGAAAAACTCTGGTGCATGCTATAATATTAATATCGGAATATGAGTAATGAGACTATGTGAACGTGAGATTGCTTACATATACATATACTAACTTACGCTGTATCAATAAATAGTGATATAGTAAGAATAATATGTACCTAATAAAATTACCTATAACTAAGTTATATTTACAAATACTGCAGCAATAATATCAAGGTACATAGGTATTTATAGTAATAACTCTTCTCGTATCTTCATACATTTAGTACGTTCACTAATTTCCTCCATTGAGGTTCTGAAAATAATAATACGTTTTACTGTGCATCGATTGATGTAATTCCACAATGTACATAAAAAACTTTTGATCCGAGGTTATTTTTGTGTAGGTAAGTATATGAGTCGCCGACATGTTGACAGCATGTCAGTGGTTTGCGTACCCAGCGCTTGGTTACCCGCCGATACTCAAGCTGCTATCAATAGTTCACTGTTATAAATACTGAATTAATCAAGTTGTTTTTTATGTGTTTAGTTAAAATTTGCGATCTGCCCTGCGATTCTATAAATCCGAATTCGAATTCACTCAGGTGTCAGAATTCACTTCAAAAGCGGCATCCGCTCACCCTTGAATTGGTAATAACATTAAATGACGTGAGTTCGGACACATAATTGAATTCGAATTCTGGTTTGTCATCATCATCATCATCATCAGCCCTTTTCGTCCCCACTGCAGGGGCTCAGGCCTTCCTTATGGATGGTTAAAGAGGATGGGCCATGACCTTCCACACTGGCCTAATGCGGATTGGAGGGTATTAACGACTGCAAATGCAGCCGGTACCATCGGCTTAACGTGCCTTCCGAAGCATGGAGTAGCTCGAGATAATAATTTTTTGGTCACCGACCCTTGCGAAAGTTGCTTAACGACAACGTTAGCGGGCCCTGCGATTCTGTAAAAATCCAAACCCGACTTCAAATTCACTCGGTGTCCGAAAACACTTCAAAAAGCGGCATCCGCTCAACCTCGAATGGGTAATAACGTTTTGTGGCATAAGTGAAGTGAGTTTCGAAATTATATAGGAATAGAATATCTGAGACACGTATATTCAATAAATTTTGTTTTGTATTTTTATACAAAAAATGTAATCAATAGAATTTCTACACTAAATGACGTAAATTCGAATTCGGGTCTGGATTTTTGTCTGTCGAGTCACTGACATGACATGTATTGTCCATTAAATATTTTATATCGGGGTTAACGTGAATCGGACTGAAAGTAATTTGGACCAATGGAACATTTTTCATCATTGGATTATATATGAATTAGCCTAAGAATACTTGAAACATCAGCATCTACTCTAAATCATGATATGATTCTAAATTTATGAACCATAAACTACTTACCACTATACTTTGGAATATAAACTAGTAGTTGATGAATCAGTACGATAGATATGACAAATAAATATCCCACTCCATACATGCATGCTACAAAACATATTGCCAATCTGCAACAACAATAAAATGAAGCATAATAATAAGTCAAGCAACATGAAGTTATATGGGCAATGTATACTTATAATATTATATTGTTAATATAATAAACCAAACAATTATTATATACTTCGAGTTATTATATACTTCTGGAATTCAATGGGAATAGTATTGTTGTAATATGAAATCAAATACTTCCAAAATAAAATTTTACTCAACAAGCCTGTCACAATTTTGATAAGATAGATAGATGTCTAATCAGAGCATGAAGCACAGTGACGTCACCTGCGCTTCATTAACTGGCGGATTGGCGCGGATCGTAAGTATATCACAATCCGCGTGTTGACTGTAGACGAAACGGAATTGAATTGATGTAAAGGTAATAAGGTGTATTGATACAGAATCTAAAAGCATTATGTAATTAATATATTAAGAAATTCAAATAATTTTCTTATTTTAAAACAATGATTTTTAAACTGCAAGTACTGCAAACACAATAACGGCATTTTTCAAAATGACATTTAGTTGACAACATTAACAATAGGCATGTTCATTTTGAAAAAAAAAGATTCAATAATAAAGAAAAATAAATAATACTTTATTTTGATAGTAAGTTTAAGTTTATAATAACTAATGTACTTTAATTGGAAAAAAAGGTGGAAAAACTAATTGAATCTGAATGAAATGAGCAAAAACTTGAATATTGATTTTCGTATAATCGCGACATCTTAAAATACATCGAAGGTAACATCATTAAAGATAATTTAACGCAAATACATTTATTAACATAAATATATTACTTAATCGCTCTGAAACATTTTTTACAGAAAGATACATTTTTTTTTTATAAAAAATTAAGTTTACCTTATTTTAATATGGCAGTCAATTACGTGCCAGATAAAATTACAGCGTTTTTGCGTCTTTAAATGTTGTTGATAAATGACTTTTATTTGCATTTAAAGGTTGATTTAAAAACAAATAAAACTTAAAAGTTTTTAATAAAAATTATTTAAAATACATTTTGAAATATTATCAGATAGTAACAAACATACTCAGAAGGCTAAGCTAGAGTAGGTCATTGATTATATGCCAAACTGATATAATTGCCAATTAAGCTTTTAAATGGCCTGCATAAGCAAATTGTTAATTCAAATTTGTTTTCAGAAACAAGCTGTACAAAATAACATCATATATTTTTATCACAGTCAAATAAAAAAATAATAATTACAAAGTTAATCCTAAAATCCATTATTTTTTCGATTTCTTCTCATAATTCTCATTATCATATTTGTGACTTTCAACTCAGACTTTTAATTTCATTTCCTAATACTAGGTTTTAATACAGCTGAGAGTAACTTAATAGGAAATATCAGTGACTCAATATAAATATATGAATTCACAGTTTTACTTCATTATCAACATGGTTCAGCAGCCTTGAAGTAATCTTTTAAAGAAGAATATTTCTTTTTTATCTTTATATCAGTGTTGGAAAAACATAAGGTTGTTATATACTAAATATAATAGATTGTATCACACAGAGCATTGTAACTTACTCGAAGTCATAATACACATCTTCACAGTCCTCTGGCATGAGTATAGTGCCATAAAATATAAACGGTTGACAGACTGTAGTCAGTCCTAGATTGACACCGTGCAAAAGAGTTCCAAATGCAAACACTTGTCCAGCTAGAAAATGCATATAGTTTGGCCGAAGAACACAGCAGTCCCACCTGAAAAATAAAAAAAAAGAATTTGTTACTGTTTAATATTATATATAATTGATTGAGACGTGTTTATTTTTACAAATCCCCACCAACCAATGAGACTATTTGAAGAGGCTTTAGTAACTGATTGACAACTACAAAATTTTTAATGTAAGTAAAATAAGTGCAAAAACAAACTTTCATTATCTTAAATGCCAACAATGCAAATAGGTACACTAATAATGTAAGGGAATTATTATTCAAGTACTTACCATATTGAATGAAAAAACTTCTCATTAACTTCAATTTGACATATTTGGCAGAAATGAGAATCTGAAGTCAAAACAGGACTGAAATAAGACAAAAAAATCAAATCTGAATATACAATGGTACATTAGATTACTACAGTATCAAGTTTGTTCAGACATTTTTGAACTAAACATTTGACTAGGTAATTGCCAGATAACCTGATGTGTTATTAACTGTACAATAATTAAATATGATGTTATAACTAGTGATCTATTTAAAATTTGCAAAATATTCAAATTCACATAAAATTGTGTCACTGTAAAATTGAAAGCTTCTATAATAGTTTAATATCTTGTTTATAATCTAACAAATCAGTTTATGAACTGACAATATTTACAACTTTGTAGTAACCCAATAATGTCACAAAATAAAATTCAGGACAATTAACCTTTTAACTGTTCTGTATGATGTTTACCTGTACACTTTGCCTTTGGATGAGCCCGTTGCCAACTCAAAGTCAGCAATAGCTTTCATTTTATAAAAGAAGTAGCATGTACAAGCTAGAAGTAACAGGAATATAAAGTTTTCTAGTTGTGTTATTTCAAGTAAACGGAGTACTCCTAATTCAAATACTAGGAACATGCATATGCCTGATGACAGTGTCCATGAGAAGAAAAATGGTGACCTAAAAATTAAATCACTGGAATTTAGATTATTAACAAATTGTAAAATTAAGGTAAATAATATTGAACACATTTTACAATAACATATAGTTATGATAACAGAGAGCATAATTATAAAAATGGAACATAAATCAGGAAAAAGGACATTACATAGGTACAAAAATAAATATAAGTATTAACATATGGGTGAAAGTCATGTAAATTTACACTTACCTGTTCTTTTGACGTGGCCTAGAGACAACATATAAAGTACCCATCCCTATAATCACCATTACAATTATAGTTATTATACGAGATAATGTAGCTATTAGAAGTAAAATTGGTAAGATTATAAAGGGTAAAACTGTATCCAAATCCAGTTTCTTGTTACTAGATTTGTTTGCCCCATATGGCAGAAGTTCCTGGATAGTAAGAGCTGTGTTCACCATTTTAATTGTTAAATATAAAGTTTAATTAAACACCAACTTTACAAATTAGCGGTAATAAACTTATAAGTAATGTTTAAAATACAAAAACATTACTATCTGTCATTTGTTTGAAACACTAAAGGCAAAGGCATTTGGCCCATACAGTTCTATCTTCGTTAATTTGTGCTGGCATCTAGTGACATACATTTTTGTAGTTTTTTTTTAATACTTACAGGAGGTAAGGATATGAGGAAGTGTTAAAAAAAATATTAGTTCCCAAAATCAAACTAGATGTCGCTACGGTAAGTTCTTGATTACTCCATGACAACCTTACCGGTTTTCTTTCATGTTTAAAAGTAAATTAGTTTTCAAAACTCAATAAACAACTTATATTCTATTTGTACTTTTTCGTAATTGTATTGATATCTAAGTTTCGAACTTTTCGAATTTTAGTTTTTTAATATGTTAGTTAAAAGAAACGCAAATATCTTTGGTCCATTTTTTTCCTACAAAAATCAATTATTATTAGAGTCGCCATCTAGTGAGGTGCTTCTTTAGTGCTTTTTTATTTTTTAAATACTTCCTCATTCCATTATCATTTTTTCTTCATCTTTATCAGGGTTTTTCAAATTTTTGGCTCTAGGAATCTCCGTAAAAGATTACACATGAGAGCGTATCCCTTAATTATAAGCCCAAGAAAATAATAAAATTGATAGCTGAAGAAATAAGGTTTATATTAAAAAAAAGGTAAGTAATCATCGTAAAACAATTTTGAAAAAGGAAAGAAATGTCATCATAACATACTATTTATTTTATGTAAATATTTTCTAATTACGTAGCATTTGAAATATCATGGGTTATTTTTGACCGAATCAAAACATAAAATAAGAGATTTTAGTTCCTCAATATACAGCAAAATTTAAGGATTTTTTTTTAAAAATATCCTTAGATTAATTTTATCTTTTGAAAAAGATTCCACTATTTTATATTTCAAACAATGATGTATTCGGAAGCCCTAGTAGGCTAAGATATGATAGCATGATGATTATTGTAATTGGCAGAGAATATAGCCTTTGCCCGGAGGCCGCAAACTTTCGATCGGGACCCTGTCCAGGGTGGAAAAAAGGCTCCGATTGGTATGTCTACATGTTGAGTACCTAATACTTTACAAGTTTTACTATTTTATAATCTAATCATAACTGTGTCTCATCTGTGACTATCTGCTTCATAACTTCATTATTATCTTTGTAAGTTGTAGGTCTTGCTAAGGTATATTCAAAAATTAAAATAACACATGGCAGCGTGTCTATCGACCAGGCATCTGCAATTACGGTGAACTGCATAATATACCTCTGTGGACATTGTGGAAAACAACTATGTAATCTCGTCATCATTACATTAGCTTAGCGGTAGTAGCTGTTTCTCGGTTTCTCGAGCGGTCGGTCGGCGGCCGAAGCCCGAAACCCATCCGACTCACACATGCGCCGTGTCAGTCAACAACAGTCTGCGCGCGCACGCGTGACGATACGCTGTATTTTTTCCTTATCCGCCGGCAACGACACCAACAGTTATTGATCGGGCGTCCACCGCGATACCGCGTCTTGAAAATGCGACACGATCCCAAATGCTTATGTGCTCATCCGATGTAAAAATTCGAATCATGGAGCCAGCTATAGAAGTATGAGGATACGGTGTTCTGTGTGATAGACCAGCTAGTTTGCGATATGTCGAAGGTAAGTGCCTGAGTGTAGTGTAGTTTCGTGACTGCAGGTAGTTGCTAAACCATTGTCAAGGACGTTGCGAAAATGGATTTCATTAATACTTCCAATACTCAATCTTAGATTTCAGTAATATATTACTTGTTTATAATTTCCATTATACCTCTCTAACAAAATAGAAAACCTATAAAAAAATATACCTATAGTTGGAATAAAAAAATATTACTTCATCGGTAAGGGGTTGGTATTTCAGCAGTAAGTTGAGGTCATCGTCTTAGTTAAACGTAAACTACATTAAACTATTTAAGGAAGCTTGGAATTGGGTAGCTAACAAAATGTTATAAAAACAAAGATTTAATGACTGTCCAGGAAGTCAAATGAAGCGTAAAGTTTTTCTTGATTTTACGTTACTGACCTAAAAGTACTGACGATAAGATACAAGTCCGTCACACTCATTATTGTTAGATGGACGAATATTTGAATATATAGATCCACTTTTGGTGTAAAATGCAAAGATGCAAAGTAGATGAATATTTTTCCTTAGAAAATATGCCCTATTTTATGTCATAGGACAATGTGATAATGGCGCTTAAAATATTCATTAAGTATATTTTTCAGTATAGCGTTGTGAATGCAAAATTGATAAATATAATAATTAGAACAAGTTTTCATCTTCATCGAAAGTTTAAATATTTGTAAATATATTTCTTTCAGGTATTTGGATAGATTGCCTGAACATTGATACGCATATGCATAAATACGCATAAAAATAGTTATAGTTATTTTTTTATTATCAATCGTTTCGTAGATATAATTGAAAATCCTAATAAAATCATAACTTAGATTTGCTTCTCTATTGAGCTAAAAGTATTTCCAAACTTACCCTTAAATTAATTTTAAAAATAATACAGTTATCGATTTACCGGTATTCATGTCTCCATTTTTAAAGGGCTGATGATGATGATGATGATGTCTCCATTTTTATTTTTCGCTGCCTAGCTACCATCAAATACCTACTTAGGAAAGTAATGGATTAATAACTCATAAATATGCTGATATAAGCATCAAATGTGATAACAAAAAAGCAAATCTATACTAATATTATAAAGCTGAAGAGTGTGTTTGTTTGTTTGAACGCGCTAATCTCAGGAACTACTGGTTTGAATTGAAAGATTATTTTTGTGTTGAATAGACCATTTATCGAGGAAGGCTTTAGGCTATATAACATCACGCTGCAACTATTAGTCATTTAAATAAAATGAATCCCAAGTACCTGCATAGGTATGTACATAATTGATTTAGGAAAGTTTGAGGTTTCTATTTTAAGTACGTAAACATGCACGTTTCGATTGAAATATATTAATCTTCATATTACCTAATTATCTATTTTTGATTGAATCGATTTTGTTTTTGGATTCTCTTTGGAATGCTATTGCATATCATGTTTTATTGAAATTTTTACGTAAAAAGTAACCAAGAATCTTACTTAATTTTACTAAATTTAATAATGTTTCGAATACTACAGCAGCTAGCTTAGATTGAAAGTTTATTTTGATTTAGGATATCCGGGTTTTTATAAACTTTTTATTAAAATTTTTGTCACCGATGACAATAATAAATTCTTATTAACAGCCATCACTTTAGTCTTCTGTTGAATGACCTTTTTCAGATTATGTCTATTAGAAAAAGTCCTAACCAAATATAATTTTCCATAGCTCATCGAGTGACATGTAGTCGGTGGGCCATCTTCACTGTTATGCTCAACGTTTCGGTTTTATAGAGCATGAGTGGCATTGGTTAAATAGTAATAAGTCACCAGTAAGTAATTTAAAAAGAATCGGTCGGAAAGATTAAAATTTAATAGACTTTCATGAATAAAAAGTTACACGTTAGACCCAATGTAGTAGTGTCATTAGAACTACATGATATTTGTTCAGTTTTAATAGTCATAGATGAAAAATCAATTGGTACAATAATTATCCTAGAGATGTTCTTCGCTGACCTTAAGACATCTTGAAGAAAATCGATATAGGTACAAGTATATCATGCTTTGTATACTTATCTTTAACCATCAAATATATTAAAGTGATGACGTAGCACTAGAACGCATATTAAAGACTTTTCCCTGCCCAAAATGGGCGAAGTAATATAAAAAACATTATATTACTACAGAGTAGTAATCTGTACCGAAGCGGTCAATATGCGTTCAATACTGTTTTTGGTTATGGTTAATGTTTTGCGCTCAGCCCCTAATTAAGAGATAGGTATTTGCCTATTTTTTGTGCGAATTCCAACTTATAATATCACTACATAACTTTAAAGTTTTATTAAAATCAGAGGAACGATAATGAAAAATAGTAGTTTTTCAAGCATTCAAACAAAAAAATAGTAATTAAAACTAATTCGAAACCTTTAAATAGGAAAATAAATTCAAACGCCTCTTGAAAGTAAATTAGTAGAGAGACGAAATTAAGAAGATGACTAATGTGATATTAACAATTTAATCAATTAAAACTCTAATTTGTTCTTACTTCTTATAGTAAGTATAATGGGATGATAGATGTAGTTGAAGGAACGATTTACCCTTGTTATGAAATTGTTACTTATATCCAAAAATATTGCCTTTTTCAGCAAAGAAATAAGTCTGTAACTAAATAAGCTCCAATTGAAATTGTAATACACTTCACTCGTTATTTAAAAAAATACAATTTTTGTATTGATAAAGCAACTACATATAAAGATAGTAGCCTACGTCATAGATCTTCTATTTAGTATAAGTAGAAAAATACAGTAAAGAATAAGTTCTAACATTATTGGACTGTCTCAATTTTAATTTAATGTCTATCTTTCAAGTTGTATCCAAGTTCTTATGTCATCATCACCGCAAATACTGACAAGGGTCATCGACCCACACTCCTGGGAACTTTTTGCTCAAGAAGCGATAATGAGAGTAAAGATGAGTAAACTCAGCTCACGAACTATAATTTACGAATCAGTTCCACGTAGTTTTCTGCGATGTATTTCAGATAATTGAATATTCTGATTTAAAAATAATATTAACGTATCGTACATATTTTATGTAGTTAAAAATATTATGGCGTAGTAGTTGCTATAGTTATAACCAAAGCTAATAAGTATCATTTCTTCTTTTTTTGTAAATGAATTTTGGCTTTTTGTTTGTTCGTTGATGTCTTTTAAACCGGTTTATTAATTTATTAATGATTTGGAATTATACATAGACAAGTAAACTTATAGGAGTTTTATTGCAAGAACTTTTAATTTGTCGTCATAATTAAAGATAATTGCATCTAATATTTTTTTATTATAATTATAATGATACTGAATGTTCAAAATACTCTATGGTAACTTAAAGTTATG